CCCCCTCGTCGCCCTCTACACAGACACCTTCCCCGCCGAGGGCCTCGCCGCCCTCGAGCGCCGCGGCATCCCCGCCCAGCGCATCGAGTACCTCCTCCCGACAAAGGGCCGCGACTACTCCAACGACCCGCGCTTCTACGACTGCTGGAGCAAGCTCTCCCCCTTCTCCCTGACGCAGTACTCCCGCGTCGTCCAGCTCGACTCGGACATGCTCGTCCTGCGCAACATGGACGAGCTCATGGAGCTCGAGCTCGACGACGGCGACTTCGCCGCCGAGCAGACCCCCGGCGCTGCCATCGGCGGCAGCCCCCCCAAGAGCCCGACGCTCGATGATTTAGCTGTCAAGAACCCGAGCACCCGCGTCTTCGCCGCCGGCCACGCGTGTGTGTGTAACCCGCTCAAGAAGCCGCACTACCCATCCGACTGGACGCCCGAGAACTGCGCCTTTAGCACACAGCACAACGACCCGGAGACGGCGCAGCATACGGGCCCGGACCCCGTCACGGCGTCGCCGCTGGGCTTCATGAACGGCGGGCTGCAGGTCGTGAACCCGTCCGAGGCGCTGTTCCGGCAGATTGTGAAGCACATGGAGCAAGGGGCCATGGACATGGATTTCGCGGACCAGAGCCTGCTGTCGGATCTGTACCGGGGGCGGTGGGTGGCGCTGCCGTACGTGTACAATGCGCTCAAGACGCTGCGGTGGGAGGGCGTGCACGGGGAGATTTGGCGGGACGAGGAGGTGAAGAATATTCACTACATTTTGGCGCCCAAGCCGTGGGATGAGATTGATGCCGTGACGGGGGAGTGGACGGGGACGGAGGAGAGTCATCGGTGGTGGGTTGATTATAACCGGGAGAGGAAGGCGATTGAGGTTGCGACGGGGGTTGATGACAAGTTTTGAGCATTGGCGAGTGTGGAATGAGATGAGCATCGTGGCGGGGAGTTCATGACGGGAGAAGATGCTCTGCTGCCTTTATGGCTTTATTTGCATTTGATGTTTCTTTTTTGCTGTTCAGTTTCTGAGATTCTGGGATAACTGGTATGAGTAAGGAGGCTCATTAGATACATGTCTTCGTCGACGACAGGTTTGAAAATAATAATACCCGGGGTATTGGTCGCATACTTGAGTGGGAAGGAAACCTCACGTTTTCCAACCAAACCAACCACACGTCTCAAAAAAAAAATTGAAAAACTACATACTCTTACGAGTTTCCAAAGGCGTTGTGATTCAATATAGATACTTTTTCAAAAACCTAGTGGCCATCGTAGTGTCCCAACTGTATTCGGTCTTAGCCGGGGTGGATGTTTCGTTCAACGCCGCCTGTTTTGACGATATTCATTTTACAGCATGGGCCCTCCCTGAACCGCTACTCTAGATATCGAAGCCGCGAAGCTTCTTTTCTATTACTCTTAGTTAAACATCTCCAAAGACGCTAAACGCCGTGGGGTATCTCATAGCCACTGCCCAAAAACACCATCAAAGTTCATCATCGTCACTGTCATAGATGAAAATCGGCGTCCGCTTGGGACCACCACCACCATCCTCATCCTTGACCGTCGGCTTCCTCTCCGCATCTCTTTCCTCCTTGACGTCTTCGTTCTCATCTTCGTCGTCCGTCTCTGTACTACTATCATCGACCGTCAGGTTCTCCCTCTTCACCTCAACCTTGACCTCAGTCCCAGGCTCATCCTTCACCTCGGCCTTGACTTCCTCCTCCTCCTTCACAGCCGCCTCCTCCTCCGCCTGCGTCTCCGCCTTGACAGTCTCCTCCGCCAACATCTTACCCTCGCGAATCTTGTAAAACGCCTCCAGGCAATTCCGCCTCTGCGCCTGCGTCCAGCTGCCGACGACAAGCGCAAACTCCGTCGCCGTCGCGAACCCGAACTCGCGCGCCATGGAGCAGAACTGCCGTCTCATGACGTCCTCTGGCGGGTTATAGACATACGAGAGGCCTTTGAGCTTCTGCGCCTGCGCGTCAAACACCTGAATATCCGCAAACAGAGCGCTGTCGCCCTCCCCCTCGATATCGGAGCTGGCGGCCATCTCTGCCTTGCGCGAGAGCTGCTCCTCGATCTTGGACGTCCCAATCACTTCCGAGTTCTCATGCGTGTACTCGACGCCCGCCGCAGATAAGATAGCCTGCACGGCATCGCTCTTGGCCTGTTGGTTCTTTGCCTTTTCGCCAGTCTTTGCGGCCAGGAACGCTGCGAGTTGGCCCATGTCGCCGTCTTCCGACGCATCCGCACCCGCACCCCCCTCCAGCTTCACCTTGCCCAGCTCCTCGCCTTCCTCCTTAGCGAGCTTCTCCATGTCGACAGTGGTCATTGCGATACCGGTCCCAGCCTTCGCTTCTGCGATGTTGGTTTTGTTGACGATGTCACGGATCACGAGCTGGTTCTCGCGGTACGTGAAGAGGTTCTCTAATCCAAAGATTTCTCCTTTGCGCTCAGAGTCCTGCTGAACACCCTTGAAGTAGCGACGTTCGGATGAAGCTGTATAGCCGATGTTTGCCTGCTGCTGCTTGTAAATCTGTCTCGCGTAGACAATCTCCTCAATGGTTCCGGTAGAGACGAGTCGAAAGACGTCGACATCACGAACTTGACCGATACGGTATGCGCGATCTTGGGCCTGGAGATCGTACGAAGGATTCCAGTGAGGATCGACAATGACAACTTTATTCGCCGATGTAATGTTCAGGCCAACACCACCAGCTTTGGTCGAGATCAAGAAGACGAACTGAGTCGGGTCAGAGTTGAAGTCATCCACAGCCTTCTGCCTGTCCTCGTAGCTGATCGACCCATCCAGATATGTGACACTGTAGCTGGTATTGTGGAAGAGATGCTGAAGAATCCGAAGCAAGCGAACACTGTGCGAGAAGACCAACACTTTGTCCCCGCTGTCATGCCAGTACTTGAGGAGTTTCTTCAAGACCTTCCACTTTCCGCAAAACTCCGGGTTGGCCAGGTTCATGATCGCGTCCCGGTTCTTGTAGAGGTATTTCCACGTGTCTGGACAGCAGGTTTGAAGCGTGCGCATCTCTCTCTTGTGCTTGTCATCTTGCTCGTTGCCCGTAGCCGGAATCAGGAGAGTGAGATGGTTTGACAGCTTCTGCAAAGTCGTTACGCAGGGGAAGATGATGGACTGCCACCCCGTGCCGTCGTCGAGCGTCTTGCGGCAACACCACCCTTGCTTGTTGCCGGAGCCACATTCACACGGGTCCGATAGGGTGCGCAGAAGTTCGACATCAGGCCTACTGATGAAGTTCTTGTACGCTTCCTGCTGCTGGTCCGTGAGGGGGCAAAAGACGACTCGGTCGCTCTTCTTTGGCAGCTGGTGAGCGATCAGCGTCTTCATCCTGCGTAAGAAGAAGCCTGGGAGCAGGTTTGTGACAAGCTTTCTCGCGGTAGTTCGAGCATCCCGCAATTGGTTCAAGGTCGCATCGTGGGATTGGCCCCGCGTCAGAGGTCTCGTAATGGTGGTATTCCATTCCGACAGAATGCCAAAATGGCCAGGGTTGGTCCAGTTCAGGAGAGTCCACAGTTCTTCGTACTTGTTCTGGATCGCCGTACCCGTCAAGCCGATGCGACAAAGCGCGTTCACGTCGTTCATCGCCTTGGTGACCTCGGAGCTCCTTTCCTTCATTTGGTGACATTCGTCGGCGACGACCGCGTCCCACTTGACTGTGTTGACTAAGCTCTTGTGATTCTTGTACGTCGAATAGGTTGTGATCATGATCTCTATCCGGCCTGCTCTGGCAGCGGACAGCACATCCTCTTTTCCTGCGCCGTGGAAAACGTCAACCTTCCACCATCCCCAGCGGTTCAACTCGTTCTTCCAATTCTCGATGATGGATCCTGGGCAGATGATCAGAACTGTCGGATACCAGCGACCAGACACGTCACGAATCTTCTTGAGCCTCTTCTTGTCCCGCTCATCGGCGGTTTTGCCAAAAGCTGCCGTAAGGAATGTCGCAACCTGGACCGTCTTGCCGAGACCCATGTCATCTCCAAGGATCCCTCCCCTTTGGTAGACGAACAGACGGTGCAGAAACTTGACGCCGACGATTTGATACTCGCGCAAGTACTGGGCAATAGACGCCGGTATGATACCTGCCGAATACTCGAGCTCGACATCTTCGTATGGCCTGCAGGGCTTGATCTTCGTGCTCTCGTCGAAATGGGGACGTCGCTCGAGGTTTTGGGGTCGGTCATCTTCGGGGAATACGACGTCCGAGTAGTCCGGTGGTAGCAACAGCCCTGCCTCCTGCAGCCTTTCCCGGGTTTGATCGAATTGTTTCCTTCGTTCCTTCAAGTAGTCTGGCGCTTCCGCCACATCGAGGTCGTCCTCTTCCTCGGTGTCGTCGATCTTCACCACGCCGTTCTTCTTGGATGGCCGGCCTTTTCCCTTCGCCTTATCTTTCTTCCCCTTGCCAGTTGCGGCGCGCCGGCCCTTCTGCTTCTTGGGCTTAGGGAGCTCCAAGTCGGAATCGGCATCCCAGACTTCCTTCTCCTCGAAATCAATGTCTACCTTTCGTTTCCCGAGGGCTTTGCTACTCGGATGTTTAGGTTCGTCGATTTCCGATACCGTCTCGCCATCTGATATCACTATCGCGTTTTTCTCGACCGGTCCGGTCATTGTGGCTGCGGTCGCATAAATCGCATGGCGTCATGGGTGTGAGATAGCAGGATGTGAAGATGGTGGGGGTTTATAAGGACGCGACGGTACGCGACAGACAAGGTATTAGCACCTTGGGGTAAAGTTTCCAGGTGTCATAGGCCTAGGCAGCGCTGAAGGATGCGGGGGATGCAACCGGAGATGTCACCACCTCTTTTGGACAATATTACGGCTTTACCAGGTAATCGGAGAATCATATTCTACAAAACGCTATGAGTCATCGGTTTACTCCATGACTCCGCCCGGGATTATGGGGCGACCGGAGCTCATCCCGCCGGCCAAGATGCCGGCGGAGTTTTCGGCGAGTTGTTTCCTCTTCCTCACAACCTACAGTCTGCCCATACGAGTTGCCAAACCAAGGATAGTGTTTCAGCGGCACCGCATACCTCAGTCAGATGGTCTCACACTGGGGTCAAGCTTGCAACACTGTGTCTGTTTGGCTTTACGCGCCTCTGAGACTCGTGTTATCTGGTCAGCACGTAGAAGCCCGACGTAGGAATCTTCAACTGGTCTGTACTTTAAGCACTTGAGACAAATCATGGTCATGTTTGGAACAGCAAATCATTGCAAGCTTCTCTAGAGATCCTCTCATTTGACTGTCATTTCGCCAGAGGTGACAGCATTTCCACACCAGCACAGCAGCATTTCCTGGCCTACACACTTTCCAGTCTTGAACCCGTCCTATTACTCCCTTTGGGTATCAGTGTATACAAAGTCAATCATGATGGGGTATGCCTCGATGCTCCAGCGCCATATTCTCTTCAAACCCCCTTATACTTTGAATTGTCAAACCGTCTCCATGCCTTTTAAGCTTTTCGTACTCGTATCACCGCTCTTCGTTTCCAGCTCGTAGCTTTCTCCGCTACCTATGTTGTAGGACCCTGCCCGCTCGGTATATTCCCGTCGGTACCCCGCCTCTTCCAACTGTTTCGCCGCGCTTGGGCTGCATAACACATCTCCCTCTTCCTCATCAATGTACTTGAGAACCATCGTCCCCAGCCAATTGCCAAACCTGGCGTTGTTAGGAGGCGTCCTCGAAACGCGGAGCCGATCGTAGTAGTCTCGAATATACGGGCCGTGGCGCCAGAACGCTCTCGTGAACAGCGGGCTCAGGACCGGCAGGGTAACGGTGATGAGGCCGACGGCGGTCTCGCGGAACCCCCACCTGTTGATATTGATGACGGACGGCGCACCGCCCAAGGTCGTGACCGCTCGAACTATTGCCGTCGAAATGACGAAGACGCCGGATGAAAGCAGGATGCTGACGCCGATTTTGCGTTTAAAGGACACGCGGAGGTGCCAGAGGATCGGAACGGGGATGGAGAGGAGGGCCGCGTCCGTCAAGACGTTGAGCCACAACAGCATCCAAAAGTTTTGCGGTCGGAAGGTGCACTCTGGGCCTGGTAGAGGCCGGATTCGCCAGTTGTCGGAGTAGCTGTTCATCATAGTCAGGAAAGTGATCGCGGTTGTCGCGGGGCACGTACGGTTGGCAGCTGAGTGTCACCGTGAGACATAAAACGATGTACGATAATCCGCAGATCCAGAACAACGCGACCAGGCTCCGTCTCCGTAGAATTCCAAGTGTTAGACGCTTGTAGAAGAATAGTACGGTGAACTTCAAGACCCCTAAGATTTCCGGGTCAGGGCGGTGTGTCAACTTGGGTGTAGGTAAGGCTTCTTACAGATGCAACCTTTATTGACATTGTTAATCTCTAGCGATTCCAAGACACCGAAATACGCAGGGTAATGAATATGGCTTACCTGGGTATGTATACCAGGACATGAACTCCAATTTGGATCCCAGCTGGAGAACTGCGACATCGTGATCTGATAGTGATGGCACCGCATCTTCAGTGATGTCGATATTGGCTCCTGTGTAATAGCATATTTGGACTACGTAAACATTGATGCTGTACAACACGAGATACTGCAACGCATCAACATCAGTGCCAATTTGAGGAGTTTTCTCTTCCAGTAACTCACGGGTAAAGCCAAGTAGTCGTCACCGCGGAAGCCTCGAATCCCGACGGTACGAATACGAACCGCGAATCGTAGGAGGATTATGAAGACGCCGATGGCGTACCAGGCCTGCCAAGCAATACCTTATTAGCTACAAGTGTCGATTATAGGCCGAGGAAACCAGAGCGGCTTACCCAGACTTCGGGGAGATAACTGTCGTCTTTTTCCAAGTGCACATTTGGACTTGGCTCCAACATGATCTCGTGTTGAGTGTGGCGAGCATCCGCATCTCGGTCGGTGGATGCTCAGATGGAATCGGTGGAAAGTTATGGTGGAGAAAGCGGGCAGACGATTGAGAAGAATATCCAAGAGCATCCCCCCTCACACATAAGGAAGAAAAACAGCTTATAACAATCCCGGGTAAACCCCTCTCCGAAGATCCCACGCCGAAGAGACACTGAACATGGGGGCAATCTTGCGGGCGGACAAAAGATAGCTTCCTTGCGAATAATCCAAATCGAGCAACGCTAATCGGTTGGGCGCCCGGATAGAAACTCTAATTAGTGAGGTTGCCATAGGCACGTTGCTGCCACCGGCACACGAGACTTGGGACGTGGCACTTGGGCCTCTTTGATTGAGAATAGTAACGTGGGTGTGGCAGTCGGGGAGTCAGAGAGCTAGGATCTGCTGTTACCTACTCTCCGCGTGGCCTAAGTTGCCTAAGCAGGACGACAATGGCAAGTACATCAATTGCAATCTACAAGAGATTTGGCTCAAGGCCGTCGTCTAGAGATGTAACCACCGGCCTCCCGGCTTTGTCCTTTCCGTCGTTGATCGATGGGCATCGAGTTGGTGTAAATCGGGCGAATAGACCATCGCCCACATCACGGACCTCTCGGGACACCACGTGGGACTGCCGAGCGGTTTGCGTCTTTCACATCAGCTTGAATGATGACATGTTGAACTTTAATATTCTGCATATGGCAGGCAATGCGGCTCTAAAGCTTTGAAAGAGGCGCTTTGTTTGAGCCCGATCTACCGTACACGATGGTAAAGTTCCTCTCCAATCTGTCTTGTGTACCAAGCTGCGGCTCATTCGACGTTGTTCGAGTCGGTTTCCCAAATGTCTCACCGCCACAGCGAGCTTGGTGGCGAGAGAGAACATCGAATGCTGCTTGGCTCTCATCTTTCTGATAGTCTGCGCGAAGCAACACGCCAATGAGCGCTTCTGCCACGACCCAGAGGATTTGTCTTGCATCTCCAATGAGATCCGCCTGCGACTTTTCCACCAGGGAGGCTTTGAGTGCATTCCACGAGTCTTTTGGTTTCCAACCATTGGCCTCTCCTTCGGCATGGCTTTGGGCAAAGAAAGCGTCAAGCGCATCCATGGACTCCTGTCCTCCTTTTGGATGCTTCAATGCTCGCAAGAAGTCTGTTGCGAGAACATCCGTAGTGCCTTCCCAGATTGACAGCACGCAGCAGTCGCGGTAAAGCCTGGCGATGTTCAGGTACTCGGTGTCTTCGTTCAGCATGTACCCGACACCTCCGAGAGCCTCCATACAATTGTACAGCAGCGGAATCGACTTTTTGCAGACATAGGCCTTGCAGAGCGGTGTCAGGATGCGCAAAAGGGGCGCAATGTGTTTCTGGTCTGGTGTGATGGCAGCAAGAGCATCCGATAGATCAGACCTGCCCGCTTGCGGGTTCTCGTCCAACCCCAAAATGTATGCCGTGAAGAAAGTCAGAAGCATGAGACCGTGATACTCCCCAGTCATCTCCCCCAAGGTCTGCATGTGTAGTGGGCTTTCCGTCAGGAGCATCCGCTGACCCTTACCTGCGCCGACTTGTCTGACTTTGGCGTATGCCCTCGCGACAGCCAGACCTCGACCCAAGTATCCCACAGCACCTACGGCGGAGTGTATGCGCGTGAGAGTGAGGATGGTGCTGATCTCGTTGATGCCGCAGCCCTCTTGGCCCAGGAGCCAACCTTGCATGCCATCGAGCTCGAGCTCGGCCGTGGGAAGCGACTGCGTACCAGACTTGTTCTTTAGTCTTTGGATCCGGACACCGTTTAGCTCCGTTCCGGCGGCGCCCTTGGGCCGTCCAGTCATTGTTAATGCCGTAGGGCTGTGTCGCCTCATTGGGGCGAAGAAGGCACTGATACCGCTTTGCGTTCTCGCGAGGAGGACGGTCATGGCTGAATCCGTGGCGCTGGAAAACCACTTGAATCCGGAAATGGACCATGGGCCTAGAGGAATGTTCTCCGCTGCACTTGCGAGGGCCGTTTCCGAGGATGGAATATGCTGGGCAACTGTTTCGGTGAGAGAAACATCGCTTCCGCCGGTTCGTTCGGTCATCCACTGCCCGCTAGTCCAGGCAGTTTTTGGATCCCTAGACAGAAGATGTTGAAGCGCATTCTCCAATGCCTTTCGTTGCGTTGGTTCCATGTCTCTTGAAAGATGAAGCTGCAGGAGCCGAGCTGCCCCATCTTGCATAGCCGATGGGCAGGTGACGTTGGAAGCCGAACTCCCCCACAAGTGAATCCTCAGGAACTGGACCACGCGGGCGGACGAGCCAAGTGAAGCATCGTACCCTGTAGCGACGATGCCCTTCCTGATACCAAAGTCTTGCAGGCTGCGCCAGCCTTCGCCGACGACCAGCTCCGATGTAGGCCGCCCAAGGGAGTCACGGCCGTTACCCTTAAGGTACGGCTTGTTCTTCTCCGAGTCTGTGATCCAGGAAAAGACTTGGTCGGATAGTACATCCTCGCCCAGTTGCGCGATGTCGACTTCGACACGCTCTATAATGTCCTTTGCTAGGAAGACTAGACAGGGTTAGCACCATGGGACGAAAGCACCTCGCCTTCTAAAATACGTACGCCTCAAGGCTCTCTGAAAGCTGGCATCGTCGAAGAATTGGTTCGGCAGAACCGGGAGTTCCTGGAAAAAGCCGGTATTCGAACTAGAGGGTTTCATGGCGGCGTATGTCGGACACTCGATCTCCGGCAAGCGGCTAGGATGGTTGAGAGTCTTAATTACTGTCTTGAGCTTCCTCAAAACTCAGGTGAACTAGGAACAGGTGCATGGCTATTGAACCCCCGATCCAGACCAGGATGTACCCCAAATTCTGGGCCATGTATGATGTGAGACATCCGGTGATTTGTGGGGTTACCGAGGGACCCCACAGAGCAAGAGCCGACGATGGACCCACAAAGTGCCGAGAGCGGGTCTTTCGGGGCCGATAGCTATTTCGGCCGAGTCTCCGCTACGATCCTGTGAAGTATTTCCATCCCATCTTGATTGAAAGGGGAAGCCAACCTTCCCGGTGGTCGGCCCAACAATGATCCCTCGATCTTCACTCCTCTGGCAAGTTCGGCACGGAAGCTCACATCTTTAGTCTTGGACAACATCATATCCCCAATCGAACGCGTGGCTGCGATCCACTCACCGCCAGATCGAGCCGACGACCCTCAATCTCGCAACTAGGACCATCGCCGGACTTGCGCTTGGCCCTACGTAATAGCGAAGGGCTAGCCTCGAGCTTCCAATGTCTGGGTACTGGCATTCTACCTAGTATCGATGGGCGGTACCAGAGGCTGCATGAAGACTACCTAGTCGGTAATATGTAGCAACGCCAGTACGACGAGACGATGCTACCAGAAGCAAGCGCAATAGTCCTGAATCAATCACCAATGTCCGACCGCACATCAAGAGCTAAGGCAGGAGAGATTGGTCTCATTTGCGGATTCGGAGACGGCTCATGAGGCTTGCCGCTTGAGAGGCGTTTTGCGTCGTGTGGCTGAAGCTGGTTGGGCCGCTGAGCCGTCGGCCCAGAATATTCGATGTGACTGTGACGTCAGACTCACCTTGTTCGGTGAACCATGATTTCTGGTGATCATCTTGGGACAACGACATTCCAACGCAAACAGGGCAGCATCAGCCACATCTGGCCAAACATGTTGCACCGCGCTGGCCGCGTGACGGCCCCCTCAAAATGGCACCCAAGCCTGCTTTTTCCTTGCTGATCTGGGGGAGTCTGGAACCAGTTGAGCCACAACGATCGCCACACACGTCGCAAGCCATTCGAAGGGCGGCCTCTTGTAAGTCACATTCTGGCGATGCCGCAGTCCCAATGTTGCGCAAGTATTACTCATTCTTGTGTCTTTCAGACCGAAGAGAATTACGGCACAGAATGCCTCCATCAGTTGAATCGTCCGATGAAGTCATGCTGGTTGGATCTCATCCTTCCAATAGCCCCAGGCCGCGATGTGCTACAACCTACACGAGTACTGCTGCTTTCATTTATGGTAGTTCGGCCTAGTGGTCTCGGCCTTGTTAGCCTTGCAATTTTCCTTTCCTTTGCCCAGGAAGCCGTCGCATTGGCTGACGGCGTTCGAAATGTCGCCAATCTTACACCAACAAGCCAAATCGCCAGCCAAAACCCCCAACGGTTATCTAAAGGAAAAAAAAAAAGGTCAACAAAGGGGGCAATCACCGCGCTTCCTGCAGTGCAGGGCAAGGATCGTAAGTATCGCGGCCCCCGGCAAAAGCTTGTTTCAAACTTCACGACCGGGGTGGTAGACAGCCACATCCTATCAGAGTCATGCTAGCCTGGCATTGTCTATTCCTCTGGCCATCCCAGCCCCCAGTCTGATGACCTCACAAGGCTGGGCAGAGACTCAGAGAGAGAAAGAAAAGCCAACACGGACTGCAGACAGAGTGCCACGAAGCCCAAACCCCGGTGACATTCTTAGCCAGTCCCGCCCTTGTTCCCTCGCTCCGTTTTCTCGCGTGTGCTACGGGTGCCGGGAGGAGGAGGAGGAGGAGGAGGTATCGTATCTTGGCAGGGACTCTGCGCGTGTACCGCCGTCGTCCTGCAGCAAAGGTCTCGGGACTTGTGTCGTTACACATCCCTCCTGTTAGACAACCTTTATTTCCTTTGCGGGATGGATGTTGTTTGTCGAAATGGGTAGGCCCAGCGGTTTAGTCAAAAAGTATCGGCACATTCAAGCCGTGATCCAGACGCGTCTGCTGTGCTCGGCGGTGACGAGAAAGTCTGCAGACCCCCAGCGCCATGGCCTACCAAACCTGCTTTCCCACCAGATCGTCATCCTGATGTGACTCTCCTCTTACTGGTCCTTGTCGCACGACTCTTCTTCGGCCTATCCTGAGGAGAGGTTGATAAATAGAGTAATATCATCTCACAGTTTCCACTTCCGCTCTGATTCTTCATCCATCCGACAACAAGATCAGCAGACCTTCCGTGCGACAAGTCCATCATCCCAAGCCACTCCAAACCCTCTTACAAAAGCTTGTAAGCTTGCAAAAAATCCAACAACATCAATCACAATGGCGATTGATCGTATTGTGCAATTCATCCTACGCGGAGCTCAGCTCGTGTTCGCAGCCATCGTGGCTGGTATCACCGGCGCCTACCTCCACGCGACTCAAAACACCTCGTCGTGGGACAATGGCCGTTACATCTACACCATCGTGGTGGCCAGCTTGTCGCTTCTTTTCGCCTTGATATGGCTCCTCCCCTTCTCGGGAAGCTTCATCCACTGGCCCATGGACATCTTCCTCAGCATCCTCTGGTTTGTCGCCTTTGGTCTGCTCGTCAACGTAGGTTCATTCTCTACTACTTTACTCTCTCGTACTACTGCAAGCCAACTCCCGATCAAAACTAACATGGTCATCAACAGCTTGTCGGTGATGGCTGCGGTCCCATCTTTGACTGGAGCAACTTCCACCCCCGCGGTGATGCCTGCGGTCGCAACAAGGCCAACATTGCCTTCTGCTTCCTGTCCGCCATCGTCTGGCTCGCCTCTGCCCTCGTCGGCCTCTTCTGGGTCCGTCGTCGCACCGCCGTTGCCGACAGCCGCCCCGCCGGCCGCCGCCGCTGGTACCGCTCTTCGCGCGTCTAAGGCAGCGCGTGCTGTACCTCTCGAATGCCGACACATCCTTGATACCCTTGGCGCACTGTTCTCGTTGGCTTGTACAATCCAAACGAAACGTGTGGCAATACCCATATCTGTCTTCTTATGATGTCCTGTGCTTACGTCCTTGATGGATAAGGGCAACAGGAAGGAGTTGGAGGGCTTATTATGTTCTTGTTTTTTTGCTTTTGCTTTGTTTACGAACGTATGAGAGAATGGCTTGACTCTTCACTGGAAGATCTGATACCCGATAATACCCTGCCTACTGTATCATACACCCTAATACAATCGAATTATGCCACCACTATACGCTACCTTGTTCATGAATATCGTGTTACCGTGAGCATGTTACATCACCGTGAGTGGAACGGCTTATAGACGCATTAGACGACGAAAAGACGTACACTACCTACCCGCCAACGTTCATTCCGTCTCACCCATTGTAGATGTAATGTTGTAAACATCTATTCGTTATTACGGCAAGGGCTATGTTTCCAGCTTTCCTGGTCTCGGGAATCAACATGAAGGGGATCCAGTTATCAGAGGAAACCACACAAAATGAGATGTGCTATCATATATGCATTGCTGCGTGATACAGCCACAAGTCAAGCCACAACCTACAGAAGCATCTGAACAACCCCTGATAACCTTATTCCCGATTCAGAGTTCCTTATCCGTTTAGCATCACCACCCGATCCGGCTGTGAGCAGCCGGCGCGAGCAAAAAGCTCCGCGGTTCTTGGCAAATAGGCGATCCGGGGCAAGTGGGTCTCCCGTCGGGGCCGCAGCTCTAGGAAGTCCGGATGAGTGCCGCGACGTTTCGGGAATGCTGACTGCAGCCCACTTTGAAGGCAGATATCAGGCCGTTCTATCAAACAATCTCCCGTCGTGATATGACCTCATAATATGAGCGCTGTGTGATGAAGAGGTAGGCGCAAGAGAGCGGCATGTATTCAGAATGATTATTGTTACATTTTCCACTTGCGGGTTCCCCGCCGTTGGAAGCATTTCCATTCGAAGATACCAAAGCAATCGCAGTCTTCTGACATTATCGAGGTCTTTTTGACGATCTTGCAGCTCATGTCTGGGATAGTCTGTTTTGTCGACGCCAGCGAGCCTGCAGCAGTGTAATGCGATGCGTCAAGTTTTCAGCCCGGCGTGAGACAAGCTTCTCAAAAACGTGTGTAACGGCACAGAACCGTTTGACTTTTTGATGAGACCGGTCTCATTTGGTTATCAACGGAGTCCAACGCTTGTGTAGACAGACCACTGAGCTTATGGCGGCACATGCCATCTACTAAATACATTGACCCTGGAGGGCCTGCACAGTGGTGCGCAAAATTGACTTCAATCCCCTGGATCGTGAGATGTGCGGGATCGCGATCACCACTGCCAACCCTTCTGTCTCGAAAAGGCCTCAATTCATTGAATGAGGTGGATCATACGGACCACGAATCTGCACCATTTGTCGACTTCACATGAACTTAGACTCTTAGCCCCGCTGCCGCTCCAATCGCCGCGCCATAGTGAAAGCGGCACATCTCTACACACTTGAGACAACACTGATGCTAAGAGGAATATCGGGATGTTGTGATAGACAGCAAACAAGCGATCGCGGACGCTAAAGTCTAGGAGACGGCTAAACCTCGTAAATGACGTAGTTTCTGAGCGAACACGCAACGAAGGATCAGACAACGTGGGAAGACTAGGCAAAGAAGTGCCGCAGGATCTGAGAGGATTACCAGAGAACGGAATGGAAAGCAGAGCCGTTGGAAGCGAGATGAAGGGAGGCGAGCAAACCAAACTAGCCAAGTCTCACCAACAGCATTCTTACCAGGAGGGCGAAAGCCCAGCCTCGGTTACTGACCGCCTCCTGGGCTTGCTGGGTCTCGTCTCTCTTACCTCACCTATGCAGGCCGCGGCCACCGCCTTTGCCCGTTCCGAAAACAGACGTGTGATCCGGCGAAGACGCGTTTGAGAAAGGCTCCTCGTGACCCTTGATCATTGATGGACCGTGATGGGGTCTACGGAATCTGCAGTTCTGGACCGCTCCAGACCAGAGTGGCAGAGAGAACCACAGACCGTGGCCCGTGTCTCGGGGGGGCGTGAGGCGTCAAGCAGGTTTCCCCATACTCTTTGATCCGTACCTCGTTCGAAACTCCCCAAGCCACTGTAGTCTACTGCTCCCGTGAGCGGGGTTGGGACGGAGACATCGGGAAACCATTGGGTCGAAAGCATTGTACCATTTGCAATTGAAATTATGTAGGATCCCGCCCTCCGAGCTCTTCCCTGACAATAAGTGAGATCTCTCTAAACTTTCACGATCCGCGATCACTGCAGAGGGGGGAGACCCGCGACGTCTGGTGTCTAGACGTCTGGGCGGCCGAGCAGAAATTGGGCCCCCCCCCCCTCCGACCGCTTTTGGAAGCTACTGTTGCCGTATCACCTTAGTTCTAGCTCCAACTTGGGACTAGACTCTTCCTCGAGTTACCACGGCAGAGCAGCTCGAACTTTTGGCAAACACCCCTCGGGGACCGGCTTGTTCTCGTAAACGTGTGGTTGAAGAGAGAGGGCGCCCGAACTTGCGGGAAGACCAGCGCGTTTTTTTCTTCTTTCCCACTAGCTTGGCGTCGAAGAAAACCAGGTCACGCATACCCAAAGAAGATGACTTAGTGCGGGGGTCTTGCAGAAAGGAGGGGTTTGGCAGATCACTGTAAGGAACGACGGCAAAGGTTTACGAGGCTTGAGTGTTGTGACTGCGTGGTGGGATGGGAATTGCGCAAATATGCCTTTGGTATGACCGAATTCCCGGCGATCTTTCTCTTTGATAGTAGGTTATCACGGTTATTTCTGGAGGTTATTTGGATGGAGGGGGCCAAAAAGGTAAGGGCGGGCAAGGGGCGGTTGGGTTTCTGCATCCAGGTTCCTTGTCAGGATCTCCCAACCGGAGACGGGGATTGTCATGTTATCAGCTCCTCTGTGTTGTCACCCTAGAAACAAACAGAGAGACATGGAGGGGTAAAAATGACTGACGAGAAATGGTTGTCGAGCTACTTTGGCTCAGTAAGAGATGTGGTGGGAAGGACAAGTCTCTGTATGTCTCACTCTCCCCCACCTCCCACCTCCCACCTCCTTCATCATTCAATGTTCCTCCGGCTTCCTCCTGGCTGTCCGATGAGAGCCGCATGGCGTAATGCCCCGCAAAGCCGCGTTGAGGCGGGGTCAAGGAAGAAGGTCAGAGCAGGTTACATGCAGGCATTCCGGCCTAGCTAGCGCTACGGCTTCGAGGAGCTGAGCATCGATGACCGCATTTTATGGAGTATGTGACGCCACACCACGGCACAATTTCACAACGAAAACACCAAGGATCAGAGGTCACTAGCCACATCACAATTTCCCATCATCTCCGGTCTCCAGTCCGGGTGTCCAATCATTGAGCTAACGCCACACGCGGGACCGCTCAACCGAGCTTCCATGCTGCGTCATTGGAGGGGTATCTTTCCGTTGCCTTGGTTCTGTGGAGGACTGGATATCCCTGGCGGGGGCTGGAGCATACGCTTTCGGGAACGTCAAACCTCGTTCCATGTCACATCACTCCACAAGTCCACAGGGCTCTGCACCTCAACCTCTCAGACCTCTCGCCTCCAGGAACACGACACGAACAAGAAAGCTCGGATCACGTCTTTTCCCTCGTACAACCGCCGCCACGGATTGCGTTTGCCCGGTTCAGGCTCGTAGCCTATGTAGAGGTACCTTCGTAGGGCCCCGTTGTGAGATCTCCAATGTCTCACAACTCTCACTCAAATGCTCGTAGGAGTTGGAAAAACTTGAGACTTCTCGCTGAATAGGCTGTGAGACACGACGCGCGGCGGCTGGTCCGTCTCTCGTTTTTGTCTCCAACGCTGTGCTACCCCAGTCAGATGCCAGCTCAGCTTGGCAACTTTGTCACGCTTGGATGAGACGGAGTGACGGAGAGACGAACAGGAGCGCCAGGCGGAACAGCTAGGTACCTAGTTTTCGATTTCTCTGAAGCTTCCCCTCCTCCACCACGTGTGGTAGCGTACCTGAACGAAAAGAGACATGCTTTCCCAGGTTACCAATGGCTACTCCAGTCCGAGCCAAAATAGCCACACGTCCCCAATTCTTCTCCATTCGTCTTCGCCACATTTGCTGTCCATCTCGCAGCCCTATAACGTCACCAGCCACAGATCTTCATCCCTCTCGAACCGTCGTGACCCGCCGTTTCTTTAGACTATGACGACGAATCCTTGACATGTTACGCGCTAGGAGGTATTGAGTCTTGGGAGCCCTCTTCGGGGGGCCATGAGTACCTTTGTACCCTATTCTCATGCGTGCCATGTCAAACGGGAGGTTCCTACGAAGCAAAGCAAAAAGGCTTGACGGAAACAAGCGCAGTGTCACGCCAGACAACTTCTGGGTCGTCATCCAGCCATGGCAAACTGGGTCTAGTTCACCAGTTCCCATTAGCCTGGGGGATACATACAGTATGGTAGGGGGGGGGACCCCGGTCTTCCTCCGGAGCAGATGTACCACACTACCGACCATGCTAGTCCTGGGCCAACGCCTCACCCCGACTGGCTGACAATTTTGAAGCTTGTATCCCGAATGAGACACCTGCGTCCAAGACCTATGACGATGTATGAAGTAAGTGCCCAAGCTGTCCCTCACCTCTGCGGCCCTTTCTCCTCCAAACCAAACCGAATCCATGCCGGCATGTATGGGCATCGGCGCTGGACTGGCCTAGACAAGCAGGCAAGCAGGCAAGCAGGCGCGGTGATGCAGGTTCCTTGATTGTTGTCAGTCACAGCGTAGACGTTGCAAGGGTGGTCACAGAGTAAGCGAGAAGTGGCCAGCCACGGGGCTTGCTTGCTGGATCGGGATCGTAATTGTATGATCTACCATCGGAAAGGAGTTTTGAAGATGCAGCTTCTCGATGGTCTTTAATTCTATATAACCTCCAGAACCTCTCCTCCTCAGTCCGGTCCTTTCTTCTCTTCTCTCCTCACCACAACACAAGATACCCCACAACACCCAACTCTCACAACCAATTTACACCCACAACCACCTCTTTCATAACCATTTGATTTCATTTTGATACCCCAAATCATCAGATAGCCCAATATGTCTTCCATTGTCAACAAGGTTAAGGACGCTCTGTCTTCGGACAAGAAGCACGAGACGCCTGAGGGAACCCACGGTCAACACGACAGCCGCGCAGCAAATGCTGCCGACCCCCGCATCGACTCTGACCGTGACCACCGCGCCAACCCTGCTGGCACTTCCGGCCTCACCGGTACCACTGGTACCCACACCGGCACCCACGGTACCACGGGCACCCACGGCACGCACACCGGCACTTCCGGTCTCACCGGTACCACTGGTACCCACACCGGTACCCACGGAACTACGGGCACTCACGGCACGCACACCGGCACTTCCGGTCTCACCGGTACCACTGGTACCCACACCGGTACCCACGGAACTACGGGCACCCACGGTACACACACCGGTACCACCGGCGGCCTTACCGGCTCCAACGTGACGGGCACTCATACTGGTCACACCGGCGTTGGTGGCTACGATGGGCCTGCCCCCACCACTGCTGGCCCGTAAGTTTACTCTCCGCACTCTTACTTGAATTCTCACCTAACACCTCATGTAGTCACAAGTCAGACGCCCTGAACAAGGCCGACCCTCGCGTCGACTCTGACCACTCCAAGGACCACAACACTCGCACCACCGGCGGCGGCCTGACCAGCAACCCCGCTGGCGCCGGCCACCACACCACTGGTGCCCACTCCGGCACCCATACTGGTACCTCCGGCCTCGCCGGCACGGGCACCCACGGCACACACACCGGCACCACCGGTGGCCTCACCGGCTACGATGATCCGGCCGGCACCCACGGCACCCACAACTCCAGAATCGCCAACCAGGCCGATCCCCGCATCGACTCTGACCGTGACCACCGCGGCGCCGCCGGCCACACCGGTATTGGCAGCACTGGCACACACACCGGAACTCACACCGGCACCTCCGGTCTGGCTGGTACTCACGGCACCCACACCGGTACCCACGGCACTCACACCGGTACCACCGGCGGTCTGACCGGCTCTAACGTCACCGGCTACGACGACCCCGCCGGCACCCACGGCACCCACAACTCCAAAATCGCCAACCAGGCCGATCCCCGCATCGACTCTGACCGTGACCACCGCGGCGCCCCCGGCCACACTGGTGTCGGCAGCACTGGCACCCACACCGGCACCCACACCGGCACCCACGGTGTCGGCTCCAACACCCACAACAGCAGCCTTACCGGTAACCCCAACACTGGTCACACCGGCGGCGTTTCCAACACTGAAAACGCAGCTGGCCACGTTGGCTCAGCCGTTGGTGGCGTCCACGGCACTGGCCCTGCCCCAGGAACTGCTGGCCCGTAAGTCTCAACTTTCCACTCCTTCGCCTTGAACCTTAGCTAACACCTACACAGCCACAAGTCAGACTTCCTGAACAAGGCTGATCCTCGCGTCGACTCCGACCTCGACGGCTCAAAAACTTTTGGAGGAAATAAGACTCACGCCCAGTAAGCGATTTCAGCGAGCGCAAAAAAACGATCCTGGACGATGGGGGCTGACAACAGACCCCAGGGTTGGAACATCCTCTCACGCCAAGGATCCTACCGATGCCGCTCAGGTACCTCCTTCCGTGCTCGCTAAGCACATTGGGGAACCCGAGACTGCGCACGGCGGTGTCCATGGAGACCACGGCAGAAGGAATTCGATCCCTTCTCACCAGGATACCCACCGTGGATTGTAAGGGGTTGTGGATGTGGAGGATTGAATGAAATGATACCTAGTACAACTGTACCATAGCGATATGACCTAATGAAATTATTATTGCTGAACTTCTCGACTTTTTGGTGAAAGTTGGTTGATCCAGTGTATCCTTCCCAGGTATCTAGTGGCTTATGCTCATCTATTTTGCATCACAATTTCGCGGGTAAAGCAATGTTGAGCGCTCAAATGTCGGTCCAGTTTTCAATAGAACGACATCTCATATGGCCTACCTTTGCCTCTTACTCGTCCACCTTCCCCTCTGTCTCAGTTATCTCGTCCTTATTTCATCTCGTCTCTTATCCACTATCCCGGGTTTCTTTGCTCTCTTGAGTTTTCCCTGACAAATTGGACAAGACCGATGGGTCGCCCGTCGCTGGTGTAACCCGTGGGATATTCTCCTCAACCGATAACGATGCGATTATGAGCAGAGGAGTTTATGGGACGTAGCGATTAGGTTAAATTCTATCGACCCTGTATTTTGGTATTGTATTCTAGCCCTGTATTCTCGCCCTGGATTTCGGTCATGTATTCGCCAACGAACACTCTGTAGAAAGTTACCGGCGCTTTTAATATCTTGTTAACTTTCTTTCTCGGACTAGCCGTGACCTATGCTCCGTTTCCGAGAAAGGGCTTCTAATATCGTGACGGACTCCACATGTGAGCCCCGGGAGGAAGACGCGTACTCCGAGCTCGTTAACCATGCATCCCGACTTCTCAAATACCACACGTTGTTTGTATTTCTTTCTTTTATTTTCTGCTTCCTCCTATAGCTACCTAGTATTAACCTTATCTATTCACGGTTATTTAGAACATCAGCATTTGTCTGCTCTCCCTCTCATTTCACTTGATTAAGGACACATAAATTCACGTTCGTTGGATACACATGTTGGGCCACGTTTCGATAGAAAAATACTCGATATCCCACGACTCCTTTCTAGCCAGACATGCTTGGTCTTGTCTTGGTCATTAGTCCTAGCCTCACGAGCGCCCAGCAGCGCCTAAACTGCTTCTGATATGATGCAGATAGAGTAGTATATCTTCTCATCTGTGATGTTCAGGCCATACGCCCCATATCGAAGCTTGGTGGAGGCTAAAGTAGGAAGAAGAAGGCCAAGAAACTAGTGGACAGCAGTTTGTTTGGGTAAGCTCATGGCAGGCAGAGGCTCGAGATGAAAGCGTCCGAGTTGTGGACGGTCCACAAGATCAGCAGGATAGTCTAAGCGGGCACAACTGCCATTGTTACATGAGCCGCCATAGAGGATCGCGATTAGAATGATTAGAGTACCTAGCATATTTTGTATGACGGATCTGTTTGAATGCACGCCTTCTTCTACTGGACCGGCTCAGTGTCACGATAGACTGTCCAGGCCGATGCAGTCACGCCTCCGAATTCAGGCGCAAGATTGATATGATCAACACATTATCCTTGCAAAACATGCATGGGGAGAACCGAAGTACCCAAGCTCGGTCTAAACTACTTGCTTGCAAAAATATCAGGTCGTAAGAGAGACTAGAGCCTGCTTCCTGTCTCCTTCCTGATTCCAAGGGTGGAGAGAGAGAGTCAAAAGTCCAAGGCCAACGCCCATCTTTATCTACTTAATCTGCTGTTGATACGGCCTCGGAGTCATATATTTGAGCAAAGCGTGAGACGTTCCAACTCTGACCTTCATCGAACGGGAACTTGGAAGAAACTCCATTCAAACTTGCCTCGTAGGCAAGTAAATAGAGAGCCGTCTCTGCTAGCACCCAGAGAGATGAAATCAATGGCCGTATCCTCAACGACTTGCTCGATGCAGTGGACGTTTCATTGGCTCCAAGTTGAAGATAACTAGCATCTTTCACGACTTTCCCAAGGAATGCGATCTTATCTTCGGCCCAGGTTCATACGGCATGGATGCTGTCTACATGTACAGTCTGGTGTCCCAGTAAGTGACAACCCCCACCTAGCTCCGTCCTCCTCAGGCCACGCCGCTTTTCTTATACAAGTGGCAATTGAGCCCGCCTAATACTTGTGTTTCTTCTCTAGCCACTCAAACCTGAGACGAATTATAGTTCTCCCAGGCTTCAATCTCGTAATCCGATCTGTGGGCCCGTGAGTTGGCTGCTGAGTCGCCTGTTGAGCCGTTACATGTCGTTTCTAGCATTCACTCACGGGATTAATCTACCCAGGGGCGCAAACATCTATGTTTACAAGTCACCGCCGTCCATATATTCTTTTCGGTATATTCTATCAATGGGAGAAATATGGTGACAGCATTTAGAGCTCTGATATCTAAAATACTAAGAAAGTGATCTTGGAGGTGAGTACGGCCTCGGATAGTCTCGAAATCAACAGCGTTATAACTCCACACTGTCACACACATATTTACCATCCCCCGATGGTGCACAGGGCTTGTGAAAACGGAGTTAGTTCTCCACCTTATTCCTGATGAGCAGGGCTTATATAGATGGCCTCAAGTATAAGTTGAGCTTTCTAGCCATCAGTTCTCAACCGGAAGCTCTGTCACAAAGCGCTGCTTGGACGTAGTTCGTGGAATTCCGGTAGGCTGATAGGAAGTTGCTTCACCGCCTGTACAAGTTCTCATGACTTCAATGTCAGCGAGCTCGGTGGCCGTCACTGAAAGAGCGATCGGGGACATTGAAATCATTCCAAGTAGAGGAGTAGCTGTCCTCTCATTGAACGCGTTATCAACAGCCAACGGATAGTACAACGTAAGTAGCCAACAATGAATGATGCCAAAGCATGTCTTGACCGAGCCCTGTATACAGCACATTTAATCCCCACCCCGACGGTGATACCTAAAGCTATCTAAACAACTCAACCGAGCTTGCTTAATCTACCTTACGACCTATAAATCTTCCATTTGGGGGACAACTTCCACGGGAATGGACTTGTCCAGAGTGCATCAAATACATGTTGAAGGCGACAACTAACAAGTACCCAATACCGCCGGAGCTTGAACAGACGTCAACATAGCCGTCCCCCGAACCCGTAACCTCGGAACCAAACAGCTGCCTTCCGGCCCGGCCACACCACCGAAACCCGGAGACGTCTCACCGGCTCATGTTGGGGAGGCGGTCTCCCATCCGCCACCCTCCCCAACCCCCGAAACTCAAATTGACAACCTTCCTGTTTGATTACGTTGTTACCGTAACAAGCAAACCCCTTTTGCCTCTCTTCCCAAAATCCTAATCATCAAGTACCCAGTCACCAGCGGCAGTATCCATATGAACAACTCACAACGTGCCATCAAAGCGGCCAGTCCTCCATCAACCGGGAATACCGCCAAATATAGAGAACATGCCCGCGCGCGCACACGCACCCACACATACAACGGCAGGAAAAGGATCTGCCCTACGTAAGGCAAAGGAAGGGAAAAAAACGACGAAGCTAAGCCATATATCGAGCATGTCGCGGGTGTCCGCGGGCGTCCATGAAGATCTTCCACCGCGCGCCCCAAACCTTTTGCCTTGCCTGGGTCGGAATACATGTATCCCGTTCTTTGGCCCAATACCACCCCGGCACAGTTCCGAGAGGAGGGCTAATTAGAGGGGAGGGCAGGAAGAAAGGAAGGAAGGAAGTGGGGAGGAAGGATATGACGTCTCCCCCTTCGGGTTGCAGTACCCGAACCTCTCGCGCGTTCCTACTCAACCCACGATCTCGATACCATGGCAAGCGTGGCCTCCTTTCCTGACCCGCGCGCCGGCACGCCCGCTTCCCACGAGTCAAGAGCGCCCACTGCGTCCAAGGCTTGCGTCGTAGGAGTATCGAATCTAGAACGCCCTTCCTTCACCCCCCCTGATAGCGCGCCATCGAAAAAGGGAAGTGGGGGCCCCGAAAATGATGTTCTGACGCCGTCCGTAGATCTTCTTGTTCGGGCGCGCTGGACGGCGCACGCGGGAGAGGCAATCATACCGCATTCATAGGCATATAGGCAAAGAAACCCCCTGCATTATCCGCCTTGTGCTAATGTAAAGTCAGGGGGGGAGAGATAGTTTCGTGGGGCTGGCACGGCTAGTACGGAAGGAAAAGAACGTCTAGTGTATATCTAGTATGGGGGCACGAGGGTCTGATAGCCCCAAGCCGTACGTGGGACGGTTGGCTTGCAGGAAGGCGAGACCATGTGAGAGGGCTTGGGACGATGGTCTTGGCCTCTTGGGGATAGGGCGAAATTGACGGAATGGGCGTGGTAGGGCGAGAGATGGTGCACAGTCGGTGAGGATTGAACGTCGTAGCGCTATGCGGGCTAGCACCGTCATCTTTGCAGTAGAGCGGATTTCCGCAGGCACGTTCGCTGAGTGAGAGCCAAGCAATCACAAAGTGACGACTAGCTCTTCTGGCTGGAGGAGAGTTTGGGTGGACGAGAGACCCTGATTTCGTCTCATAGCAGGCCGGGGCGGCACAACAAGTTTGATGCCGTATGCCGTTGAGAACGCTAGGCCGTAATGGCGAATTCGGTCAGTATAAACCAAACCTTTCAGCTTTGACGTCGAGGGAGACACCCGGCTGTTTGTTGCGAATCATCGGGTTACTCATTTCGTGCATCTGATCTTCGACAACCCCGTCTGTTCCCCCTCCCTCCCCAGGTTCCGATCCGACGATGGTGGTGTTCTGGGTCGCTCATGACCATTGACCACCGACTGACCCCTGGCGGTTCATAACCCCTGCCGCGTCCGAGGTCTCTTGCTAATTTGCCCATCTCGATGCACTCTTGAGCCAGCCCCAAGAAGAAAAGAGCTTAATTGCACGGTCCTACCAATCTGGGCGTGAGTGAGAGGCCTTCCCCCTCCATGGCGAGTAAGATGCGTTCTAAGAACCATGATGCTGGGGCGGCGCGGGAACTAATGCAGGAGGTCGAAAAAGGAGCGACGGGGAAGGCTTCCGGTGTGGTCAGGGCTGGCCGGGGGTACGTTAGGTCGGGAGCTTCTAGTGCCGGGCGAATGACGGAGGAGAAGAGGGCGACGAAATGGTGAAATGGACCTATTCCAGCCCTGTACGGAGTACTCACAATGTGAGGTAATTGGAGCGATGTAACAGCACTACACAGAGTGTTCCCATGGTTCAAAGGATTGATTGAGGGGTGCGCTGTGCTATTGATGCATGGACATCTGGGCGGTGATGATCTGAGTGATCCCCACAGGGCGACTGAGTAATAAGACGATGGTAACCGCGACAGGCACGAAGTGCCGATGATACTGATGTCGGCATGTCGAGGGTGCAACTAGGCACGCTACTTCCGACCATCGAATGAGTCGTCCTCAACGCAAGGCCGCGACGAGTTTTGCGTCAAGCATGATTGCCAAGTGGTCTCTTCCACCAAGCTGAATAGCAGGGCTAAAAAAATGTAGCCTCTCCACTGCTGAGAGGTGAGTCCTTTGAAGAGGTGGCCTTTGGCTTTGACAAACTGCAGACGCACTCCTCCTCTTCGCATGTCAAAGTCCGAGTTGACACGCATGGGGGAGCTTGTAGGCTACGCATCGCGGCTACGTGATGACGAGTTTCAGCCTCCCAGTAGTGGGCGGATGCGAATTCCGATGCGCCTGGAAGGGCCGAGAAATGCACGCCACACAGCATTTAGTAGATACCTGGACGTGAATGCTCTCGGCGACGTCGAATACGAGACTCTGGATTCCCTCTCTTGTCTAAAAATGGGAATTGAATGAGATGGACGCGCCAACGAGGCGTCAAAGTCAGACGGCGTCAACTAAACGTAATCTGCTTGCCCATGAGACTCCTAAAGGCGTCATCTAGTGCCTTGCGCTTGCGGCTTCTTTCCTCCTCATTGGCATCCTGGGGATCCGGGGTATCATCGTCGTCTTCGGGTCCAGGCAGCTGGGGCATCCATGAACGTATCTGGCCGTCTAAGTGAGCCGTGTAGACGGCACCAAAAGAGCTCCCACCGCCCATTATAGGTCCCTTTTGCAGACCGGAACCACCACTACCACGCCACACCATACTCATTGTGCGATTCTTGACGTTCAAGCCATTATTCTGATGTGCAGCCGCCGCCGAAGGTCCAGGAACTCGTAGACGCGTCACCAGGGTGCCCTCGTGTAGGTCCATGACCAGGATCTCTTGCTCGTTGGGGTAGAACAGCAGATCCCGACGTGATGGGGTCAATCGAGCGGGCGTGACAAACATATTGACGGTCTTTGGCTGTCGATTCTGTATCATGGAACCAAAACTAGCTAGCGTATTTGCGCCAGTAGCAGCATCCCACACACGGATTCGACGATCCAAGCCGGCTGATATGATGTACTTGCCATCGTCGGTCCAGGTCAAGCCGTTCACACCCTCGTTGTGGGCTCGAGCTGAGTTGCGGAAATGAGGCATACGTTTCCAATCGAGTCCAGAGGCCATAGCATGGTCGAAGCGGTGCAAGACACCAAGGCTATCCTCCTGATCAAGCTGGCCGACTAAGCCAGAGGCGCGCCGTATGTCCCAGACGCGGACCTTCCCGTCGACATGTCCAGTGGCAAGAGCGTGCTCCTGACGAGGACTCCAAGCTGCCGACAAAACAGCGCCCCCGTGGGCTACCAGCGAGCGAATCGATGATCCTGACCTGAGGTCAATCAGCCGAACAGATGAGTGTTGGGTTGCGCAGGCGACCAAGAGATGGTTGGCGATGGGACTGGTGGCATGAGTGTAGATATTGGCATTGAGGTCGAAATTGGCGGACACTGTCATCCGTTGAGTAGACCACAGCTTGAGTGAGCGATCAAAGGAACTGGAGAGAAAGGCTTCATTGTCGAAAGGGTAGAAGTCAAGATGAGTAATGCCGTGCTTGTGTGTGTTCGTCTCATCTCCAATGGACCTGGCAATGTTGGCGATGGGTTGAAAGATGTGAGGTTTGTATGGATTACTCTCTTGATGAAGATTCCACAGCTTCACAGAGCCATCTGCACCGCCAGAAAGAAGTCTGCCATCAAGTATTGGTATTAGATAATATGGAGGGGCAGAGGATAGAGCAGTGATACGTACAAACGACCGTCAAACTTGTCCAAGGCCAGTGCATTAACACCAATGCGGTGAGCCCAAAGATTCACATGGCGGCCCTCTCCTTCGATTTCGGCACCTTCTCCGTCAAACCGGTGCTGCGGAGCGGCAGCAAAGGATCGGACGAGCCGGGAAGTGGTAGCTTGCGCAAAGCCGTCCGGGCTCAGCTCACCTGTTGAGCGGGCAAACAAACGGGACTGCATTCATCTGGGACTGGGCCTTGAAGTGACAAGGTGACCGGGAATGAGAATTCGTTTTGATTATTCTCAGGTGAGCTTGATGTTACTTGAAGGTATGTGGTTGAAGTTCAAAGCGCTGATGAGGCTGAAGTAGGTAAGACTCACAGAGGATGAGGTTGCCAGATGTAGTCGTGATGATGTCAGCAATCGACTCTCTCCAGCTCCAGCGCAACTATCCCCTGTGGGCTGCTGTGGCTGCCCTGTGGCTTGCGGTTGCCTTTCCAGTTGCAATGGGCCAGCCAACTGGGAGTTTAAGGTAGGAAGGAACCAGATTCAATTCCTTTCATTGGCCAGATTGCACTTGGACCCACCCTTCAGAACCTTCCACTCTCTTTCAAGGCAAGCACGGCAAGGTCGGTCAGGACATTCCTGCCCAACCTGGAATTGAATTTGAAGGGCAGGTGCAAAGACTCAATTCTTCCTCTTGTCTTTCAGGCAGCGCTCCCAACGTCTTCACAATTTCCTCGAGACATCTTCCTTTGACTGCGTTGACGACACCCCAATATTCCGCCTCTTTTTGGCCCGCCGCAGAGAACCAGAAAAGCTGTCTTGAGAGCCAACTAGGTACCGGCAGCAATCATCGAACTAGACAGTACTCGGCACTTCCGCCCAAACAGCTCGCTGGTGTCTTTGTATGCCAGCTTTCGTCGACCAACGGCAACGACAATCTTACGGGATCTACCAGCTATCAACTAGGGACCTGACCATACATCATGGAGGAACGACTGACAGATAGCCGCTCAGACATCTACGACCAGTCTGATGCACATGACCCCGAGCTTGTTCAACGTCCAATAGAAGAGGCCAAGCGGTCGCAAAGACATGCCAACGTCTATGATGCCGTTGCAGGTAAGCATGACCCAAGTCCAGGCTTTTCTATTTGAATTAGTACCAACTCCCTGTCAGGAAGAATCATATTTGACACCGCATTGAATGCCGCTGTTCGGGATGAGAAGACGCCTCACGCCATCTCCAAACCGCCCAAGCTGACTAGACATCCCCTCAACGCTTCCGCGTTAGCTCCGGAGGAGGTTCTGTTCCGCCGCAAGTCAGCACCCGAGCGCTTTGCCGAGTTCGATGTCTACATGGCACATGACCGGAACCTCGCAGATGGCGGCCACACATCCCTGCCAGACTCTGATCTTCTCAAATCGGTACACACCTATGCGAGCTACTTTTATTCTGCCCTTGGCGGCCCCAAGCGCAATCTCTCGTACCAAGTCGGCGCTCGCAATATTGACGAAAGAAGTATGGACGAATCGGCCTTGATCGCCCTGGGCATTCTGCTCGAAGAGGCTGGCAGAGACGTCTTAGGAAGTAAAGGCGATATGGTCTTCACCGAGGGCCTCGAATCATCTGCGGATAGCGATCCGACGGTTCAAGAACCACGTGCTACGACCAACACATCAACGCATCCTGTGCTTGGACACGTGAGCCAAGAGGCAGCCCCTGTCGGTTTTGCTGACGTTGGTTCCTGGAAAAGAGCTACCAAACGACAAAAACTGAGCGATCCCGATAATGCCTAGAGCCTCTCTGGATCTCTCACTTTCCGAGATGCTGGTTCCAACACTCCATTCCAAACCCTTGTCACAACTCACTTGTTGGTACTTTTGCACTTGGCGACCGTTGCCAGCAACCCGGAAAAAGAATGGATCCTCGTTTAGCGATCGGGGAGCAATAGAGACACGGCAACTCGGCATCTGGTACTTGCATGCACGGAGATAGTTGTCGACTGACACAGCCTTGCCCATTGTTTGCTACTGTTAGAAAGAGTAGCAAACACATCGGTCACAAGATCCACGGCACTCTCGACACGAGTATCCGGGCGTGGCCAGCGACAGCACATCCCAACGATAACCAAGCTCAGCAGTTCTTTTCATAACGAGACACACAACGAGTTAGCCGCCAGACGCCCAGTCCCTACCAGGAATCGCATTCTAAGCTCTAAGCAGCCTCGATCGTATACCTAAAGCGCTTCGAACAATCGGTTCATTGACAGACTGCTCTTGACTTCGCAAACGCTCTACATCCGAACATGCTGCATGTTTCTCTCCTTTCGGTCAATCGAGAGAAGGAGCAAGCTCATCGAGCTCAACGCAGGTGTGTTTCCCAGCATATCTATGTATTTTTCGTGGGTCCTCATTCTCATGATGTACGATTCTGTATAGAGACATTACATCGTGGCCAAGTCCGATGAAGTTTGTTGGAACAAATGTTTCGCTTAACAAGATACCCACCAAGACTCGGGGCGGAAACTGAAAGTTGTTTGCGATAGACTCTCAGCAGCCACCAGCCATACCCACCAGTTTGCGCGCCAGCCGTCTGCTGTCGACCGTTTTCGTACGACATCGTCTATGCTCGACCGAAGTCTGACGAATCGAAGCAGCTCGCGACGTCAGACGCTGTGTCGTCTATTTTTAGGACCGATCAAAATCCCCTTCTCTTTGTTCCGAGGTGTAGCAGACACAAGGGGAGCAGCTCGGAGTCATTCACGACCTTGCTTGTGTCGGCATAGACAGAGATGAGTGCGAGGAGAGGATTGAAAAGTCTCGTTTCATTCCTGGAAGTAGTACCTCGATACCAGGTCAGAGCAGCGTAACGGAAACAATGACGCGAGTTCAATTCCCCCGTCCACCGCCAGCGATGGCGACCTTTCTCCACGGGCCGCAGAGTTCATGCCCACAACCAAATGTCATCAATATTGAAACCCGCACTACGTCAAGTTTGACGAAAAAGAAACTTTAGATATCGCAGTATCTTGGCGCGGATGATGACCTCTTAACTTTGTAGGCAAGGCATGTTCGGCCGTCAAGAGTCCGACCCCTGGCAGCCGTTGGTGCTCAATCGAAGAACTCATATCACAACGGATCGTAAAATCGTACGTTCTCAATATGAAGCGAAAGACTCCATTCCGGTGATATGGCCGACTCCCCGACTCGAGTGGGGTACACTTACGAAGTACACACTGTTGGCCTCCTCCGGGCTAGCCTTCGATGCATCACCGGCCGTTGGGTCACTTGAAGACGACATCATATCGAAGTATGAGAACAACGAAGACCCGTGAAACGCCGTCCTAACCAAGTTCTGTCGTTATGGAGACACATATTCTGGCATGAAGGTTGAGAACACCGCCTGAGTCTCACGAGCGCGGGCTTACTAAGCATAAGCAATACTGTCTGACCGCTTTTCATACTCAACTAGGTGCCCCGTTGTGACTTGAGGTCGCATCCGACGCACCGGACCGGAATGGAGGTGGGTACGGATCTGGGTGTCCGGCTACCGGTGTGGGGGTCTCATCCGGCATGTCGCCCGATCACTTCACCCGCTCCCGGAGAGCTTCAGTGAAGGGTTCAGACTCTATTCTTGCGGCTGAGATCGGAATGTAGCGACGGACTCAGCACACATGTTTCGTCAGTCAACAAGCTGGATTCTATTGCTGGACACAATCGTACGAGATCGCGCCCATTCTGATTTCATAGCTCGTCATATTCGCCAAATTTGAGAAAACTACAATGTCCTAGGATCCGCATCAGAAGCAGTTCTGAAAGCCGATGAGGGCAAACCCCAGGACCCCAACACACAAACAAAGGGGAATCTCAATCCAGCTTGGCGTATCTCGACCAGGGCTTTGGTTGAAATCAGAAATCGGAGATCGGCTTGACTCCCTTGCAAGAAAAGAAAAGTCAGTTCCGTGAGCTCTGAGCCTCTGAAAATCTGGACAAAACAGAATCTTGCTCTTGCTGCCCACCTCAGCTGTTGGCACTGAGCATGGCCTACACTGCCACGTAACAGAACCCCCTTTTCGGCGCCCGCTGTGTGTGAACTGGAACACGAAAATTTTGCCTCTGGCGGCGACACTAGGCCGGCGGAGATATTTAGGGGTACACTATCAGAACAAGGCATTGTGCCGTCCTCAATAGAGATGGAAGTCGGAAACGCCGTCCATGGTTGTGGTTGGGCATCGAGATCAACATTCATCGACCTAGCGACGAAAGTTTGTTCAACCATGTGTGTTACGCTTTGACCGCTTGACAGTCCTCGCACGTCAGAACCCCTTGGCTGCTTGATAGCATTTCCCACCTAGATTTGCAACATTCAGGCATCAGGCTCAAGCTGGAGTTTGACCCATCCCTGAGGGCCACGCGATCCGCAAGGGGGCGTATCACAGTTTCGGTGTCGCTCTCGTCATGTGACCGTAGATGCAACGGTACACCGATGTTGTAGTTGGCAGCACATCGCTTGTGCCAACAACTTCTTCGACCTGCATACGGATACCGCGTGCAATAGCTGTATTGGGCAAGAGGATTCCTAATGAATTAGGGACCGCCAAAGACCGCGCAAGCTTGAGAGATCTTCGGATATGATAACTATGGGCGGAGGCGAAGCGATCAGACATGTCGTATCATCCACTGTCATGAGTACTGCACCGCTCAGTACCATTCGTCGCCGGCAGTATTGGCGCCACTGTACCTCAAAACACTGCAGAGCGGGCCAAGATTCTGTTGAAGAATATCACGGCGGATCGTTCGCAAAAAAAGATGAGCGTCGTAACGGCCAAAAGAATATCTATCCCGGTCTAGTGCCAGGATCTCCTTTCCAACTTGTCATTGACTGATTTCCCCGACCGTTAGACTTCGTGGCCACCTAATATGCGCACGGAGAATGGGGACGACGTCTGTCAGAACGGCATCTACCGACGAGCTGAAGAAAAGGAAGCAAAGGAAGAAGCGGAGCACCCCAAAAATGACAACTGTTTGGACCAACGGTCACCGTCTCGCAGTGTGTCTTGTGTCCATGCTCACCGACAGCCCACCAATGGATCCGACATGCCGGCCTCATGTCCATGATCTCAGCGTGGTTGGATGGAGCAATCCCCTTCATTATGACGGTGGCTTATTTTCAGCTTCTGGCTAAGCGACCACTTGTTCTTTGTCTCGGGGGTTGAACAGAAAACAAGAGACGGTATTCGACGGGGACTTGATTCGGCCCGGGCGCTGTGAAAGCTGGACGTACCGAATACACGGCAATATACTCACGCAAGTCATGGTCGTTTCCAACAACTACCTAGAACGTCTTAAGTAACCACGGAGGCAAAGTTCTAACAACACGGCGCCTGATCCACGTGGCTTCCAGCTGCTGCGACTTTCTTGACCGACATACGTGTCATTCGCCTGCTGTACAAGAAATCACGTTCATCACAGGCTCTTGTTTGAAGCGAAGAAGACTGGTCCATCAAGCAATGCGGCTGCTATTCTAAGACACTGCGCGCTCCGCTCCCGTTGCGTTGCTTGCCTTCCCGCCTGTGGCGCTGCCTCCGAAATTCGGATGCCATGCGAGGACCCCAATGCAGCTCGGGATGATCGACACAATGCCGGTCGAAAAGCATTGTCGCAACTCAAGTCACAAAGCCTTTTCCAACGACCGAGTCTCGAGTCCCTCGACTTGGCCGACTTGCACACACGTAAGTCGCAAGGAAAATACCGGAGGCGCCTACTGGTTTGACCGGTCAAGACGACCAATGTTAAGCCTTGGTCTCGGTGTGACAGTAATGGCCTGATTAAAGTGCGCGATCGGAAAATGGATCAAGCTTGGACCAACGTCGAATATCTTACACCGCCAACCGAGGCTCCGAGTTCTTTAAGAGTCAGGCGGGCGCATTCCAAGTTCCAGATGCGAAGGTGTCATCGCTCGTGGACAGCCTGGTGCATCAGCTCGTAAGAACACAAGACCCTGCGGGATTGCTGTTGAAATTCGAAGGCATCTTGACACAAGGTTCGGAGGACAGGTCCTGTGCGCTGCAGACCGGAAGATCCTGAGAAATGACAAAAGCGAGGGGTACCCAGCGGGTCTACGTTGCTACTCTAATCCTATGGATTCGCGTTCAACCCTCACCTATCCGTCTCATGGATGCAAATCCTCGCCTCTCAGCCGCAGCTGTGTATCCCGAATACCATTGTTAAGTCGTGCTGATACTTCAGAGCAACTGCAAATAAGCTATCGGATAATGCAGGGAACATGGCCGATTATATCCCTTACGAGCAAGCCCTCTGCGGCTCAGGCAATCGCTCGGGTAGTTTTTGGGCTGAAAGGGAACCTTCTGCGGCAATCAATGCTGGCCTCAAAACGGAATTGCCAGAAACCAAACAGTCCATATTACTGGCGCTCCTATGATAACAGTGCAACATATCTAGGCCAGGTGTGCTTTGTACCTCTGACGGCCATCCCAACCCGCCCATTGCGACCTAAACCGTAATCGGCACGGCTGTTCTTCTCATCGCCAACGTTCAAATGTCATTTTCGATAGACCGACCATCAGCACTACGGTGGTATTCTGTGGAACAGTGGAACGAATTCGTTCTGACGCACGAAGCCGACGCCTGCCGCCGCCCGAAAACTCAAGAGATTGAGAAGAGATTGAGAGTGAGGAGTCAAGACCAGGCTTGCGTCTTATCTACAATGCGTTGAATGTTGCGACATGGTCGCCTTGGTTCTCTCAAATACCCTAGCAAACCCTGGTAAACCTTCGTCTCCAGTCGGCGGTGCACCAATCTCCGAACCTCCAACATCTCCTCGGGTTGCTCTTTTGGGCCCTTTGGGAAAGCGACCGCGCCAGTCAGAATCGGAGAAGAGGCTCACTCGCAATCACCGATACTGATCCAACTTCCAAGGCTTGCTGCCGGAGGTGATGCCGGCCGGGCATGCACGTCGCCTATATGTGACGGCTCCCGCTCAAGTCATCAGCCTTTACGAATATCGACTCCCCCATGGTGAAGAACAATGGCTGTGCGAACTTGGTGGCAGTCACGGCAGGCTAGTTTCGGGTCAGCCAGGAACAGCGGCGGGCGTCGCGAAGGACAAACTTCGGTCGTCAATGCGACTATTGAAGGCGAACCCTGTCGATCCTCCAACTAGATTTGTTCCCCGCATTCCGCGTTCCATGGAAGACAGCCACTTCCTTCGCGGACACGCCTTTGAGTTCCTTAACCGCCCAACGGTTGCTTCGCATTTGGTCGAGCCGCTCTGCGGATACAGTCTATACTATACTACGGGCAGTTTTGAGACGAGACGAACAGAAGTCTAGCTTCCGTCTTCCCCGGCACAACTCGCCGACCTGCTATCCCTACAAGGATACTTTCGCGGATATGTCTGCTACAGATTTTCTGATGGGTTGTGTGCGCTCGTCCTGTTGTCTCTGACGACACTGTATCCTTTCTTGCACAATAACAGATTGGAGACATCGACTTCCTGTCTCGAAACCTCATGGTGGGCTTGTGCTCGGACGCTTGCCCAGGACCCTACCTCTGTCCGGCGTACTTGATACGCAGCTCACAATGCCGCCGCGTTGCTCTTCTGCACGGCTTCCTGCAGCTAAGCCCACGGACGTTGAGAGCAAGTCGGCAGGCTTATGCTACAGGGAACAGCCTAGCAATGCAACCTACGAGTCAAAGTCACCCCATTCCCGATACTGCCATGTCTGCTACTTAGCGCGGATTAGAATATCTGCTTTGATGGCTGTCATTGTGCAGCGTCTGCCTACGGCGGCTACTCGGCAGGCAGCAGATTGAGCTAGAAAGCTCGGTCAGTCACGTTGGTGGAGAGGAGCTGAAGCCATACCTGATAATCTCATCGAGGGTAAGGAATCAACAGGATAGCACCTGCGCCCCGGAACCTTACTTGGCGATCATGGCAGCTCATAAGGAAAGTTGTGATGCGGATACAGATCCAGCTCGAACACCTCACAACAGTTCACGTACTGTTTCTTGGGCGTAAACCCAGGGGTGAGCAGCCGCTTGTGCTGCGGCAGTTGCGATATGCGCCTAAGTGTGCATAATTCTCTGACGAAATGAGGAAATTTGACCTCAAGCTTGCTGACTTTGCGGGGTTTGTAGATTAACAACGTTCTGCTGATTAGACTTAGAACCTACGAACCAGCCGATTTGGACGTATGGCCATCCTCGTCAACCACACCGGCCCACTGATGGTCGTCAGAGCCTGCAGATCAAGAACTCTACTCACTACCGCGGGCTACAAAGAGCGGTGACTGATTTGAAAGCAATACCGCTAGGCGAGTATGTTCTCCTGATGGAGTCTCTCAGATGCGAGACGAAGCTGGATGTCATTAAACAACGCTGGCGCCTCGTTGGGTGGGTCGTATCGGCTCACATCTTGTGTCACTTGCACGGTCGATTGAGATACCCAAAACCGTCCAGTCATCAATGGCAGCAAACGGTGTTTCTTGGACTTTATGTAAGAAGCCTGCATGCCGAAAACCTTAACTGGCGAAGTGATCTCATCTCGAGGGGCCCGGCTGTGAGGTATTCTGCCCAGCATTGAGCTTGGGGACTTTGGAGGAGACAATTGACCAGGCACTTTCAACGGTGCGAACTCCGATACCTCTTGACCAGCTCACCCGCCTCGCCCTTGTTCACAAGAGACTACGCTCGGCACTTTCACTCTCATTGTCCTCGATAACAGGTTGCAATAGCTGCGAAAGCACTTTGATCTAGGCATGGGGTGCGAACTGGTATGTCTGATATCAACAGCGGCAGAGGAGAAAAGATATGTTATGTTATACTTATTTTTGGGTGTTACTGAAGACTTCCAGGGAAAGCCTTGTGAAGCCCCTGCGACATCACTCGCAGAGAACGAATACCTCCTGTTACAGTTCTTCGCCATGGACACCTCGAGGGCACATTTCAATGGCTACTCGGTGCCCCTTTCGGACGCAGCCCCATGCCATGGGGTCGCATTCATCTTTCAGACACTATGGTCGGGCATTTATTGAGGCGGTTCGACTGCGACGGGTGCTTCCATGACTCCCGACAACGAAATGGAGATGCCGACAGCCCGCCCAGGGAACAAGCTTGAATACGGTTCATTGGCGTAACGGCGTTACACATTGCCCTACACTGTCCATATGACGGGTGGCTAGGCATGGGCGGAGATTCATGGGAATGATTACTGAGAGTTCGGGACTGGCAACAATGGACATGGCTATGACGACAGCCTCAGCAAAGAGTCTCAGCAATTGCTTGCCGGAGAGGCACACCGCTTGCATGTCACCATGTCCCGTGATACAACTGGCGACCGCACGCCTCACTGTCCAGCCTCGCACGCAGAGTTGTCACGACCAAAAGCGCGCTTGTACTAGAGTCGGCAACATTGCGCTGGTCACGTTGACCATACCCCAAATGTCAGTCGCTGGACGAGGCAGGGATCTTCCACAGGATTTCCCTCGGTACCTTGCGCTCGGGCTGGGCTCGGCAGCCTTTGACCCGTTTTCGAAGCTAAGGAGATTTGGAGGAGTGGCTTTTTCCCTCTTCTCATCCCCCCTGCTGGGTGACGAGCTTCTTACTAACAAGCAAGACGCGGCAATGAACTTGGAGTAAGTCGGAGGGAGCCGCTCTGATGCTTGGGGCGGCAAGGGACTAAAGCATGTACTTGCGGACCATATCCGCCGCATCTTTTATCAGCACTCGCATCTGTCGCACACAGCTATCTCACATTGGCCGCGGCGGCCCAAAAAGCCCCCGATGAGCTGTCAATTATCGATAATCCAAGGCTGGTTGATGGGATTTACGGCCTCCGACATGTTCCTGGGACAAAGTATCCTGGGACAGAGTGGCTGTATCCGTACCTGCAACTGCATGCCCGAGCTCAGGCCTGGCGTGTTGGACATGACGCACTTAAGCACCGACGATGACAGAACGTCGTTGTCGTACAGTAACGGATGCGCGTCGTGTGTGTTGATGCGCGAAGGTACCCCATTCAAAGTACTAGGAGAGACAAGGCACGGTACCTGGAGAAGAGGGCAACATGGCAGCGTTCCTAGCCCACGTTGCCCTACGAAACCTTGTTACAGACGACACAAGAATGACCAATGTTTGGTTCTGTCGATATGAACAGACTTTCGACACACGGCCGATGAGTCTACGACCACGTGCCTTCAAGCTCGCCGGCGCTGCCGAATCCGAATCCGGGACGGACTTGAGGCGATTATCACTTGCCGAGCACGCAAAATGATTCCTTGGCGCCTTTGCCCTCTCGTTTGGACCAGGTCGATGTTGAAAGGGGCTTTTGGAAGAGAACGAGTCAACTCAGGATGGAGCAACCGCGATCTTGTCAAGTCTTGACAAGCTCTCGGCCAGACAAGCAACGGACCCTGCTGCAAGGAGTTGCACCACCCACCAGTGACAGCCAACAAACTCCGAGACACTTTCCTCTGTTTTCTGGAAGTTTCAGGGCAGCATTTGATGCTCATTGGAAGTCCTGACAAAGTACAAACCGTAGAGGTGGGAAGAGGAGGGGCCACGGCGACTTGAGGGTGGGGGAGAAGAAAGAAAATTTCAAACCGTTCTGGGGTCAAAACCCACTAATCAGCTCCACAGCGATGGGATCCTCTTGCCGAATTGCAGACGGCTCACGGCGCGTCCTCGAAGACTTGAGGCCCCACGGGCTGTTCGAGTTGAAAGTCGGTGCCCTCGAATGGTTACCTACTCGGGAGTCGAATGGTTCGGGGAGACGAAGATCATGTTGCAGAACCCGATGAGCGTTGATGTGGAACATGAGCTGCCCAACAGTGTCCGTATACGCAGTAGGTATACCAGAAGCCAGCCATGAGTCGCAGGTCGATGTATCGTGTACGAGCCGGCGCTTTCGAGCTGTGCCGCATGTTGCGCCTCAACCGCCAGGGGAGGCGGTATCAAGTACGCGGACCGTCGGCGCGGGATGTCGGCCAGCGATCCCCCCTCCAAGAGAAAGTGAGGGGCTGATAGTACTTGAAAGACACCTGGTTCTCTCCCTGCGACGTCACCGCATCGCGAGTACACATGCTTGTCACCTGTCGAGACCACCGCCGCCGGTCAGGTGACTTGGAGTCTTGACCGACCCGGCCGACAGGAGCGGCCTTTCTAACTGCGCCCCGCAAGGGAAGAGCTCCAACAGCTCCATCAATTTTCAAGTTCAACCCCGTTGCGCAAACGCCGCCGTTGTCCAGAAGAGGCTTGAAGTGTTGCGACGAGGCCTAGGACGTGCAAGACTAAGACCAAGATGTACGGAATAGAATCAGACTCAAACAACCAGCCGGTCAGCAGACCAAGGGCAAACATTGCGCCCCTAGTGGCAGAGCGAGATCCCCCATCAGCGTTCGGGAAGGCATTCTTGTTGCGTATCAATGGACCGAAACACGTACGGATCTACGAGCGTGTCGACGATGATAGGATGGGCGATACCCGTATCCGTACAGCACGATTTTGGACTTCAACTCTGTTGGCCAACTTTACTCTGGCCAACCTTCGGCTGGCACTTATCACATAAACACTTTTTCTTCAAAGTTTGGCTTCTCCGTCACCGCCGACTTCAGGATAGGGCGGGCAATCCGCAGGCAAGACTGCTTCTGTCAGTCTGTCTCGGGCCCCTCACCTCCATTTCGGCAGCTAACCACGACTGACGGGCAGCATATATCCTTGCTCCCTTGCTTCCTCTCACGCGGGCGTCAGCGAGCAAATGGACTTTGCTCACCACCCTCAACTCTGCTGGCTTTCCACTCGCGAGTGACTTTTGGTGATGGTTAACCTAACCTGTCCCCTCCATCCTCGAGCCAAAAAAAAAAAAAAAAAAAAAAAAAAAAAGTCATCACAGACCACCATTGGCACCAATGAGCAACAAGCAACTCTGGACAGGCTGCTGTCATCTTTTGCTTTCCGCACGCCCCGTGCCCCTCGCCCGCCTGCCGAGGACCCCTCCCCTTCCCCTCCCATCCCATCTCATCCCACATCTCAAAAGCTGCTCAGACCGACCTCAGTCACCCCAGTCGAGCGCCAGCAAGGCAGGTCCCTCGGCGCTCCGAGTCTTTCCAGGCAGCCTCCGTGCTTCCCAGGTACCGGTCCCTTGGACCACAGCTTTGGAGCAAGTTTTCTGCTCTTTGACGGTTCACCGTCTCTGCAAATGAATCGTTACTATGGAGTACTGGGCAGCAGTTCGATATACAGTATCCGTATCCCACACTATCAGGATGCTTGCCAACAACTAGCCGGCTTGGCTCTGGTTTTACTTTGGCGAGTCGCATACTTTCGTCCGTCCTGCGGCAACATTGCTTGCCCACCACACCGTGTTTCTCTCTCTCGACATTCGTCAGTTACTGCGGCGGGGGCAAGCTCCGGTCTTCAGCCCTTCTGTTCCGGCCTTTTCCGCCTTGACGTAGTCAGCAACGAACGGGCCTTTTCGTCCATGCATTTGGGTTTTATATCACCGATGGGGAACGCTATTCGTCAGATTATTAGTCAACCCCAGACCTGAGCAGCGAGCGAGCGAGAAATGAAGAGAGAAAAAGAGAGAGAGGTTGAGATGCTTCAGAGAGGGAACTTAAGGGAGAGTAAAAAGAGGCTTTTTTTCGCACACCCACCCTGGTATTCTTCGCCTCGCGCCCGCCACCAAGGAAGAGCCCTGTGTACGACATTCAAGCCGCTAAAATAACGTCGCCGCTTGTTTCTCTTCGCGACTCACGTCGATTCGCTTGAGGAAGGCAAAAAGTTGGAAAGAATTGCCCGCCACGCCCGCCACGCCCGCCACGAACAGCCTCGTCCAATCCAAACGTCGGCCAGTCTAGCGGTGGGCACCCGCGAAAAATACCAAGATATCGCGCGTGCAGCACCAGCACCAGCAAGCAAGCAAGCAAGCAGCACAGCACAGCACAGCGCAGCGGTCAAGTGACGAGTCGAGGCGGCGCATTGCGAACGGATACTAGTTGGAGAGTTGGAGCATGGATTGCATGTCGCTGCTCCGCACTCGTTTTGTTTGCCTGCCCATCCCATCCCATCCCGACGGCTTTCGCATAGCATCACATCGCACGCCCGCCCGCGGGTTTCCAAACCGAAAGAAAACCTAATATTACAGCAGACCCTTCTTTTACAAGGACCTGCCGTCTTTCCTTTACACCGCAACCACACGTCAGCTCACCGTACATTACACCGGGACAGCTGGCCCCTCGGGGACCACCAGCGACGTAGTGATCAAGACAAGACAAGAGGGGAACCAGAGCCCCAGAAAAAGCGGAACTTGGACATTCCTTTGCACGGCCGTTACTGGAAAGCAAATTTCCTTCTCGAATCCCGTGACCACTTTTCCCCAGTTGTCTGGCATGGAGTATGATCCAGAATGCGCCGGTCCATGACTCTATGAATAGACACCGGACGGCATACACCGAGAGATTCGGAGAGAATGGCAAGAAACAAAGATGATGATGGAGGCTGGACGAGAAAGAGAGAGCATGAAGATGTTCACGTCTCTGAGGTTCGGTCATCCATGAATTTGCGCGCCGGCCCCCCTCCTCCCCCCCTTTTCTTCCGACAGCATCTCCGTGCGGCGCGTCCCGTCCGGAACTGGCATTGTGCCTTGGAAAGCCGACGAGAACTGCTGCTGCGTCGGATCCAAACAAGCGTGGGAAGCGGTGTCGGGAATGGGAATGGGAATGGGAATGCCATGAGTCGGTCTGCTAGCCGGTCACTACCCATCCCTGACATTGAGTGGTCGACTCTTGCTACCGCAGTATCCGTACGACTAGTGCGACTGCTGCGCAAGTGTATTCTGTTTGTGTGTGCGCGTGGTTCATGTGGGAAGAGAGAGAGTTTCTATCCTTAGCACCGCATCCGCCGTCCAGGTACGCAGTGCAGCTTCTCAGCAAGCAACCAAGCAACCAAACAACCAAGCAAGCCATGGGCAACACAAGAACGGATTCCCAGGCTGTTGGAAGACCTTCCTAAGACAAGCATACCGACCTGGGGCATAGGTCTCTCCCCAAACGGTACTCTGCGCGGTGCAGTACACGTAGAGTACCCTACATCTGTCTGTACATGCGCGTGAACATGAGGATTTACCTGTAGGCTGTGGGAGGAAGCAGATCAGGCCGGGCCAGCAGCAGCTTCACACGCAAGACACGCACTCCAACCCCGTCAGGAACGCACCCAGTTCCACCCTCTCGTCCATTTCCAGGGCGGCGCGCGTGGGAGAAACGGCGGAGGCTGTCGATGAGGATGGGATATTAACGACACGCCCCTCCCTTAGTTTCCCTTCATCTCCATTTTTCCCACACAGCGAGCGCAAAGCTCCAAGTCCAAGACGACGACGACGACGACGACGACGACGACGACGACGACGTGCTGCGGAGTAATCGGTACGTAGACGAAAAGGAAAAGTACGGTAGGTATTAGGACGCCCACCCCCCCTCGTTCGCTCACGAAGATCCCTCGTCCTAGTCCGACCCCCCCCGCCCCCCAATCCCAGACTTTGTCCAGGTAGTGTGAAGTCGCCGCGCTGCTGCTACGTTTTTATTTTATTTATTTTTTATTTATTTTTCTCCCCCTTCTCGTCCTTCCTAACCCACCCTTGCTATTTTCTTTCCATCGACCCCCCCTGAGCCCTGCTAGTTTTCTGAGACTTTTTCACTTGGCAGGGTCGATTGGATTTCCCAGGTGGTCCTCTCTGTGTCTCTCTCCCACTCTCTTTTCTTGGAGGAAAAAGAGTCCAAGAGTGAAGGACTTTGTCGCGAAAGTAATTCCCTGCCTTGTCTCTATCGGTCACTCTCCCCTCCCGGTCTCTACCACATCCCACACACATCCTTGAGGTTGAGATACTTTGAGATACCACACTGCGTACCCCTCGGCCAAGCTCCAGAGAGCTCCAAGAAAGCATAGAGGGCCGAAGAGGGAGGAGAGTCAACAAGAGTCAGATCAGGCCACCAAAAGCAGACCGCCTTGGAACGGGTGGTGCCCGTTTTCTGCCTTTGCCTCCAACTTTTTTCACTCGCACCCTACATCCGAGTCTACACACCCAACCCGCCATCGAACATTAGAGTAAGGATACTCCGTCGAGCAAGCGTACCGAGTACCTCGTGCCGACATCTCCACTTCGTGCGTGTACCTTGTATCCGTGGCGCTCGTCTACTCTCTGCGCGGGAGCAAGGTATATGGGAGAGACCAGGACATCACCATCCTTCCGTCTCGCCGCCGCTTGAGAACTTTGACGTTTTTCTCGACCTTCTTTTTCTTCCCTCCTCTACTACGTACGCGCAAGTCAACAGAGAGAGATCCCCCTCCCCACCTCGCTCACACCTTCACCCCCGCTAAACCTCCAAGGCAGCGCAACCCGAAGAAAGAGGAGAGAGCAAAAATAGCGGAAGCTCCATCTCTGCCCAACGCGCTGATCCCCGCCCCCTTGGAGTTCCAAGCCGACTCTTTGGGCATCCGGGCGCATTCGCAGAGTGGGAAAATCCCATTTCCCAAGTTTCAAGAACCACACAGCCGGGAACACTTCAAACCGCTCACCACATCGGGTCCCCAAGTCGAGTAAGAAGACTTCTCGAGTCGAGTCGAGTCGAATCGACGACCCTTCCCGTCCTCGCCGCCGCGCCTCTTCCGCCCTTCCACTCCCCGACTCCCAGTCCCCCCTACCTTACGGATACCTTCCTTGGTCCTTGGTCCTTGACACCCAAGATAGGTTCTACGGATACATCCAGGTCTACGGATACGGATACCTCGACTCCCAACGACTTAGATCCCCGACATTGGGTTGCCAAGTACCTCCTCCTACCTTTACCACTCCTCACCCTCACCCTCCTCTACTATCCGTACCTCTCCGACTTTCACACCGACCTACCCTTCCCGTGCGTACTTCGTACACATACGTTGCACTTCTCCGTACCGGTAAACCGTGGACCACACTCTGTACACTACCTACCGTACGTACAGACACGCCGCCATCAGGAAGAGGAACCACCACGGCCCCATGCTTTCATCCAAACACTGAGAGCCTCCTCCAATTGTTGCTGCCCCAGACCCAGAACCCAACCTGATCTCCGTTCCCCGTCCCGGCTTCCCTCAACTCGCACAGGCTTCCTGCTTGATTGATTGATTGCTTGCTTGGTCGCTTGGTTACTCGCTTGTCCGTCTTGCTCCTCCTCCTCTCCTCTCCTCTCCTCTCCTCTCCTCATCCCCGTCCACTGCTGCTCCCGTCTCTGCGTCGCGTTGCGTTGCGTTGCGCTGGCCCAGCTTTGAGAGACTACTGGACCTGGACCGGACCGGACCGGACCTGGACGTCTGGCTATTCCTCCTCGTTGCCCATAGCTTTTCCATGGCCGCCACCTTCTCCTCGGATCTGGCCTGACCCTATTTTCGCTTCGTCTCTTGTTTTTTTCATAAGCATTTGTACGTATGTACATATATATCAAGCATGGATCCTCCGGGGCAGCCTGACAACAAACGCCCCCGTCTCTCGAGCACCAACTCGTGGTCACCAACCGGCGGACCGCAACACCATCTACCACCACTCCACCCGCCGCCCTCGCACCCGTCGACGCCTCACCAGGCACATCCTCTTCCGCCTCATCAACAACACGCGCCGCCGCCTGCGCCATATAACCACCAGCAGCAGCAGCCGCCTCCGTACCCTCCTCGCTCCGTCGAGCCTCACCACCCTCCTCACCCGGCGCCGCAACATCATCCCGACGACCGACGACACCATGAGCAAGAGCCTCCTTACACGCCGATGCAGGACCACTATCGACACCCGCCCTCACCTGCGCATCCGCCTTACCCACCCTTCCCAAACCGAAACCCTGGCGGCGTGAAGAGGGAACCGCACGACGAGAACCTTTCCCACCCACGAAGGCCTCACTCGACAGGAGGCGGGCCACAGGACGGCCTCCCTCCTCCACCGCACTCTGCGCCGCCGCATCCTTCGCATCAACCGTACCCCGACGACTCTCGACGACACATGAGCTACGATAACGGGCCACAGCAGATGCCCCCCACGCCGGGGGGCTACCGAAGCAGCTTTCCTCCTCCTCCTCCTCCTCCTGTGGCCCAGCCGCCGCCACCACCACCTCAGCATTATGAACAGCAGCAGCCGCAGTACCAAACGCAACCTCCTCCCGAGTCGATCTACGCCCAGTTCTCTTCCACCGCCAAGCGCAAGGCAACAAGAGCCTCTCAGGTGCGACCGCGCGAGTGCTCACTTATATATGTCAATTTGCGACTGACCATGTGTTCCAGGCTTGTGACAGCTGTCGGCAGCTCAAGGCGAAATGTGATGAAACTAAGCCTTGCAAAAGTTGCAGAGAAAAGGGTGTCGAGTGCAAATATCGTGATCCGATTCCAAAGGCGTCAGTCGAGTTTGCCTCCCCTCCCTCAAATAATGTATCTTGCTGATATTGGAAATAGAATCGACAAGGGCCAAACAGATATTCTGGAGGCGATCTCCGAGATGAAGAGCGCAATGGAGGCCAAGTTTGAGGCGCAGATTGCGGCCCAGCAAAGGTGGATGCAAAACATGGAAGAGAGGCTGAACATGCACAACATCAAGATGGAAGCCGAGGCGCCGCTCTCGGATGACTCCCCAGCCGATAAGTCGAATGTGAAGTCGCTATCACCGGTCCCCGCGCCCCCTGTGGAAAACTACCCTCAACACGACGAAGACATGCACGAGCCGGAGCCGCAGCCCATGGCTGTTGGCGAGACGGACTTGGCCCACCAGATGCACGATACGGATATGGATAACGACGATGCGCCCGACAACCCACCTGGACCACCTGTGGCGCCGGGTCCCCCTTCGATTCCGGTAAACCACACAACCAGAGCCGACACCATTCTGTTCTGGCCGGGCGTTAAGGAGATGACTCAGGGAATTCTGGAGAGGGAGAATGTCAAGTATCCTCAAGAGTACCCCATTGCTCAGGAAGAGAAGCGCGGCGTTCTGCGACTCTACGGGCGTGGAGAAGGGAGTGGTCAAGATCCCAGTCGCGGCGTCGCAAGCGTTGCGGCCTCGGAGGCGTTTGGCACCATGGATGTCATGGAAGACAACTTCTCAGAGACTGGAAACTCACCCTCTCCGGGCGAGGCTTGGGGCCAGGTCGGAGGACTGAGCCCGCCGACGAGCATGGGTTACACCAGTGGGACGCTCACACCCGACGGGGCTCCGGATTTCTCTGAAGAAAAGGTCAAGTCATATATCACCAGCTTCGAGAAGCACGTCCTCAGCCTTCACCCGATTATCCTGTCTGGAGATCTCAGAATTCTGGTCAAGCGCTTCTTGGACAACATTGCACAGACCGAGAAGAAGCCTAAGCCGACAGCACCCGGCGTCGCCAAGTTTGTTGCGCCGACGAGCAGCTACCCCGAAATGTCAAGCAAGCGGAAGCGGTCCTCGCCAGCACTGGATCAACCAGAAGAACCGATACAGCTCCCAAAGAAGGCTGGCAGGCCGCACAGGACAATTGAAAACGCCCTTGTGTTGGTCATTCTCGCCTTGGGCAAGATTTGCCTCCATCAGTCCAAGATCCCGGACCTTCCCCGGGACATGGTAGAACACAGCCAGAACTCTCCCATGAACAGGAACGGATACCCGTCCTCCCCCGGTGCCCAGGCGTCGCCTCCATCATATTCCTCAGCGCATTCGTCCTCCGGGTTACCTTCGCCAAAGGAGCAGGCCAACAGTCTTCCCAGCAGACGGCCTTCGTTGCAGGGCAGCGGCGCCGGCAGCCTGAAGTCCAGCTCGACGTTGAAGCGCAACTACGATATCATTCCTGGTCTCGAGTATTTCGCCTATGCCTCTGATATTATGGGCAACCACATGGCCGGCTGGACGATGAAGCACGCGCAGACTTTCATCTTTGCTGGTCTGTACCATGGTCAACTAGGCAGAGTATTGGAGAGTGATGCCATGTTCTTCAATGCCGCCCGAGCTTTGAACATGATTATGCGTCGGTAAGTTGACTCAACACGGATTACTAAGATGATGAGAGACTGATGTCAAGCAGTGACATGGACCGCTTCTCAAAGATGGACCCTTTTAACCCCGTTGAGAAGAAGCGCGATAACATGGTCCTCCTAGCATACTGGAGTTGCCTGCAACTCGAAAAGTAGGTTTTGCCATACCCGACTGTTGGTTCGTACTAACAACTTTCAAGCGACATCATTGCGGAACTTGAACTCCCACGATCAAGATGTCTCGATTACGAGCAAATCATGCCTTGGCCCAACATGAAGCTCATAGAGAACGAAACCTCTCTCAGAGTACGAGACTCTTACATCGGACAGCTGTACCTGCGAAAGACGCTGAACACGATCCACAACTTGCTTTACGATCCCCAGGACTTGCACGTTTCGATCACCGACAAGATGAGGAAAGTGCAGGACTTGGAGGAGCAACTGAGAAGCATGAAGTGGGTATCAAAGGACTTCCACTTCAACGAGGACGACGAACCGGCAAAAGAACTCATTGATGCGCGGTTGCGTGCCAAGTACTGGGGTGCTCGAGTCATCATCTACCGACCCTTTGTCAGATTCGTTCTGGAAGTTTCGGACAGGCTAAAGCAACGGTCTGATAGCTCCGGCGTGCTCAACAAGGAAACGGTGGGACACATCGGCGTCTTCACCCAACACGATGCGACCGCGTTTGTGGGGCAGGGCTCTCACGGGATCCGTGGTCACGATGAGCTCACTCAAGAAGTCAAGGCATATGCCGACAGAGGTATCAAGGCCCTCATTGAGAGTACTCGGGCCTTCCACGGTGTCGACAGCAAGCGACTTCTCGTCACCAACATCTTTGGCACAGCCCATGCGTAAGTTGTGGCTTTTTCCGTGGCTTTCATGAAATCATACTGACCATCACAGGCAATGGGGCAACCTTTTGATTTTGGCGGCCGCCTTCCGCGATCCTTACCTGCACCATCTCGTGTCGAGGGAAGAACTGAAGATGCTGTTCCGACGGACCATCAGCATGCTCGAGATGCATGCCCAGTCATCTAGCTCATTGACGATTGACATGCACATCCTGCAGCACATCGAAAAGGAGCTCTTTTCCGAAAACCCGAGGGTTGGCTCCAGCAGTTTCGGCAGCACCAACAGCTACACGGGGCCGACGATCCCCCCGCCCCCGCCACCCACGTCCGCGCCGCCGGCCCATCACCACCACCACCACCACCACCCGGGCCCCATGTCCATGGCATCCTTCATCGAACCTAACCACCGCAGCGCGAACAACTCACCAAACCAGGGACACCGCTCGCTGAACAACGGATCGGGTCACGGTCATCCCCCGAATCACGGACAAAGCTACCACGGACACCCTGGACACCCTGGACACCCTGGACACCACCCTATGCAGATGTAAAATGGGAAAACCCCCAGACGCAGCGCCCCCCTCTACCAGGCGGAGAACAGTACACGAAGAAAGCTCCCCCTGCGACGCTCGCGATTCAAATGACGACAGAAACACCTGGGATCGGGACGGAACTATTTGGTATTATGGAAAGTTTTAAAGGCAACAAATTAATTGGGAGGAATCAAAACCGGGCGGAACGAAATGCCGTATGTGTGTACGCGCGGGCCAGAGAAAAAAGAGACGGGGGACGGACAGACGCTCCCTCCGCTCTTGGTCATGAAATTCTTCATACCCCAAACAACAAACATCCATGAACCGGCGTTTTGCGAATTCGAATATTGCTTTTTCACTTCATTTCTCGTACCTACTTGGAGACCCTTTAACCCCCCCCCCCGGGGAAACCTGGAAACCCGGAAAAATCATTTTTGTTACATAGGAACCCCTATGCGATTACGCAGTACAAAAAAACCACAGCCCTCGAATCTCGCCACCTTTTTTTTTTTTTGGTATTTTGACTGGATCCTCCCTGGTTTTGCGACATGTCACTTTGCCTTGTATACGCATCAGGCGAGAGTGTGGCTCTACTGGACCGAAAACTTTATTCATTCACGGCCGACGTGTTAGCGACTATATACATTATACCTACGCTCGAAGCTGGACGAATATGGGAACGGACGGGGGAGGAAGGAAAGAGGCGGGTTGGCAGGGACAAGGCAGCATTGGGGGGTAAGGGGAAGGGGAAAGGAGAAACGGAGGATTTGGACAAGAGCATCTTTAACCACTCTCTGTCGTTATTAGACGACGCTGGACCTCCGCAGGGTCGTTTTTTGAAATTGGTTCGGTGGCAAAGGAAGGGAAAGGAAAGGGATTGGGGCTGGGGCTGGGGCGGTGGAGGAAACTCTTTGGGGAGGAATTGCATATAAAAGACAAGACTCGTAGCGAGTCTTTGGTTCGCGCCCTTTCTTGTTGTTTGTTTGTTCTTGTCCTTTTTCTGTTGTTTTTTTCTCTCTCCCTTCTGGTTGCTGTTGTTGCTTTCGACTCTGAGAGAGCGATTTTTAAACAACAACCCCCTCAAACAAAGCATTGCATCGAGAGTTTTTTTTTTTGAGTTTGCGCACCTATGTATCTGGCAGCATTTGCACACTTTTCTATTATATATCCTTTTTCTGGGGTCTTTTTTTGTACCTTATCATCATCATCTTTGTTGTCGTCTGTCCCCCACCCAATCGGAGAACTGGATTCACCAAATGTTTGGTTTTGTCTTTTCAGTTCTGGTTGTTCCATGGCGGGGGTTTGTCTGGAAGGTTTTTATGGCGGCGGGAAGGGAAGGGAAGGGACATTTTTGTGGAAGGTTTCCTTCCATTGACAGGCTTGTTATATTTCTAGGGTGAGATCCTTTTTAGCGGAGGAGATACCAAATGTGGAGAGAGAGAGAGAGAGAGAGAGAGAGGCGTGGTGGAGTGCCTTCTTTCTCGAGTTATGTTTTCCTCGTATATTAGTACGTATTTATAACTATTGCCCTGAATTTGGGTTTCCCGGCTCGTGGTGTGGTGATGATCTTATTCTGCGTGAAATAAATACATTGACATTGCCCCAAACGTGTGAGGTCGAGAGGGGGGTTGGGATGATGAGGATCAAGCACCAATTCCTCCTGATCCTTACGAGTTGGTCAAACCCATCCTCTCTCCGACGAAGTGGCATATCGATGTCACGTCGCTTATTGATAGCTTCACTGCAATGCCTTGACTCTGGTAGAATTGAGAAGAATCACTTTTCGAGATATTGATATAACAGCTCCGTCTAACTCAGCGGCATCGAAGTGTTATCCTGGCTTTTCACACATTCCTCGACGGCGTTGACATTCTCAATCGCATATACATCGTAAGCCCAAAACACCAGGGCACATCTGGGGAAAAAAAAAAAACCTAAAAAAAACTAAGGAATTGACAAAAAAGGAGACGTTTGACTCGTTATCCAAGCCGTTTGAAGAGCCTCTCCAGCGCCGCAAAAATCGGGGGAGGGGTGGGGAGAGGGGGGGAGGGGGAGGGTTGTTTGCAAAACGCACGCGCGTTGCGTCCGTTCGCGACTTTCAAATTCTTGAGAACTGAGCGATGGCGAGGTTTGCGCGCTCTTCATATATCGACACAGTCCTCCAAAACCTCTAGCCAACTCCGAGAACCGAAACCCAGCAAACCCCACACGCACGCAATCCGCGTGCGTGATAAATCCGTGCCGCACCTTGAATAAGAAACTGACATGACAAGTAACGTTCCCGTCGCACCACACTTACCTAATGGAAGAATTACATGCAAGTATCTAATCACATTCCATCACATTACGCTCAGAAGGAAATATAGATACGTCAGTTTTCTGTCCTTTTTCGCCTTTTTCGCCTCACCTGTTTCAGGCCGAGGAGGTGGGAACCATCCCTACCTGCCTTGAGTGTAGGCAATCAGGGAACCAACAATAGGGCCAGGCCAGGAATCTCCCCCCCCGCCTCCAAGGTCTCGGGTATCCTGATCGCCGATGCTGTTGTGTATACCGTATATCGTGCCGCTATTTGCATTGCGGCCGAAAGGCACGCGCACCACATGTACAGGACAAGGCATACGAAAAGAGACGTCTGCATAACAAGGCTCGATTACCTCACCTTACTACTAGTCACCTACCCCGTTGGACTGCACTTAGTAAGAATGTTCCAGTTCACTGGTCACCATCACTGTTTACGGACTCCCGTGAGTTGTAAATTGCCGTCCGTCGCGTCCGTCCATGTTGGGAAAGTCCCTCCCGTACCCAAGCTGACGGGCGGACGGGAAACGAACAAAAGCTATCATCTATAATATTCCCCCTTGCGCTTTACCTCCGGCGTATGTTGTAACCTAGGTAATCAGTAAACCGGTGTGAGAAATTAAAAAAAAATAAAAAAAATAAATTTTTGTGATCGATTTTGGGTGCGGGACTTGGCGGGTTGGGGATCGGAATCGCTTAGGAGTTGCATCAGTCATTCATCACTTTTTTTTTCTTTTTTTCTTCGCCCTCTGGTTACCATTATAGTTGCCCTACCCTGCCAAATGGCGGTTGACACTTTGACAGTTTACCTAACCCCTTTTATTTCCAAGTCTTACTTTGACTAAGTTCAAAGACGATGGTAAAAGGATTCCTAATCTAGGCAGTGGTAATAGAACCTAGGCGGCGCATCTTTCTCAACCGTCACTTCACATATCTACAGGCTACCTAAGCTGCCCTCCAGTGTGAACAAGATAGGGGGCCAAGGACGCGTTAGACAAGTCAACTCTTCCAAGGGAGCTATCTTCGCGTTAATTCAACTTGGGCACTTGAATCTGGCATGCCCACACGTGGTCAGTTGAACCTCTGCTACTCGTTCCCGCGCGTCGCGGCTACGAGCCCAGATCAAACAGAATGTGGCCAACTGAGCGGCAGAGCAGGCAGATGCGCACGACAAGCTAAGATGAATCTCTAAAGTAGGTAGAGGTAAGCAAAAGGCAAGGCACATTCATGCACCCCGATGCGCCAGTTGCTCTAGGCTGGGCTGGGCTTGGCTTGGCTTGGGGGGAAGAGATGTGATCGGCCTCGCTGGCGTAGTATTCTTGCCCTCCGCACTTGACCGACAAACGACCTAGAACACCCCCCCCCCCCCCCCCCCCCCCAAGAGATTCAGGGAACCGGTGATGGGGAGATGTGTCGTGGCGTCTGATGGGGTGTCAACCGAGTCTGTCATCTGCGTGGCGGCGGCGTGGTCCTCCGTCGTCGTGTTCCGCTCCTCCAAATCACATTTTTCGACACGACGTCGAAACCTGAAATAAGGGAGAGAAAAGGGAACCAAGGATACCGCTTTAGCTGTAAAGCCTGCTACCTACCCGTAAGGGGGACACCGGGGACTGACGGACCGAGACCCAGTGCCATGGGATCAGTTTTCTTGAGCCGTGTGGCCCCCTTCTCCCGGGGGCATGGGTACGGTAGCGGTAGAGCTCATCCAGGTTGATAGTGCGGTTATTTAGTGAGTGAGTGACGGGGATGGGAGAGGGGGGGGGTTCTTGCACCTTGCTTGCTTTGGGTTACCCGAATAAAAGTACGCCATTTCTCTGCACTATCGGACGGGATGGACGGGATGGACGGGCACGGCGATGAGCGACTGACCGGGGGGGGGGCTGGGCAAGGCCAGGCCGGCGGCGCGGGCGGTCGATACGCAGGCGGGACACGGGACGCGGGAAAGGGGTGGACGTGATGGTCGCCTACGAACATAGACTAGGAGTTCTAGGACGTGGGCGGCGGGAGGCCCAGAACCAGAACCAAAGTCACGGGGGGAGGGGACTGCAAGGACGGGATGGGGCGGTAAGGCGACGGGAAGACCATACTCTGTTTGGGAGTTTGTGCCGGGTTTAGGGGGGAGGGGGTTATGAAATGTGAGTTTACGGTTTTCGGGCGGTCAATCATCACACCTTTGGGAGTTGGAGGTTTTTGGAGGCTAAGATGGATTTGGGGGGTTGCGTTTTATTCTGGCGATTTTCAGATTCCCGGCCTTCTGCGGCCATCGTGGGATATGGGGAAAACGGCGAAAATGTGATGGAAAAGTGACGGGAACAAGCACAGGGAATAGAGAGTAGCAGGGAGAGGGGACGGAGAAGGGGGGGGGGGGGGGGGGGTGTGTGAGCAAGGCAGAGAGGTTGATGACAAGGGTAGCTTTGTGGGTTTTTGAGTAGGAGGTGATGAATTTGGTGCTCTGGCTGACTTTGTCACTCAAAAGTCACTCGACCTCAAAGGTACTTTGGGACGGACGGACTGGAGACTGAGAGAAAGAGGAAGAAGAAGAAGAAGAAGAAGAGCAGGGCGGCGGCGTCAGCGGCAGAGCCAAGCAGAGAGAGGGACGCAGATGCAAGGATATGAAAGAAGGTCGCAGCGCATGTGCTGCGCAGCCATCTCGTTTGAGTGATTCTGTCAGGAATGAGAAGTGACGAGAGGAGGGGGAGGGGTGTTGACCAAGTATTATGTAGACTCTACGGAGTACCAAGCACGCATAGAAGTTTGGAAATGGGGGCGGGAAGGGCAGAACATGCCAGATATAATCCAGCGTCAGCCTGCAACCTGTACGGCGGCCGGCGGAGAAGAAGAAAAAGCAAAGAAACAGAAACCAAGACTTAGCAAAGTTACTAAAGTAAAGTAGTGCAAAAGGAGGTGCTAGACTCACTTTCCATTCTGACTCCCGTAAAGCTAAAACCCTGGATGGCATACCAAGAGATATGAAGTGTGAGAAGTGTGTGAAGGTGCCTAACCAGCAGCGGGACACTGACAAGGGTGCGTTTGCTGGTACTACTGCGCGGTATTCTTTGGAAATCTGATGGCTCGCGTCGATTGCCGATTAGTGAACTGCGCTAGGACGGCATTAAAGCGCCATTATGGAACCCCCCTCTTGATGATATGCTGAAATTGAAATGAGAAAGCCTGAAAGTAAGAGAGGAAAAAGGGTTTCGCTCCAGTTTAGTTGGGGACACATTGACTCGTCACCCCCCTCCATCTCCATGTTCCCAGGGCGGTCAAACCGCCGCGGATTCAGATTGGAGATGGGGAGATGTAGATTGAGTGCGCTCATGTGAGATACTGCAGTCGCAACTTCTTATGGCCGCGGACATGTCGAACGAAAACCCTGGCTTTTTGGTCTCCAAAGGATATTGGTCCCCCTCGCCTCCCAACCCCGCCCCACGCCATGTGAACGGATCAATGATCACCTCACCGACCTCGTGGTCCAACGGTCTGACTGGGTTGGTGAGATTTATTCCGGGGAAATTTTGTCCATAACGTGCTGTGGCCACCGACACGGTCCCGAATGCGACCAAGACTGCCCCGAGACTGGGGAAAATAAAGAGCTTTGCGAAGAGAAAAAAAAGCAAATTACTGAAAAGGAATGTCTTGGAAAGAAGTTGTGTATGAGACGGCGGAGAGGCTGGAGCTTGGAGCTCGTTGGCAAAGAGCTCGACGAGGGAGGGGTGTGCGAGTTGTGTAAGCTCCTGGTTGGTTGATAACACCCCCAGATGGAGAGAGAGAGAGAGAGAGAGAGAGAGAGCTCAGAGAGCTCAGAGAGCTCAGAGCCAAAGAGAGTGAGAGTCTGAGAGAGAGCCTGAAAATCATAGGAGGAGAGAGACACAGAGGGTGGGGACCTCTCGTTCGTTCTCGTGTAACCAAACCTCTTGTCTCGGAGCTACAGCGTGGCACGCGGTGTATTCTTGCTTTTTCCTACCTGCGTGTGCGGCGTGTCGCGTAGCATCGGCCGCCGGATCGAAGAGAAGACCACGGGGTGTGCGAGGAGTGACAGTGTCTGTATCCGTAGCGTGGTAGCGCGCGAAGTAGTGCGAGTGGTGGACGGCGATTCAAATGATTGACGACTCAGTGAGCAGAAAAAAGAAGACAACCCCCAGAGAGATAGCCTTGGTCATTGGATACCTAGATCCCTTCCCGTCGGTGACCCATTCAGGAACCCAGTGGATAGTGTTGGGCCGGCGGACATTGGACAAGGCGGGCAAAATGGCCAAGCAGCGTTGAAAATAGCGATGGGTGTTATGTATCCATGCGAAGTGACGGGACGCATGTAAGCGACCACGATTCGGCGGTCGACGCGAAGCGAGGGTGATCGGCCGGGTCATGTGCACCCTCGACTGACCACGACATGCCGTTGAATTGATTTCCAGGTTTGGCGTGCGACTCCTTTTGGCGCGCAGCGCGCGAGGCGGGCGACGAATCATGCCTGGATCGAACAGTAATCTTGGAAGCCGGCTTTCACTAGGTACGGAATTGGATTACCCGTCGTCGTGGAAGATCCGCAGGCACCAAGGCTCAAAAACTGATTCTCTGGGGAGCGATTCGACACTCGCAGGCGGCGTGTAAATAAGAGCGAGATGATGCAGGATGTGATGTCTGGCTCGCCTTGCCGGACTTGCTTCAAGAGGTTTGCCGCGGGCATCAGGATTCCATGGTCAGGGGGCCCTCTCCTCAATATCTCGCCGTGATAGCGCCGTCCATCAGCAGTTGCTTCAAGACGATTGATGCGTTGCGCCGACCATGGATGACTATGTCTCGGTTCTGATGCTTGCAAGTATGACCAACAAAATGCGCAAAATCCCAATGGCAGGCTGGCAGCGGTCAGCAGGAGACGATGTTGTTGAGGTTGAAACCACAACGAGCTGTAGTTGCAGTAGCATGCATCTTCTCAGCTCAGCGTCCTAGTGCCGCCCGGAAAGCATGGACTTCAAGGAGGGACGTTCCCTGTGGACGGAGTAAGAATGATTTGACTGTGCAGTCCGACTAAATTGACCATGTGCCACTACTAGCTAGGCCTACCACTATACCACCTCTACTCTTACTAGAATACCGCTTATTACAACATTACAGTTAAAGAAGATAGAGGAAATTAAGGCCAAAACTAGGTAGAAAAGTCTAGTTAATCCTCGATACGAATATTCAATTAAGGCGTCCTTCAAGTTCATTCATTACGACCATAGAAATCGACAATTATAGTCGTCAATTACGCCCGTACGTCAATTATATCAATTACGACCGCAGACGTCACTTACAAAAGTATCCTTCTAAGTAGTAATGGGCGCGCACAGACGTAGTAAGTGTGGTAGGCCTGGCTGGTAGTGGCACACAGTCAATATAGCCCGATTACACAGTCAAATTATACCCGCTCCTGTGGACGTGGAAGGAGCCGCTGTCAGGCAGAGAAAAAACCCCGACCACCACCTCTTCCTCCTACTGGGACTAAGTAATACTCCGTGCTCCGTAAGGGACAAGGTCAAGTAGGACGAAATAATGCCGATGGTGTGCGAGCTGGAGCCGGAGGTGTGCAGGGTAAGCTTCTAGACACCCGGGCGGCTGGACAGCTTGCAAGTTGGGGTAAAGCAGCAAAGCTCCAGGCAGCTAAGCTCCAAAGGTTGTCTCAGCTCCAGGGATGGCCGGGGTAACCCCAAGAGGCAACGCGGTGCTGCTACGAGCTTGGGCAAGCTTATGTAAGCTTAGGTAATCATCGGATGGCGGGGCTTTGTTTCGGCCGGGCTGGTGAGTCTGACCTGGAGCTCGGGTGCCCCACCTCCGCCTCCGTCCCGACCGTCACTTGTTCAACGCCGGACAACCTGCAACGTCAGTCCCTTGAGACTCCGTGCCGTGCTCATCCGGCCTACAAACACTGCTTCGCATACCTGCAAACTCGTCACCGGCCATATTGAAGACCCGATCGAGCGTCACACACTACTACCTACGATGACTCCTTGACCCGTCGTCTTTCATCCGCCTCTCATCTTCTCATCACACCACATCATCGCGACCACCCAAACTCTCCATCCCACCTCCCACCTTCATCTCAACCTCACTCTTACCACTCTCACCACAACTTCACCATTCTACAATAATGTCCACAATCCCCCAAACCCTCTGGTCCGCCCAGATCCCCCTCCACATAATCCACCCCTCCGCCCCAAACACTCCGCTCGTCACCTCCCTCCCGCGCTTCTCCTACCTAGCCCTCCTCGTCCCCCGCTGCTCCGCCTTTTTCCGCCACCCCGTCTCCGCCTTCCACCACGAGGACCTCCTCCTCCGCAACTTGCCCCTCGGCCTTCTCGTCGACCTCTACCAGCCGACCTTGCCATGGCGCCTGACCGTCAGCGACGGCGATAGCTGGGATATCGGCGACACCTTCCTCAACTGCGTCAAAGAGGTAAGTAGAGTTACGCAAAACATGTCTTTCCCTCCTTATCTCCATCTCCAACCTCTTCATTGTCTCTCTCTCTCTCTCTCTCTCTCTCTCTCTCTCTCTCTCTCTCTCTCTCTCTCTCTCTCTCTCTCTCTCTCTCTCTCTCTCTCTCTCTCTCAAACCCTCTCTCTCTCTCTCAAACCCTCTCTCTCTCTCAAACCCTCTCTCTCTCTCAAACCCTCTTCTCCCGTCATGTCTTCGTTCCCACCCTCTCCCTTGTCTCACCCTATGCACCGAGAAAGCAAATACCCATCTTCCCAGCGACATGCCCATTCCCCGTCACCCAGACATGTGTCTCTCATCCAAGCTGTTTTTGCTTTTACACAACGCCACAAGAAATCACATCACCTGCCCCTCCATCTTTCCACTTTCCACATTCTTCTCCGTCATCACCTCACACTGGAACACACACAAAGGAAGGATTCCACAGCAGAAGAGACACAACCCGCATCACAAACCCACTTCTCACCCAACATGACCTAACCCGCCCCCCCAAAAACAGGCAGACTTCGTCCGCTACGGCAACGCAAAACGCATAATGTCCCTCTCAAAAGCAGACACCTCGTCCCTCTGGAACGCAGTTCAAGACAACGACTACGCCTCCTTTTCAAAAATAAACGCCCTCCTCCTCAACGCGCCCACCCCTCTCCGCAACGTACCCCTGCGCGTCTACATCCCGTCGTCGCCCCCGGCCGGCACAACCACAACCTCCACCTCCGCCGCCGCCATACCCCCGTCACCCACAGCAGCAGCGCCGATAGCATCACCAGCACCAGCACCAGCACCAGCACAAGGAGACACACCAGGCCCAGGCGCCTTCAAAGTCCTCCAAACCCTCATCCCGCCCGTCGTCCCCGGCACACGCACGCGCCAGACCCTAGGCCGCGCGCTGCAGTCTCACCTGCCCAGCTTATTCCCCTCCAGCCGGGACCCCGTTCTCGCCAACGTCGTGCTGCACGGCTCGCCTGTGCCGTTTTCGGCGCCGTTGGAGGATTTGATGCGCGAGGCGGCGTATCCGGATGGTTGGCTTTGCTTGGCTGTCGTGTTGTTGTGAGCAAAAATGAGCAGATGGAGATGGGGTTATCGGTACTACGAATGGACGTGGCAATGGGCATCTTACGAATTGGACTGGGGTTTGGAGTTCACGGGGATTGTCTTGTCGCTAGAGCTTGAGAAAGAAGGATTCTTCAAAAGACGTAATCGGCTACATGAGTATGTACTCTGTACACATCATAACTTTTGCGAAGAGACGACTTAATTTTTCTGTGAACCCAAGTCAACTTCACGTGGGCAGTGCACTCGAATCATCTCACTTACACACGGCAGCCATATACTTGGGTTATCTCTTTTGCCGCGTAACAAGGGTTGCGAATGCTCGTTCCCGGCACTTGTACTCGTTATACACGAGTCGTTAGGAAACTTGAATCACGTAGCAGAGGAAAGCTCATTTTCGTCTTGGAACTGTGTTTGATTAAATCGAGTATGAATAATTAGAGATGCTCCTCTCAAAGCGATCTCATAGTTGATCAAGTTATGACATGGAAATTTCCGAGCCGGTCGGAAGCACAAAACGCAAAACACAAAACTCAGATCTATATTACCCGCCTACCTTACCTTACCTGATATACGGCGGTACAAAACCGCCCTGGTCAAACTCCGTCTGCCCAGCACTAGGCAACAACCCATTTAAATCAGCAAATAACGCCTGCGTATGCGTGTCGTAATACATGTTATCATCGCGGTTGAAATCAGCTTCCCCAAAGTCCTGGCCTGTGAACTGCACAGCCATATCCGGCGGCACCGGCATGGGTTGGACGATCGTCTCCTCTTGCGAACCATGTTGCGACGCCTGCGTCTGCGTCTGCGTCTGCGTCCGCTGTGGCACTGGATCGTCCTCGCGCCTGGTAGAAGATGCCCCGTTGGCCGGGGAGGCACGGCTTGCTTCATCGGACTCTGTGCGCGGCGGTGTGGTGGAGACGTTGGGATCGTGAATCTGTCGAAGACTGCGACGCGCCATCCATGCCTCGTAAATCCTCTCCTGTAGCTGATTGAACGCGACGCGGTCGTACATGGCGGCTCTCCTTTCGTCGTTTCCCGAGTCGGGGTCTCGGGAGGCCAGGTATTCCAGCATCATATCCGTCCCGACACTGGTATAGAACTCGCGCAGGCTGCAGAGGTCCTCGGAGAGCACACCATCGATATACGGCGATGACGGTCGTTGCCTGGAGGGGAACACGATATCCCAGATGGTGAACCACTGCTCTTCCGGACTATGACTCGGGTTCGCGCGCTTCGAGACCTGCCGCATCCGGCCCTGGGAGAGGCCCTCGTGGTTGGTGATGTACCCCTCGTTGACGACCTCGCAGCGTCGTGCACGCGCGTGCTGGTCCCGTGTCTCCTCGTCCTGGAAGGCGGCGCCGCAGCAGGGGCAGGTGATGGGCGCGGCGTGGAACCGGTAAAGGTGGCTTTTGACGTACTTTATCTGGCTGAGGACTTTCTTGTAGCATTGGCGGTGGTTATCGGGGTCGTTTTTCCAAAAGGGGCACGCGAACATTAGCTTCGAGGGGTTCGCTGGGACCTTTGGCTTCTTGAACCCGGGGATCACGTTCGAGTCCCCGCCGTCCGAGGCGTCTTGGTCCGGTAGGTCGTCGGAGTGTGAGCGCTTCCTCGACGAGCGACCTGAGTCGGGCGTGTTGGTATTGGCGCGCTGGCCCGAGGTCCGTCGGCCTTGTCCGCCGCCCCTTTCGCGGACGCTCCATTCTTGGTAGCGCTGGAAGATGTTGCCGACAATGACGCCCATGTGCGGTGCCAACGGATCATCCCGGTCGAGTTGGCATGGCTCTACTGGTGAGGCTGGAACTGAGAAGACGCTAGACTCGACGGATGATGCGTCTCCGCTGTCGTTGGCCGAGTCAGACTGCTCCTCGACGGGAAGAAAAGAGGGTCGAGGCGTGAGGTTTGCGTGCCAGTTGACGGGTAGCTTGGGAGGGCCGGAGACAGGTCGTGGCATTCTTAGCGAGGCAGGTTGGATGGGCCGTTCGAACCTTGCGGGAGAGTCCATCGAAGTCTCCAGATGTAGGCTCGGTTTGGCGATGCGTGTATCTGGACGGAAGACGGGGTGGCCATCTACGTCCTCCAATAGGGAAAAGCGATTCGTTGCCCTCCGAGTGAGATCATCATCTGCAAAGGTGGAACTTCTGCGGATGGGTGGTGGCCCGATGAGGGAAGGTTGTCGTTGTGGAAGATTATCTTCGGGAACACGCGGGACATTTGGTGAAGTGGTGTTGGGCGCTCTCGTGACCCCGATATTCGGTGTTGGGGGTCGCGAGCTGTCAACTGGGTCGCGCAGAGTCGTGGTTCCTTTCATTCGTCGCAGACCTTTGATGGAATTGAAGAGGGAATTCTCCAATCCCTCCTTCTCTGTGTCCATCTTCCCCTTGCGTATTGCTAGTCTTTCTCTCTGGGTCGCTAGCCTCTCGCACATTCTCGTATTCTGCTTTGCAGGTCCGATCTCTTGTTCTGCTGCGGGAGATGATCCATTAGTCGGAGCAGTCACAACAGCGGTGCTATGTCTGCGCAGATGCCTCTTGCGTCGCCGTGGGATGCCCAAGGCCTCGTCGCTGTCTAACTGGGGTGATGGACAGCGGGGGATGAGGATTTCGCCTGGTCCGGCTTGGATCTTCACGCATCCGAGGCTCATGTTCTGGCGATCGGAAGCATCCCCGCTTCGGTCGCGACTTCGGCGCCGCGTATCTGACCCATAGCCGGAGTCGCCCGAGATCCTCTTGCAGTGTCTCTCCTCTGTCGAACCCGGCCGCTCTTCCAGGCTGTCAACAGAAGGGCTTCCCCTCTGGTGCTTCCTCGGGTTATGCGGCTGTGGTTGTTGCGGCTTGACACGATATGCCAGGCTAGGCATGTTTCCTGCTTCAAACGACGAGTGTCGGCGGTCTCCAGGTTGCAACGGAATATCGAGGGTCCAGGAAATCGGACGCCCTGAAGAGACAGCACAGGGTGAAAGCATCGCGGAAACTTCGGTGATGTGGTTGACGTTCGTTGCGCGGCGTGAAGAGCGGTCCATGTGAAGGAACTGATATGCAAGGTCCCTGGAGGCCTCATCGACCCTCGCTGACGGGGTGACTGATGACCTCGATGATGCAACACCATCCTGTCCTTGTGTTGCATCAAGCCTCGTCGTACGGCTGCTTGCGACTGTCTTGTATCCCATGCTGTCCACAAAAATAGCGTCAAAATCCAAGTACCGGCAGCAACTCCGCAATTGCGAAGCACGAAATGTGGAAAAAAGACGTCAGAAACAACGACAAAGAGATGGAGAGAGGGAGAAAGGGAGAAAGGAGGGGGAGAGCAGGCTCTGAAATGGCCTCGAAAGTAAGCCACAGTGACATTTCGAAAGGGCGCATTTGCGCTGTTGCTCTCGTTCGAGTGTGCAGCTGCGCCATGCCAGGGGGGCAACGATCCGCGCCAAAATCTAGGCAACGCATGGAGGTGCAGCCAATGATGACGATCATGTTGACCGAAAATACCCTTACCCTCCTTCGAACACGACTCAAGATGGTAGTTTACAAGACTGAAGGATTGCGCAGCGTCGCGTAGCGTCGCGCAAAGTGATGCGTGAGGTGTTCTTCCCCCTTCCCCACGATTTATGAATTGAGATTGAGGAAGATCTGGAAAGCCTCACTGAGGCCAGACGTGGGCCAAGCAGCGCGTTCGTGCCTTTGCGATTCCCTCAATTGCGCAGAACTTGCTGGAGGCCAACTGCGCAAGCCAACGATTGAAATGGTATCCTCAGGTTCCCTATATGTATGGAAGCTTTTCCGTGCCGAGGATATGAGGTATCTCGTAGATACTATCGCGAACATTCATCTTCCTACAGCTGTAGTCGTGCATTGCAATCTGCAAGAAATCAGTCACTCCAAACACCAATAATCTCTTACCCCTTTTCTTCCCCACGATGTCTCAACGATCCGCACCGTCAGGCACCATCACATCAAATGGCGGGTAAGCTTTTGCCTCTTTGCCTCTCTGGCCCTGATCAGTTGGTCGCAGAAGGAATATCAATGCTGACAGGTAGTGGGGTCGGTGTGTTCAGAGCAGCTGCCTATTGCACGGCGTCAGCGCCTCAGATGGACAGGTATCTTCGAAGCCCGATGGAGCTGCCAGAGAGACTTGTCTCTATTGGGAACGGCACCTCGTCAACGCGGACGAGTTCGAGCAGTCGCCAGCAGACACAGCGCTCCTTGACAGCGTGGGATGCGAGATGGACGCAGGCTGGCCAATCGTCGTGAATGACACACCCCTAGCTTGCATGACGTTGGAAGTCAGCATTTCGCGCGAGACGTAGATAAGGAACCAACACGGCCACCACAGGAGCGAAGACGTTTGAAAAGGTCGAATGGTGTGAAGTGCTAACGAAGCCAATGTTGCGATTGTTTGTGCACAAGTCGAGAAAAAGTTGGAGTCGCGATGGATGTAAAAAGGAGACAAGAGACAAGAGATAAGAAGAGAGAAGACAAGATCACGCAAACGGAGAGAGAGAGAGAGAGAGAGTTGTGTCAAAGGAAGCTGTCTAGATCTAGACGCCGAGGGGAGTTTGGTGGGGTTGGTGGGGTTGCTATGTACGATAATGGCATCAACAGCTTGTCACTGTATTCGATAGATGCATATACCCGGCTGAATAATACCTCTTTTCTCAATCGGCATTTCGGCCATTCCCTGCAAAGCTCCCACTTATAACCCGGCCAGCCCTCGCCGGACACACCACTTTCCAGGTTCCCTCGGGTATTCCGTTCTTCTGATTGTGTATATAACCTAGTGGTCAGTCTGTAAGTTCCCCCCTGAGCCCCTGAGCTCGTTTCCCCTCACCTGCCAGATTCCCATCTCTAACACACCACAGATACTACTCTCTCAGACGGCAAAAGATGTCTTCCTTAGCTGAAGCAACCGCAATCTTCTGGGCCCTCGTAGGCCCCTGGATGTTCCTCCTAAACGCCTTCTCCTACCTTCCCCCCACCATCCTCCGCCTCTTCCGCGAGGGAGACTATGCCGCCCTCACGACCCCCTCCCGTGTCCAAGACGCCTGGTTTTCCGCCTTTTGGGCCTGGCTCGGCCCCAACATCCGCGTGGGCAGGTCAGACATGATGGTCGCTCTCCTCGAGGGCCGCGTCACAGACGGCAAAGTCGTCGAGGAGCCCGTTCATCCGCCCGTCAGCGGCGTCGTGCTGGAGATCGGGCCCGGGTCGGGGATGTGGGTAGACATCTTCGCCAAGGGCCGCGAAGGTGATGAGAAGAAGAAGTCGGCCGACGCAGCGGCTGGCATGGCGCGCGGCGGCGTCAGGAGGCGCGTCGCGGAGGGCGTGACGAGAGTCTACGGCGTGGAGCCCAACACCGAGGCGCACCCCGCGCTGAGGAAGAATGTCCAGGCCGCAGCGCTGCAGGGCACGTACGAGATCGTCCCCACCGGCATTGAATCCCTCTCCGACCCGACGGCGTGGAATGGTAAGATTGAAAAGGGAAGCGTTGACTGCATCGTCTCCATTCTCTGCCTCTGCAGCATCCCTGAGCCGGAGAAGAACATTGCCGAGCTCTACTCCTATCTCAAGAAAGGGGGCAGATGGTATCTGTACGAACACGTCGAGGTGATGCAGAGCCGACCCATCCGCCTCTATCAGCGTAAGTAAAGTCGAGTAGAACGACTTAGGGTTCTACATCGATGCTAACCATGTTAGGTATCGTCAACCTGGTTTGGCCGCGCGCTTTGAACGGCTGCCAATTATGCCGCAACACTGGTCAAAACCTTAGGTCTGCAGGACCATGGGCAAACATTGACGTTCGTCAGCCTCAAGATGAGACATGGTTTCAGATAGTGCCACACATCTTCGGAACTTTTACCAAGTGATCCATGGCACAAGAAAGTCGACCAGGCGCTGGCCCGGCCACCTCATGGCCGGCCTACGATCCAATGTCCGACGCCTGGGGAAGATGACAGCATAGTGCGATTATGTTCGTCAACGGGCAGGGGTTTTCTCGCATTCAATCATGCTGGGCATAAACGATGCTCGTATTATGTGACTTAGGTAGCTAGCTATACTGCTCATCCCCAGTCACCATTAGCGTGTAGTCCTTCAACCCATCACCCATGACCATTGTGCCCTGATCAACAGGTGATTCACACCAACCAATGCAACATCGTCGGTTTGTGTATTACGTACACCAATCGCCCCTTTGTCTTTCAATCGTGTCCTCAAACTCCAGCAAACCTTTGGGTATCCTTTGCATCAAGTCTCCGTGGTCTAGTTCGAAGCACCGGATGCATCAAAACGGGAAATGATGTCTCCAAGTGTTTGAAATAGCTTGTGTTCGTCAGACGGAGAAAGACGAAAGTAAACGGATAAGCCAGCTCGGAGCAGCCTCCAGGTGCCGTCAAGGCCGAGCGTTCTGTAGTCGATTTTGATAGCGTCTACCAGGTCCTCTATTTTTGATGGCGTGGTGGCGAAGATGTCGTAGATGTCCTCAGCTCCTTCTGTTATGGTCTGGACGTCAGCTGGGGTGATTCTGGCAAGGTAATACTGGAACGCATTGGTAAGTTCCTGCAAGTCGGCATTGCCCTTCAATATCGAATCGACAATTCTCATAATTGAGGGGATGTGATCACAGATCGGGCTGCAGAGCTCCTCGCAGATGAACTCCAAAATAGCTGAATGGAGGACATTGTCGATGACAGCAAAGCTGCCTTGGTCGTTTGAATGCCCCGCCCGGGCAGAGGTGCCGTGGCTGGTCTCGGATAATTCCGGTAAAGCTGGGCGATTGAAGTCCTCAAGACCTTGGCCTGTGAGAATAGCCTTGTACAGCCTCGCGACGTCGGCGATGACTTCCATGGAAGACAGGACGACTTCCATGACGGAAGGGATCAAGGCACACGTGGGAGGATATCTCGTGCAGACGTGTTCCAGAGCGTTTTGAATTGCTTGGACGGCCTTTGGCGGCGTAAGTCCAGAAATGTCGGAATGATGACACCGACCGAAGACTTGACACCAGATGGAGCCAATGACGTCGTTGAATGCGTTGTCTGAATGAACTGTCTTGGGATTCAATGTCCACGGCAGATAGGGGCACCTGTCTGACTTAGGATGATCTCGACACCATCTCAGATACTGGTGCCAGGCTGGGAGTGAAGGCTTGACCCCCGTGCACCGAGTTCCATCAGAGATTGGAGTGGGAGAAGGCGAGCTGGTGATGCTATGTTGGAGACTCAAGCGCCATGGGCAGAAGGTAAGTTGGGAACAATCGGGATCCGTATTGTGATGAAAGCACCAGGCGCACTGAGCTTTCACCTTTTCCAAGCATACGGTTCTCAGCAGAGAAGTACACGACGTCATTTGAGGGCGTACTGATGCCTTGGGATAATTGACGGCTGGTGGTTGGCGAATGGTCAGATTAAAGCTGGTCGTGGGAGATTCGGCGGAGCAGCGGAGACCACTGAGTCTGTCGTCAAAGACACAATTGTTCCCTTTGCTATCTTTGACGACTCCCGTAGCATGATTGTGGCAGAAGCCATCGGTTAGGTGCCCGTTGACAATTCCATCGACTAGAGAAACACTGAACTCGTCAAAGTCAGGGTCGAAAGTGCCGAGGATGAAACAGGTACGATCTTCGTGCTCCTGATGGACTTTGGTGCCTTGGGGGATAATGTTGGAGACGCCTCTGGGAGTATATGCGTCTTGTGGTAAAGGAGGCGACACTGCGGCAACGAGTGAAGCTGAGCCAAACAGCAACGGGGACGTAGCGAGAGTAGTGAATCTCATGATGGATACTGTTGATGATGGGGGCTCCAAAAAAGAACGATACAATGAATGGGTATTGGACGGTATGGAAGTTGTGGATGGATGTTGGAGATGGAGACGATGATGATGTCTGGGCGAGGAAGATGATGTGGGAAGAATCGAGATCTGGTCGACCCCAAGCCACCGAGCACTTTGATAGCCTGTTCAGCGGCACCTGCATTACTGGAAAGAAGCTTTAGTCGTTGATTCCGTGTGACCTCCTCCGAGAAACAAATCGTTGCCGAAGAAAGGAAGGGGTGGTTGAAGATTCGGTTTCCCAGGAAAGGGGCAGGGCTGACTCTCCTGCCGAGTCTGTATTAAGGTCAAGCTGTCTTTCAGATAGAGAAAGAGCTATGCTTCATGCAGCACGGCACTCTCAGGTCCATGATACGTACTTTGAAGCGATAGAAATGGCAGGAAGATGGCACATTACGCTGGATCTGGAAGAGGGTATCGATGGCCTAGGAGAAAGACACGGCTCGTACCAGTGGCTGCCATAATACTCTTCAGAAAATGTCTGTGCCGTATGTCGTGAAATACAACTTAACTCGATTGCCGTTTGACAGTTCTAGGTTATATCTGCAACTATCTCTGCCCTTCTCCCCTTGATACCACATATCGAATAGAATACGTGGACGATGACGACTTGAAAATAAAGAAGCTTGCTGGCCTCGGCAGTCCAGCCTGGTCAACTGCCTCTCAAGATCACCAAGAATGCCAGAAGAGAAATTTATCCAACCTGTCTACTAGTTCCATTCGAACTGGAAGCCATGCAAGATAACCTTGCAAGATCCCGTTCGATGAAGACTCATTGTGATGGGATATCGCGCGCTTTCCCGGCAGTGGCAATTATCAAAGCGATGTATTTCATGCAGCTGCCTGAGTTACCAAAGGCTTAGCGCCAACTCTTGTTGCCTCCTCGTTGAGAGCATCGATCTCGGCCTGTACTAAGGGTATGCCCGTCTCTTCTCTCTCCTGCTGTTGCAGCTGTTCAATCTCACCCGGAAAGTATATCCTGTCTACTCCTGCCGCCTTGTCTGACCCAACAACACGCTGGTACAGGTAGTCCATCCTTTCGCGGAAGTCGTCGAGACTCATGAAGAGGTCCGGCTTGATGGCGACTAGGAAGTGACCGACGTCCGCCGGTTTTGAAGGGTCGTACGGGTTAGTGACGTGACCAGCGAAAGCTGAGCCAGAGAAGACACCAGAAAAGACATCCATCATGATGGCTAATGCCGAACCCTTAGGACCACCCATCGGCAGCATGACACCTCCCAATGCTGCCGTGGGATCATCCGTAGGACGGCCCTCGGCATCCAGCGCCCAGTCCAAGGGAATCTTTTCGCCGCGTCTCTTGGCCTTGTAGATTTTGCCTCTGGCAGCAACTGACGGGGCCATGTCCAAGATAAACGGCTTGTCCTTCCCCGGTGCACCACAAGCAATCGGTGAGACACCCATGAGCTTGCTCTGCCCGCCCCACGCCGGGAGCGCAGGACTCGAGTTGGTGAAGACCAAGCTCATCATATCCGCATCAAGGGCCTGCTGCACCACCCACGCACTCATGCCAAAGTGGTTGGAATGCGACACGCTTGCCATGCCAATGCCGAAAGTCTTGGCAGACTCGATGGCGGCTGCCATGCCCATCTCCGCTGCAACGAAGCCGAAGCCGTTCTTGCCGTCAACGTGCGCCACAACGGGTGTGACTTGCTTCAACTCGGGTTGGGCAGTGGCGTTGAGTACACCCTGGCGGACGCGCTCCATGTAGGAAGGAATGCGGTTCATGCCGTGGGTGTCAACGCCCCGAAGATCGGCAGCGACGAGGCACCGGGCGACAATCTTTGAGTTTTCTTCGGGTACGCCATTGCCTTTGAGGATATCTTCAACGAGACGGCGGGCCTCGAAGGCAGGCACGGGTATCTTTCGGGACTCGTCGGCCATCTTGGCGAATGCTTGTGCGGACTTTGGGGCGCAGAATTCCCGACGACGTGCCGTGCGAGGTTAAGAGATGATGTGGAGTACTGCACAACGAGTTCGATTGAATAACCGGCGACCGGATTGATTGACGACGAGTCAAAACACCCGAGTATAGAATATCCCCTCTTGATATAAGGTACCAACGTAATGTAAATGGCGTCGCGAGGAAGGAGGCAGTTGAGCAAACGCATTTGCACGGAGATCAGTCGACGGTGCGGGCAAACCCCGGCACAACAGACTGACAAAGGACCCTAGGCCGCGGGGTTTCCCCGCACCACATAGGTGTCTGCAGTCTCCCAACTTCATCCTCTGTTCCACCTCGGAGAATTCCCGCCTCGTTCCTTCCAACCTACCCAAACACCACATCGCTCCCTTATCGTTATGACGGAAACCAGCCAAGCACTGGCTGCCCCGAAGAACGCAATATGCCCGAGGAAACCAGCTCCCGGCCGACGACCCGCCAGGCCCGCAGGACCGCGCGGTTGAGACTCGCTTGCTCTCGGTGCCAGCGGCGGAAGATCCGTGTAAGTGGACCTCCGAACCCCGTTGCAGACGGCATAGTACTAAGTGGATGTCTGATAGTGCGATGGGCAATTGCCCGCATGTAACAATTGCAAGAAGGCTGGAGTTGCTTGTACCGACGGCGAAAGTGTCCGCCTTCGGGATCTTCCTAGAGCGTATGGCCACCCTCAACGCTCACTCTCTGGCAGACTTCTCTAACATTCAGTTAGCCAAATTTCGAACTTGATCGAGAGAGTTAAGTGGCTCGAGAGCATTGTAAGGGAAAGATGTCCGGACGTCGACCTGAGCCAAGGTCCGTCTGGAGAGTTTGACATAGAGCTCGATGGTGACGAAACCTTTGCAAGGGATTCCACGATCAGAGTCAACAGTGCATCACCTGAGGATAGTCTCAACCTCATAGGCAGTCATCCTCCACAAGCACAGCCAATACAACCTTCGGAGCCAGCACAAGCCACTCAGACCATCCGTTCAGGGCCCCGTTTGGTCGACCCCATCACTAGCAGTACGCTATCACACGAGATCGGCATGGTGTCGTTGGGTAGTAGCCAAGACCCGAAGTATATCGGGCCGTCGAGCGGATACTTCCTCGCCCGACTGATGTTGACTTCGAGTCGACAGGATGACCAATCTTGGCCAGCCAGAGCCGGAGCATCGAACCCGTCCATACCAACCGCTCTGGTTGAGGCAATGCATGGCCCGATGTCACTGCCAAGCAGACATCACGCTAGACAGCTAGCAGATAACTACTTTGACGTTATCAACTGCCAGTTTCCAGTTTTGCACCAACCAAGCTTCATGGCTTTGATGGATCAAATGTACGAGAGCGGGATTGACATGGAGTCTACTCCCACAGGGGCCTTCCAAGTATTCATGGTCCTCGCTCTGGGGTCTACGGTTCTCTCTCGTCGAGTGAGAGCACGTCTTCCCGGAGAGTCATATTGCCTATCTGCGATGCAATATTTCGATCGGATCAGCATTGACAGCTCGATTCCGGGACTACAATGTCTTCTATTGCTCACGATATTTACGATGCACAGCTCCAACATGCGTCTCAATGTTTGGTATTTGAACTATCAGTGCATCGCTGCTGTCCTTGACTTGGGCCTACAGCGCGACATCAACACCAACGCAGGTATCTCCCTTCTCGAACAAGAGATGAGGACTAGAATATTTTGGGTAGTTTTTACGCTGGATAGAATGATCGCAACCATGATGGGACGCCCCATTGGACTGCGAGACGAGGCATGTGATCTTCGGGTATGTCCATCTCAGTATAGGTTCTGTCACTCAAACTTAGCTAACATCCTCTCAGCTTCCCCAGCATCTAGAAGATGCTTCCCTGCAGGGATCACTCCAGCCACCTGCCCATCAACCCCCGGGTCATATGGCCTTCTCGATACATCTATTCCGCCTAGCAAAGCTCAACTCAGAGTTCAAATACGTTGCGAATAGCATTGTTCGCGACACACCACGTTACGCCTACCCAGCAGTTATCGACATCAATGAGTGGCAGCAAGGAATGTTGGAACAGCTAGACGAGTGGTACAGCCAAATTCCCAACACACCCGACTCGGACTACATTCGCACCATCTGCCAGATCAGATGCTACGGCCTGCGGATGCTCGTTCTGCGGCCTAGCCCCGCCATCCCGAATCCATCACCCGAGATCCTCAAGAAATGCTTCGGAGCCGCTCTTGAGGTCATCCGTCTCTTCGATCACCTGTACAAGAAGAATTTGCTCATACATACGTGGAACACCTGTCACTCAGCAGTCCTCAGCATCATAACTATGCTCTACTGCCTGAAGATGGTGCCCGAAATAGCAAAGCAGACGGCTTTGGATGCCCTCATGTCTGACTTCAGCGCCGGGTTAGGAGTTCTGGCCGCAACGGGCGAGCACTGGTCTGGCGCAAAACGTTGCCGCGATATCCTGGACGACATGATTCGGGCGACCATCCGATGGGTCAAGGATATTTCAAGCCAAACCTTCGATGTAGAACCCCCTACTCAACGCCGATCTTTGCGATTAGATCCGGCGCATTCGCATACAATAAGCCCGTACAACGAGAGTGCCAGCCTTGGTGGGGTGGAACCCCCAAGACTAAACTTCTCGGAAGGCCTTACCCAACCACTGTCGATGAGTTCTGCTACTGGAAGTAGCTCGGAAAGTTTCCTCCATCAAGACCCGTTCGAATCCTTTCTCGCCAACACTGCATTCGGCGATCCGATGCACACAGGTGACAACACAAATCTGGACAGCATCATGCGAGGCCTGTTTGATGACTTTATACCAACTTACCCAAGCATTGCCTGATGGCCCTGTTTCTGGGCATGTACTATACAAGAATCAATTGGATTCTAATTGTCTGAGACTATTGGGATGGTCCATTCGCTGTGAGGAAGTCAAAATCAGCCCCCCCTTCTGCCTGCATGACGGAACGCAGGTATAGCCCCCGATAGCCGCGGATTCTCTTCTTCGCCACCCAAGGCGCATTGCTGCCACCGTTTTCTTCCTCCTTGGCCAATGCTTCCTTTTTCTCGGCAATTCTTCGTTTGATCTCCTCGTCAGATATCTCAACCTTGATAAGGCGTTGTTCCACGTCGCAGGTTATCATGTCGCCAGTTCTGACGATACCAAGAACCGATTCGGGGTCCGCCGCTTCGGGGGAGATGTGCAGAACGATAGTCCCACCTGCTGTGCCGCTCATACGCCCGTCAGACAGGCGGAGCATGTCTTCGACTCCCTGACTTGCCAGCTTCCGAGGGATGGGAATAAGACCCGCCTCTGGCATACCTGGGTTGCCGACAGGCCCAATATTTTGAAGAACGAGCACACTATCGGGCGTCACCTCAAGATCCGGGTCGTCAATACGAAGGGCCATATCGGCGGAGCCAGCGAAGACGACTGCTGGGCCGGAATGTTTAAGTAGTCGGCGGTATTTTGACGCACTCTGCTTCGTGACAGCTCCACCGGGGGCGATGTTGCCACGGAGAACGGCCAAGGCCGAAGCTGGGTATAGAGGATCGTTGAAAGGTTGAAGACAGTTGACCAAGCTATCACGGGGAATGGGGGTGAATGGCGTGCTCTCCAGCTCTTCTCCTAGCGTCTTGCCTGTCACCGTCATCGCGTTCAGATGCAACAGGGGCTTGAGCTGGTGCAAAAGTGCAAGCATGCCGCCAGAATTGTGGAAGTCATCCATGTAATTCTGTCCGCTGGGCTTCAGATCAACCAACAACGGTGTCTTTCTCCCGATTTCATCGAACGTGTCGAGCGTGATTGTGCCGGCTACAGCAGGGTGACGACCTATAATGGCCATCATATGTACAACGGCGTTGGTCGACCCGCCAATGGCCTGCAGGACGGTGATAGCATTGAGGAAAGACTCGCGGGTCAGCAGGTCTTGCGGCTTGAGCTTCTTCTGGTGGAGGGCTACAGCCAGGCCTCCGGTCTGTTCGGCGATACGCAGTCTTGTCGATGAGACCGCTGGGGCTGTGGCACCTTTGAACGGCATCATTCCCAGACCTACCAGAATACAAGCCATGGTCGATGCGGTACCCATGACACCACAGGTACCTCCCTGTCACAGCGATCAGCAAACGAGAGTCTCTTTCTAGTGACAGAATGCACTTACGGTGGGTGCCAGCTCGTCGTTGATAGCCGAGATGTCTTCGATATCAATTTTACCAGCTCTGTAGGCGGCCCAGTTGTTGCGACAATCTGTGCAAGCACCAATTCTCACACCTTTGTGGCTTCCTGGCATCATAGGGCCAGTGACCAGGTGCAGGATAGGCTTGTTCGCCGATATGCCACCCATCAATTGCGCAGGCGTTGTCTTATCACAGCCTGTCCGAATCAGTCAACACTCATCTCATCTTTCAACCTACCTTAGTTGAACACAGCTCACGTACCTCCAATTAGAACCACTGCGTCACATGGCTGCGCCTTGATCATCTCCTCCGTATCCATACTCATCAGATTCCGCAGATACATGCTCGTCGGCGACGCAAAGCTCTCATGGATACTGATGGTCGGGAAATCAATCGCCAGGCCGCCATTGAGCTGGACGCCGCGCTTCACGGCCTCGATCAGCTGTGGGACGTTTGCATGGCACGGGTTGAAGCTCGAGTATGTATTGACGATGCCAATGATAGGCCTCGACAGCGCATCTTCACTATACCCGAGAGCCTTGATGAAGACCTTGCGCAGAAACAGTGAGAAGTGAGCGTCGCCGTAGGAGGTCAGGCCCTGTCTCAACCCTGCGGCGTTAGGGTCGATTGGCGTCGAGAGGTCATAGTCTCCCGTCACCGGGGCCTTGCCGTCTTCTTTCTTTGGGATTGATGCCCGGTCGCTCATATCTGCTGTGGTTTCGGGGTCTTTGAGTGTAAAGCGACTTCTCGAAGGAACGATGTAATGCGATGGCGGGAATTACAATCCCTCATCTTATGGTTGGTCCGAATCAGACTTATCCGGAGTCGTGTTGTAGATGTGGGGACTCCGCATGTCGTAATCGTCCGGTCTAATTCGGTAATAACACGAGCAAAGCGGCCGAATCGTCTTCGGCGCCGTCGGGATTTCTCCGTCTAAGTGCTCGCGGACAACGGGGCCGTTGACGGACATGTCCTCATAGGACCTTGAGATATGCCCGATGCATAGAACATGTAGGCACATGCACCATTGTTACTTATATCCAGCTTCAAGATGACTTTTTGTTCGGTATCTCTGCAAATTCGCCGAGGGCTTGTCACTGCATCTTGAACATTGCCGCCCGCTTTTCCGCTTCCAGCAGACCCTCCTTATCCGCCGAAATCCATCACCAATGCTCAACCTCCAAGGAAAAGTCGCCCTGGTCATCGGCCTCGGCCAAACAGGCTCAGACGGCTGGGGTATCGGTGCCGCCTGCGCCGTGACCTTCGCCGCGCAAGGCGCCGCCATCTTCGGCGGCAACCGCACCATCGAATCCACCACCAAGACCAAAACCACCATCGAGGAAGCCGGTGGTGTATGCGACGTCGTCGCGACCAACGCCACGTCCTCCGCGTCCGTCAAGGCGCTTGTGGACGCGTGCGTTGCAAAGCACGGCCGGATCGATATCCTGCTTGCTAATGTCGGTGGCTCGCAGCCGGGTTGTGCGGCGAGCATGGACGAGGAGACGTGGGATGCGCAGGTGGAGTTGAATCTCAAGAGCGTGTACCTCGCTTGCCACTACGTCTTGCCCATCATGGAGGCGCAGGCGACGGGCGGGAGTATTGTTTGTGTGTCGAGTATTGCGGGGATGCGGTATATTGGCAAGCCGCAGGTTGCGTATAACACGACCAAGGCGGCTGTGATGCAGTTTGTCAAGGCGACGGCCGTGGTGTATGCCAAGAAGGGGATAAGGTTGAATACGGTTGTGCCTGGATTGATGGAGACGCCGTATACGAGGCAATTGGCGGAGAGGTTTCCAGCCAAGGATGGGAGCACCGGCGGCGGGTATGAGGCGTTTAAGAGGATGCGAGAGGAGCAAGTGCCGATGGGACGGATGGGAGATGCGTGGGACGTTGCGAATGCGGCGGCGTTTTTGGCGAGTGATGAGGCGAGGTATGTTACGGGCCAGAAGATTGTTATTGATGGGGGGATCACTTCATCTACGGGGCGTACTTAGAGTTGTAATTCATCATGGGGTGCGCATGCTGTATCATCTACGTTCTCCCAGTCGTTGCCACGTAAGGTCGAGAAGTCACTTACTTGGATTTAGATTCTACAACCTGAGGGAAGAGTTCCTAGACTGAAGTCAAGAATGGTCCTGTTCGTGATCTTCGACCAACGCAAGCATCTTGCTTCATTCACATGCCTGTAGCGAGGAGCAAAAGCCTTTTTATGGTATTGATGAGAATCTCGTGCTTGAGCTTGGATTTCTAACAAGTCTATACTCTAATCGCAACATCCGACCTGTACGTAGACGCCATTCCTCCTACCTTACGCCGACCCATTCGCCAATCCTTTTGCCATGAACTCGCACATATACTCATCCTCCTGATCAACCTCAAAGTCAAACCTCGTCACATCCTCCTTGAACGGCCACAAATACGTGCTCGTCACTCTAGAACCCCCAAACTTGCTTCAGCTTCGAGTTCGACTTCTACACTTGGGGTTCCTCGACAGAGAACGCGGGGTGACCTTACCTGTGGTGCTCCGGACTAGCTTGATACGACTCCAGCGCTTCCCGATCTTGATGGAAGCTCAGGAGCGCGAATTGGTATCCTTTGCTCCTCTCGATGGGGTCTGTGATGGAGGGCCCGCCGACGATGAGGCGTTGGTCTTTGACGCAGGGGAGGGACTTTAGGGTTTTGAGTTCGCGGACGAATGTGGACTTGTGTTCTTCCGGAACGTCGGGGCGGAACTTGAATAATACTTTGGAAAAGGGAGGTTAGAATCGTCTCATGGGACATGAGAGAAAGTAAGGTTTTGGATATTACCGATATGGACTACAGTCATTGTGAAGACGTCTTGGGTGGGTTGAGAGAACGGGACAGTGCGTTTGTTTTCCCAAATTTCTTGACTGAGTGAAATTGTCTTTGCTCCAGTAATTGACGAATTGTACTAGGGAAATCGGAGGTGTTCTGGAGATTCAACAATGGTTTTCGTGGCTGAATCGACTTCGGAACGAGTTGTGTTGTGCCCTGCCGCGAGTCTGAGATGGCCATCGTGGTGGTTGGAAGACACTAACGGGTGAACCCCGCGACCTGAGCCCACCGGCTCCACGCATCGAACGGGCGAACCCCGTCGCAGCGGCTTTGAAAGACGGACTCGATTCCGTGTGAGTCCACTGTTCGAAGACGCGGAGATTGTTTCTCTTGCGCATAATCCCAAATTATTGAGGAACTATCTCATCAAGACTGGTTGAGTTGCAGCTTGAGTTCACATAGCCAAGCTAAAGTAGACGGGGACGGTCCGGGAATGCCTACTTGGTCGTCACTGCCTCGTCAAGAGGCACAGATAATAAAATAGTTAACCGCTCAGCACATTCTCGGGTTATAGTTCTATCATTACTCCTACATCTTTTCACGTCGCTCTTGCTTTTTTTTCCAGCTGGTTCCTGTCATGTATTCCCTGACAAATACACTCAAGGTATCCTGGTAAAAGGCAGGTAAGGATAGTGACGGTGATAATGAAAAAGGCGGTCATAGGTTCCTTTAGTACATACTAGCTTGGTTGCCTCAGTGCGTTCCCACTATTCTCCAAGGTTGCCACATAGATGTATGGTCCCGGTCATCCAGATTTCGGTCTTGATAGCACTCCGGTATTGAGCAAGATCGGCCGGCTCGGCACGGGCGCCTGTTCATCCGTTCTTTGTTTGTTGGCGAAACAGCATGCGGGGGTAAACCGGAAGCAGAGATGCATCAACACAGACCCGGCGACGTCAACGAAACATCCAATAATGAAGAAAGTTCAAATATTGGTCTAATTAAGAGACATTGAGGGATGCAGTGCTGCCCTACAAGGCTAGCCATTAACCATATCTTGCGGGGCAATGTCAAATATTGCGGCCATTGTCTGTGTGGGTGCATTGTTCTGAACGCGTTCCGTGTTTCGGTGCGCCATGGCGTCTTGGTCTGTGTTGAAATTCAGGGTATCAACATGGCCAGACCCCTCGTGGCTTTTGCATGTTATTCAAAGAGATTCCTCTGTGTTGTTTCGATGTGAATCTTTCTTCCGATTTTTGGATCTCTTCACCGTTTCCTGCCTTTACCTGCCTGTTCACACAACCAAGGCTCAGCTTGGAGTTCAACGCTGCAGCCGCACCGGATTCGCGACAAGTCAATCAAGAAACCATGGACTATCACGTCCAAGAAACTACGCAACCCGCTCCCGTGCAGGCCGCGAGATCATCAGCGGGTTCCAGCTTCTTCGAACCGCTCTGGCGACGCAATGACGAAAAGGACGGCAAGCGAGGCTTTGAGGGCAATCAGAAATCTCACTTTAGCAGCCGCAACAGCTCCGTGACAGACATCAACAAGGGGGTGAAGCATGGAGAGACCTTCCAGACGTTTGATGTGGCGGCTCCAGAGGGCGTCCTCTACAAAGACGGACAGCTCATCCTACAGCCGGCACCGACTAAGGATCCGCGGGATCCCCTCAACCTGCCCATGTCGCGCAAAGTCCTGGGATGCTTCTGTCTCTGCTGCTTCGGTGCGCTGGCCGCTGCCGCCGAGCTGATTCTCGGTGCGATGTTGCCCGTCTTTGCTCTCGAGTACGCCGGTCTCGACCCGAAGATCCTCAAGCCCTTGACCGACAGCGGTGGTCTCCCTGCGGGCCTCGACCCCCTGAAGGTGCTTTCGAATCTGCCGAGCGCGCCGCCAATCTTTCAAATCTATCTCTTGGCTTCGCTTCCTGTTTTGGTGATTGGACTGTCCAACTTGGTTCTCGTGCCAATGGCTATCTCCGTCGGCCGTCGCCCCGTCGTTCTTAGCACCGGTGTTGTTGCAATCATTGGATGCCTCTGGGCGGGCAGCAGCCAGTCGTTGCAGTCACATCTGTTGGCTCGTTGCGTCCAGGCTGTTGGTGCCGGCACTGTTGAGAGCTTGATCCCGTTCATTATCCAGGATATGGTCTTTGTGCACCAGCGCAATGCCTGGATCTCCTCCATCTTTGCCGCTCAGGGTCTCATCATCATCGTTCTTGGAATCGCGGCGCCGTACATGATTATCGACTTGAGCTGGCGGTGGATGTACTACATCACGGCCATCGGCGCGGCATTCTTCCTCGTTGGCGTTTACTTCTTTATGCCTGAGACGAGATGGCAACGGACACGTGCCGAGATGAGTAAGTTGGAATTATACAGAGTCTTTGAGGGTATCGGCTAACCTTGGACTTCAAGATGGCATTCCTCGCAATGAGATTGGTCATGAGCGTGGCCCCAGAACCTTCCGCTACAACATTGCTCTCTTCCACGGCAAGATGGACTGGCGCAAGGGCTGGAATGCTTTCGTCGACACTCTTCGCACGTTCTTCTATCCGCAAATCTTCTTCATCACTATGCTTAACAGCGTCATGATTGCTTGTGCTTTCGCTGCTGGATACACCGTGGCCCCAGCTCTCTTGACTGCACCCTGGTCGTAAGTACTTGGGTTCCCGGATGTGGTTGAGAAACCTGACTAACACCGATACAGATGGGACTTTATGAACCTCGGCCTCTGCCTCGTGCCGGTTCTTATTGCCGCTGTCGCTGTTGCCTTGGTCACTGGAAGTGCCGCCGACTGGATGGCAAACCGCATCGCGAAGAAACGCGGCGTCCGCGTCCCCGAAAACCAACTTGTGAACCTCATCATCCCGACCCTCGCTGGTATCATTGGCTCCATCATCTTCGGTCTGGCTGGCTCGAACCAGGCAGAGTATTCCTACTTCACATTCCTTACGGGTCTCGGCCTCATGGCGTTCGGCTTTTTGGGTGCCAACACCATCGGCGCGGTCTACGTCCTCGAGTGTTACCCCCACCTCGCGGGCCCGGCCCTGGTCAATATTGCCTCGTTCAGAGGCTTGCTGGCTTTCGTTCTGTCATTCAAGATCTCCGACTGGGTTGTGGACATGGGTTACTTTAACGCGATGATGATCTACACCGGCTTGATCAGCGCATTTGCTGTTTTCGTTCCAGCGGTCTACTTCTATGGGCCTGCTTGGCGCACGAGGTGGCCTGCCGAGCATTTCGGTGATCATATTTGACAAAGGCTGTGTTATAATTAGGATGGAATTGACCGGATGGAATATGTATACTAATCACTTGGGAAGGAATTCTGACTTTTGCCCCGACAGGCTACCAGTGTGTAATATTGTACGATAGCCCAATGCCCGATGGGTGTTCACTCTGGGCGTGGGAACTCGAGGAAAATAACAAAAGTGGGAAGTTTGGGGAAGAGGTCCCTGTAAATGAAGCAAGCGTCTGGGAAGAAGAACTGGTACACATAATTATAAGATTCACCCGCCTAGTCTCCTCTCTCCACACTTCTTGAGCGACGTTAAGAACTGGGAATGTGCACGTAATCTATCCTTCCATGCCAAGTAAATGAATGAAAAAGAGCCTGCAACGTCTCAGCTTCTCACAACTGTTCATAAAAGGTGCCCCATACTCCAGTTGCCTGACTAGATAGGATACCGGAATGGCGGTTGGCCGTTCCCAGCGGCATGAAAAGAGTTCTGCCAGCCATAGTAGAGCAGTTTCAACCCCGACAGAGACATCTCTCAATGATTTGGCCTGATAGAGATTGGCCGTGAATTCGACGCAGCGCATGGCCAGCTTGGTAGGGGACCAAGAGAACCTAGTGGCGTTTAAGGTGCAAAGAGCCACAGACGGCCACACTCGTTCTTTCTTCACCTATTCCTCGGCTGTAAGATTATTCGCGGTGCAATAATACGAGGATCAGGTGGTATAATAACGATTGGTCGCTTAGTGGAGAGCTAGACCATCCATCAATCCCGATGTCGGCCTGTTCGTGCCCCAAGAAGCCATCGCCGAGCCCGACGCTGATGATCAGGTACGGGCTGCCGCCGTGACCGTTAGTGCCCTGTGCAGTTCTTCGAGACAATTGAGGAGCTGGAGAGTCACATCGATACCTCAAGCTCTGCTGGCTTGACTGACATCGACCATTCTTAAGTAGAAGAGCCCGACGTCATTAAGCGCTATGATACCTTCAAGACAGAGTCAGGCTAGGATACATGTACCCCCGACTTTCGAGTCTCTACTATGGTCGAGCAGCGAAACAAAAACGACGGCGCTAGACAGCGCAAGTCGCGTAGCTGGGAGTTCAAAGGCATGCATGAGCTTAGAGAAGGACGTGAGATTTCCGACTGCCCTAGCATGAAGATGGGCGGTCCCAAGACGCCCTTGCCAGCAACTCAGTCCTCAAAGAGCAATATCAAGTTACTCACTTTACATCGGCTATGGAGCTTAACGAGAGAGAGAGAGAGAGAGCTAGGACATCGGGTAACAGGATCAGATTCCGATTAACATAGAAGTATCTATTTTCTCACCTAAGGTATGACTATTTCCCTTCTTATCATTGCCTTCTATGCCTCCCGGAATGTATTCGTCAACCAATAGACTATCTTAAGTGAAGAGAAAGATAAAGTCATGGTAACTACAGTAGTAGTAATCAAAATGGCAGAATATACGCCCACTGCGTCCAGATTTACAAAGGAGAAGTCAGACAAGGAAGTTGAGACCAAGTACGAAAAACTCCAGTCCATCTTTGGTTTGGACTCGGTCGAGAGCCAGTCTTTACCGTCGACCCCCTTGACCTCGAGGTCACCGAAGAGCGCGTGGTGGAGGCCATTGCTTCTAAGGAGAATCTGCTTATCGTTGTGGGCTATTAAATCACAGAGCTAAAGGCGCAAGTCTCGGGCGGCAGGCCGGCCGAAATGCGCAAGAGGCCGTTGATGGTCAGCGACTTCGTCGACAAGGTGTTTCTGGTCAGACACGAAATAGACCAGCATGCGAAGTGTTCCGAGCCCTTTAGTGCATGTGCTACAGGTCAGTCTATGAACAACTCGAGAACCGAATCGGAACCTTCTTGTTCATCATTAAAGGCCATGCCTCCAGTCGAAAAGGTATAATTCGGCTTCAGGGGCGTGTTTTCAGGCTTCACAGGATTCTTGCAAAGTACAAGCGCTGGGAGAGCCCCATCTAGTCGCGCAGGGGTTCTCTAATTCTCATGCATCGTTTGAGTCTCATCATATGTTGAGGTAGTCATGAATGCAAGAATTCGTGGTCAGCAGTTGAGCTGAGCAGTGGCTGCGGTGAGGAGAGGAAGGTGCGAGGTCGTCGGGAAGTGGGCACTTGACAGCAGCCCCGGGGTCCACAGGCAGAACTGCAACTTGCCACCTACATCCACCTTGCGCCCAAAAGCACAGCAACACCACCAACAATCATAACACACAAGAACCAAGCCAGGGAACCCAGCGTTCACTCAAAAACATCGCAATACTCATAGATAGAGCTACAAAAGGCAAAAGAAACTCCTCGACGGGGAATTGAACCCCGGTCCCCTGCGAATCCTTGTAAGTCAATGACAAGCAGATATCCTCACCACTAGACTATCGGGGATTGGTGGATGTTGACATCCAATGATAGCTGGTTGGGAAGGCAAGCGAATCAAGGTTATAACTAAGGTAGGACACGACCCCACACTAGCCTTAGGGCGCGGGTGGGGACTCCGGTCGGCCACGGCAGCTACGCTGCTACCTCGTTCGGGCTGTAATTCAGGGCGTGCGTCTGCTACCAGTTTCTCTCTCCAAAAATCCGCGTTGATGTTCGTTTTGATTGATCAATGAGCCAGTGTTGTTGAATAGAATTCGGTTGTGGCGTGGGAAGAAAGACTGGATGAACATGTGAAGAATAAGGTTGCGGCGTCGGCAGACGAAGGCTCGATTGGGCAGACGGCACTGTTCCCATTCGCTGAGCGCGCCGGACAGGGATTTCAAGGCGGCAGTAATGCAAAGCTACTTCTCACCACGGTTCTCTCCTCTACTCTCTGTCATCGTATCGTGGACCTCGATCCAACGCCCGGATAAAATGATTTGCATCGTATCCATAACTCATCAAGTACAAATAGAGAAATAAAGGGCGCTCGGTACTGTAAACTCGGATGACTCGTTCATCACAGCGCCTTGGCGGACCTCATCAAATGCCGCAGTCGATACCATTGTGGGATGGAAGTGGCGCACAAACACTCTAGTTCTTCCACCTTATTCTGACCTAGACTACTACCTATGTACTTGAATAGAAAACAAGTGTGACGAATGCACCTTTAAGGAGCGGGGAGTCGTCCAATGGGAGTCGTCTAGTTCTTACTTGGACGACGTTCAGCTCCCGAGCAAGTCGTCCCCAGCTTCACGAGCAACACCCACATTCCAAGTCAGGATCTGTGACTTAATTGTCAGACGACGTTTGGTTGCCAATAACCTCGAAATCACGCCTCCAGATATCCCAGTGGTCGCTCTTGTTCGGGTCTCCAAACGGGCTCAGCGCAGCGACACGCATGCTGATGATGATTCATTAGGTCTGGCAACAGGATGGCATACTCACACCAAGATAACTCACGTGTAATTTCCAGGCTTAATCTTTGATCCGTTAGAGAATCGTCCAAGCCACCAAGCTCGCCAGGGAGAATAATTGTAATCCTCCCTCGAGAACTCTCCCATGGGACCTCGAGTGAGGTCGAATTCGTTGTCATTGTCTGGGTCGAAGACGGTGGCGTGCTTCTCGTTATCCTGTGTATTAAGTCAGCGTTTTCCAAACAAACGAATACCTTAAAATGATGCCATGGAATATATCGGATGCGATGAACTTACCCAGGTCGCAGCATGCCCGACGAATCCACCTTCACCAGGAACAGGGGGATACGTCCCCCAACTTTTCTCCTCCCAGCCATGCTCAAAAATATCCCAGCGCAAGACGGCGCAACCCCATCGGAAGTTCATGTAGAGTTTCGGAAAATCCTGCGCTTCCAAGGAGAGGTCGAAGGAGAAGCTAGGAACCAACACATCAGCAATTTTGCTATAAGAGGCATGTCGGTTGGGCCTTACTTGGTCTTATACATCATAGGAAGGTCATCCGCTCCCGAGTTGACGTACGGGTAGTCGTCGACAAACATCTTTCTAAAGGTCTTGTGCAGATTGGAGGCGACGCCCATGTAAGGCACCGAGAGCTGCTCGCCGTTGGAGCCATGGATGCGAATCTTGCCGCTGTACAGGGGCATGGCTGTCTGGTTCCCGCCTTTGGGCTGTTCGAAGGTGAATCTAGAGCAAGGTATTAGTTGAAAGTAGTCACAAGGAAGGCAACGAGGGTTGCTTACTTTGCCTCTCTAGTCTCTCCCGGGCCGACTGTAAATTCCTCAGGAAACGTCACCTTCGGGACTAACGGAGTGGCCAACGGTACCAGACCCGTGTATTGGGGCCCCGTCTTAATGTTGTCTCTATCATCGATAACCTCATACGTCCCCGCAGCCTCAACGCAGAAGCTGTAAGTGATGGGACCTGTGCAGTTGTTTGTAATCATGACAAAGTGTGACGCCCGAAAGTTCGTAGTGTCGTTGAGCGCAAACTTGGCGTACGAAAGCTCCGTCCGGTAGTCCAGGACCTTGGTGGCGTTGACCAGGCCGTTGCCGAGTTGGAAGACCGGGGCGCGCGTCATCCCGTACTCTGTCATGTTCAGCCCATTATTCCACGGAAGCGAGTCGCCACTGGACAGGATCCGAGCCGAGAGCATCTTGCCGAACCCAGTGCCGTGGATGTTTCTGCCTCCATACTTTGAGATGAAGAGTGCCGCTACACCAGCCACGTACGGCGTAGCCATCGACGTGCCTGACTTTAGACCGTATTTGCCGTGAGGAATGGTAGAGAAGATGTTGCTACCTGGAGCCGCGATGTCTGGCTTGATCTGGAGATCATACAGCCCACCCATAGAAGTGAAATAGGAGCTGACGACGGCGGGGTTCTTCAGGTTGACCAGATCCGAGTTGGACTCGTTGAAGAACCTAGCCGTAACCTTGGCGCCCTTTGCCAGCGCGGCAAGAATCTCGACGCCGGCGGCGTGCTCGGTTATACCCTCTGTGCGGTAGATATCGTAGCTGCTGGGCATCGGGAAGATCTCGTCATCGTTGAATAGCAACATGTATCTCGCGCCGGCAGACTGGAGGGCATAGCGCTTGTTGAATCCGTTGCAGCCACCACGAGGAACCATCACGAGAGCGCCAGTCAAGTTTACTGTCCCTGGTGACAGGAAGCGGCACCCGATTGTGGTGTTCAGGGGGTCGTAGGACAGCGCGGTGATGGGAAGACTCGAGTTGAGTGGGAAGCTGTGAGTGAGGCCGCCGTAGAAGAACCCGTACCTCGACTTGTTGATATCGCCGTTTCCGTAGTCAAATGTCACCTCAAAGGGCATTCCGGGGACGTAGGAGGGCTCTGTTGACGCCACTGAGAGTACACTTCGTCCAGATTGACCATTATCCCCAAGGAAGGCACCACCTTCGCCCGTGTTGCCCGCGGATATAGTCACGACGACGCCCTGATCCACGAGACGGGAAGCAATCTCCGCCCAGGCGTTGGACGAGAACCCTCCGCGGCCGCCGATCGAAGAGGTGATGATGTCAGCCTACCACGGGGTTAAATGAGACAACAACATGTTTCTAGATGATCAGACTTACGCCATCACTATGAGCCATCAGAAACGCCTCGATCAAGGTCTCTTCATCTGTGTCGCCACTCTGTGTTCACAGCGTCAGCAAGGATATGGGATAGAGAGACTGCTGCATACAGTTCCGGAAAACACCTTGTACGACAAGATGTTGGCTTCAGGAGCAACTCCTTGCCAGCTGTGATTGTGTTATCCTCCTGCTCCAAGCCTCGGATGCGAATACTGACGTATCTGATTTTCCAGCAACAATCCCAGAGACATGCGTGCCGTGCCCACCAAGAGAATCCTGCTCGTATGGGTCCTTGTCGGGCCGTTTGGGTCCATCACTACCAGGCCAGTCTTCACATTTGCTTGTTAGCCCTTGCTATTTGAAGACGTGTTGGTGATTCTGCTCTCACCTGAGTCGCCGACGAGATCATAGCCGGCCATGACTTTGAAGCCCTTACCGAAACCACCCCCGAGCTAAGACATTAGATATCACCCTCTAGTCAGGAAGGGAAACGGCACTTACAGCGGGATGTGTATAATCAATCCCAGCATCAACAACAGCAACTTTGACACCTTTGCCTAGGATACCTTTCTCATGAAGCCTCTGAACACCAGTGATACCGTGAATGTTGTAGTTATTCCCCGAAACATCCCCGCTGAACTCCTGGCTACTCTCGACCACGGCCCTCTGGACTCTGCGTGACGGCCAAACGTTGCTCGCTCCCCGAAGGAAACGCAGGTCCTCTTCGTTGGTTCCCGTCAGCTCGACACTGACTCCGGTGAAGACATCGCTGCGGAATGTCTTGTACACTGTCGCACCGGGGAAGGAGGATATATCCGACGTGAGCTGCTTAAAGTCTGAGTCCTATGCCGAGTGACTTTGTTAGTGATGTCTCGGAACGACCAACGCCGTGATATCTTACTTTCGCCAGCTCCACAATAAAGCGTCTCGTTCTGGATGATGGGCTCAGGCTCGGGGTCTGCTGCTGTTGTCCAAAGCGAGCCAGACTCACGCCCGCAAGAGATAAGATCGCGAGTGCTGATGTCAGGCGCATGATGGCTAGCGTGGAACAGACACTAGCTCTTGAAATCGTCTAGTGAAGAACAAAAGAGACGGAGGAGCAAGGTAATTCTCGCATCATATGTATTGTAAAATTTCCTGCTGTGCTCTTGGCAATGAATGAGTAGACTGACCCAGCAGACCCATGTAAGATGCCGGGTGCAAGGACACTTGCATACTCGCCTCGTTCAAGATCCATAATGGAAACAAACATATATACCCGTTCATATAACAAACAGGTTTTCTGACACCGCTTCTCCCCGGGGCGATGGGCGCGATGATGGGCGCATCACAGCTTGGAGAAGAGGCTTTGAAGGCTGACCTAGCGTTTAAGCTTGTGTATTTCGTAAGGACAGTCGCAAGATTGAGAAGTACATGCGGTTTTCGGGCTACATCTCGACACTCGAAGTCGATCATCAGCAGTGGGAAAATGGGCGTAATCTGATGAACTGCCATTCACAAGGCACACAAACGTAGGGAGATCTCGTTCGTAGGCCGTTCGTCGCGCAGAATCGGACAGGCTGGCAGCTCTTGGCTACCTGCATCAACTGCCATGTCCACGGCATTCGTGTGGAACAGGCGGTGACGAGTAGTAGTGAGATTGTTCATACAGCACACCTACGCTTGTTAGAATAGACATCAGTAGACTGGACCTCATCGAGGTGGTGAAGTCGGGCACCAGCAGGGACTTACGGATAGTAAGGCGAGGTTGTTGACGAGTTTGCAGATAGGGCCGAAGGCAGGAAGACCTTGCCATTCCCGGGGTCACGATGCCGACGGGTATAATCAACAGGGTAGGGAAGGGTCACGAAGGATCAATTGAAGACGCCAAGGCATCGTATCACCCGTCCAGGTTCCTGCCTAACTGTAGCCGAAGGACATGACAGCAGATTGGGGACGTCTGTCAGACGATAGAGACAGCGTAACTTGCGTTACACGACGGGAAGAGGCCGTTCCACAGCCCCTGAATCATGTCAAATCCCCGTATGGCAAACCTCGTGGCAGACGGATTCGGATCGGATACGATGGCAAACAGACTGTGAGCTCGGACAACAATCGGTGCGGAACACGCGTCTACGTCAACGGAACGTTGACAAAGCCGAACATCGGAACGGATAACACAAACACATTTCTCTATTTCTTGGCTGACCGAATGCTCTTGAGCTTCGCCAAGAGACCAGCTATTTTGGCCTTGAGCACTGGACTGGGGCCTTCATCGGCGCCGACCAATCTCCGAACTAGGATATTATACATGCCGCCGAAGGCGAGCGCGATCGCCGTCGAGGTGAAGATGATGACATTGTAAGGCATGCTGAAGTCCGGTGTGGGCAGATTCAGCAGCAGCGTGGTGGTGCGTGTACTTTGCGTACGGGGGCTGAGTGTAGTAATGACTGCCGCGGCAATGTCGAAACCACGGTTCGCGTCCGGCGGGTACTCTGTATACCGAAGAATTGACTTTTCAAAGTCGTAGGTGAGGAAGACTGTAGAAGCAGGAGGAATACGCATCCGTAGCTCGAGCTGTGTGCCTCTTGCACGGTCGACGGCGGGGCGGTAGTAAATGTCCTCGACGATTGACGGCTGCGAACCCGATGATCCCTCAATGCGCGCGTTAAGTGTATGGAGGTAAACTCGCATAAACCAGGGAAGTGACTCCATGTAGATGAACTCAACCTCTGTGTCCTTGCTTGGGTTTGTGAGAATGGCTTGCATACCACCATGCTCCTGTCCGTGTCCAGTGAAACTGCGCTCGGCGTAGATGAGAGGAGTGGGCGGTTCGACCAGTTCTTTCGTGGGGTCCTGACCCTCCTTATCTTCCAGAGGTAGAACAATCTCCAGCTCTGACTCTGCACCAATCTTGAAGCAGCGCGATGCTCCATTCGGGTTCAAGATCTCTGTAGCTCCGCCAGATGTGTACACACCTCGGGTGTGAGGAACCTCGATACAGACCGGCGGTACGTCTTCGTCTGTCAGAGGGCAGGTGCCCTTGATTGACTTTCCGAAGATCTGGGACAATGTCCATTCCTGGCCAGTGGTAAGACCGGTAGGATAACATGTTTCGTCGTTGTGGTAAGGCTTAGAGGTATCGCACTTGAGCTCGTGTCCAGGGGGTGGACGGGGAATCGGGTTATCTCTGGGTCGCTTGGATCGGTCAATGTCGAGAACCATATCGATAGTCTGCTCGATTTGCAGAATGCACTCCTGGCCCTCGGGGCAGACAGGTTTAATATCGATGGCCATGCTTTGGAAGGAGGAATCGAAGAGCTTGTGGCCGTCTAGCAGACTCGAGATTCCCGCCTTTCCCTTGCAAGGAAGCAGCTTCAAGAAGGGCGTCAGGTTCTCCGTGCACACTACCTCTTTCGGCAGAACACCGTGGAGGAGCTGCATGTTGGGGATGGACGCTTCGGGGTGGTCACCCTCGGGTTGGAATGACATGACCGGTCTGGTGGTTCGGGTTCCGTCGACGAAGTTGAGCGATGCGCAGAAGAGTCCTGAAAGAGCATTGGTGAGAGTCAACCACTTCTGGTCGGCCCTATATATGTGTTAGTATGATTACTCTGCATTGCGACATGAGTGACATACTCTTCGTCCGTCTCGGCCTCAAGCCACGCCCAAAGCTCCACACCAGTCCCGCCCTCGCGCTGACCATCCCAAGGCCGACTTCCCCAGCTCTCAGCATCCCATCTTCCCAAGCTGAATCTCAGATGAAGCTCTCTCGTCCCGGCATATTGTAGTATCTGTCCCAGTGACCGGGGAAAGTATCGAAAGTTTTGCAAGTCGAAATCGGATAGCGACGTATTGGATCGGAAGTTGAAGCTCGCAAGGAGGGCGGACAGGGGCAGCGGGCGGAGGTTCAACTGCTCGTGGTAATCCGCAGCCAGGCCAAAAGAGGCCAGGCAAGAGAAAAGAACGGCCGCCAGGAGATGGCGCATCATGGAGAGAGTGTCGCAGCGCAAAAGAACGAGATTCGCGTCTGCTGCGTTCTCTCCCCTACACTGCGGCGCATGTAGTATCGTTGAAGGTGAGGTCGTGTAGGTGGTCGCTTGGAGGGATGCCGAGGCGGTGGAGTCTGGCAGAATCCCTCTTATGTAACCACACCTTGGGGAAAGTACCTTTTACAGCTCTCCACATTCCGCCCATGGTTCATCCCGCGCCACACGCTTTCTTCCCCAGAACTTTGCGAATTTCCTTACACTCCATTATCCAAGATACCCAATTGACCCGCCCACGAAACATAATCCCAAGAACGATAGACGACACACGATACGAATCATAACACATACTATTGAGCATCACGTACAATGGCGGCAGAACAGAGAAAGCTGCTGGAGCAGCTCATGGGCGGCTCGGCTAGCACCCGGGCGGCCTCGCTCTCCATGACAGACCCCAAAGTCTGCAGATCATTCCTCGTCGGCACATGCCCTCACGATCTGTTCACGAATACTAAGCAAGATCTCGGCCCTTGCCCAAAGCAACACTCTGAAGCACTGAAGGCGGAGTACGAAGGACTGTCAGATAAGGAGAAGCAAAAGTACGGCTTCGAGTACGACTACATGCGCGACCTTCAAAAGTACATCGACGATTGCAACCGGAGGATAGACTCTGCACAGCGCAGGCTAGAGAAGACGCCCGACGAGATCCGCCAAACAAATGCCTTGGTACGGCCTCAGCATTCTCCCGCATTATACTGTACTTTGTAGCTAACCAAATGACAGCTCAAAAGCATCGCTGAACTCTCCTCCACAATCCACAACGGCACCCTCGAAGTCGAAATCCTCGGTGAAATGGCCGAAGTATCCCGCGCGATCGACGAATTCTACCGAGTACGCCAAGCACAGCAAACAAAACTGGACCGCGAGAAGGAGCTCAAGGCCCTTTCAGACACCTCAGGCCCGTCTGGTCACCAGAAGCTGCAAGTTTGCGATGTTTGCGGCGCCTACCTCAGCAGGCTGGATAACGACCGCCGTCTAGCGGATCACTTTTACGGAAAGATGCATCTCGGCTACGCCCAGATGCGCAAGACCTTTGACGCGTTCCCCAAGGAGATGCGCCACCGCCAACGGCAACCGATGGATGACGATGGCATGGGGTCCGGCGGCCCCAGAGGTCCTCGAAGCGGTGGAGGGTACCGCGGACGGGGTGGCAGGGGATACCGCGGTGGCGGTGGCGGTGGCGGTGGATGGTAGGCCCATCCGGGGGAACAGAAAAAGTCGAAGAAGATCGCAGCTCAACCCGAACCAGAGACTGAAGAACTGTTGGGCAACAATCCGATCTCGGAGATCAGGTCGACGCTCTCCGGGAGATTTCGGAGAAGAGCAGCAAGATACCCAGAGCGCTTGAAATATGAATCAATATTGCCGAGACCGGACGCCAACACTCATCGATCCACGAGTCAAGCCTGTCGAACTCAAACAAACAAACAAACGTTCAGCAGGATACCTATAGGATGTAAAACGTGGGTGACAATGCCACTGGAGGTCGATTTGCTTCATACTAAGTCTTCTAGGCCCACGATCACAACTGGTCCAGTCGGCGACAGCATGATGACCAGAATTATGGTCTCAACGGTGCGAAGGATCCAAGTTAAGGGCACATAGGTGGCGACGTTGGGTAGTCCCGGACGGCATTCTCTATTTACGCTCGTAACGGTACCTGCTAAACACGAGACTCGCAGCCTGGGTGCCCGCTTGACAAGGAACCATGCTTAGTTAGAAGCGAACTATAATGTACTCCAATTCCTCGTCATCCCCCCTCCGTAGCGTATCCAAAATGCGTCGTCGCTGTGTTTTTTGTGATCCAATTCGTTATGCTATTCCTCGTCGCAAAGCTTTACCGTCAGCTCAGGCATAGTCTTTACGAAGAAGACTGCGCGGCGGCGCTCTTGAGCTTCTCGTCAAATGCCTCCATCTCGTCGTCCCATCTGCCGAGAGGCGACAACACAGGAGGCGAAATGTCACCGCCCGTAGCCTTGCCAGGCAGGGCAGGGAACTCCTCGGTGCTGATGACGGGCGCCGGCGCGGGAGCCTGGGCGACAGGTGCCTTGGCTTCACGAGCACCGTTTGAATCTCCCCGTTCGTGGTCATTCCCATACCCGCCCCGACCGCCGCGCCCAACCCGCCCTTGGCCACGACCTCTCCCACGACCCCTTCCACCTCTACGCTCCTCACCACCGGCATACCGATCACCCTGCGGCGCCTCATCCTCCCGCGAAGCAAACCGACTCCCCGCAAGCCCCGCAGACCTCGTCCCCCGAACCCCACCATTCGCCCCGCGGAACCCCCTTCTCTCCTCCTCAGCAGCAAGCGCCTCCTTGCCCTCATCCCACCCGCCCTCCTTGATACTCATCGCCTTGAGCTTCCTCTCGCGATTCTTGGCCCTCTCGTCATCCATGCGCCGGCGCTCTTCCTCGCCGCGCCGCCGCCTCTCCTCGTCAACCTTTTTGCGCTGCCGCGCCTCCTCCATGCCGCGCGCGTAGGCTTCCGCGTGGCTGCGCTCGTCCTGCTCCGCCTGTTCGAACTTGCGCGTCTTTTCGGCGTTGAGGATGCGCATCTGTTCCATCTTGGCGGCGAGCTGCGATTCGCTTAGCTTTGTGCGCGGGTTCGCGCCTGAGCCGAGGCGGGCTTCGGCGTTGAGGGCCGTGTTTGCGCCGGCGGCGGCGGCGGCGGCGTTCTTTTCGCGGGGCGCGTGAGGTGCTATTGCTGGCGCGGGAGAGTTGCTCTTTGGCGAGGCGGCGTCGCCTTGGGTAGCGGCCGTGGCGGCTGGGGAAGGGGCGGCGGCAGCAGCATCGGCGACGGGAGCAGTCGGTGCAGCAGCGGGAGCAGATGAGTTTTGCGCCGCGGGACCGGTCGGCGGCTGGGGAGTGGTCGCGGTCGCGGTCGGAGGGGGAGTCGAGACGGCGGCGGCCGGGGGGGCTGGCTGACGAGGGGTGCGCGGGGCAGCAGGGGCCGGCTTCGGGTCGGCGAATCTGGAGTTTGCGAGACCACCCCTCGGCGCCGTTGGTGGCTTCTTGTTGGCCGGGGCTTGCTTTTGCGGCTTCTGTTGCTGCTGCTCTACGGACTTGGGCGCAATAGGCGCGGGCGCGGGTGCGGGTTTCGGAGGCTCGACTGGTGGCGTCGCGATAGCTGCGGGAGGAGGGGGTGGAGGATGAGGGGCGACAACAGTTTCGACTGTCTGGGTATTGCTAACGGGCTCAAAGTCGTCAAAGAAGAGGTCGTCGTCTGTGCGGCCTCCGAATTGGTCGTCCATTTTAACAGAAATGTGTTCTAACAATTACACTAGACAAAAAGGTATGAAGGAGAGGTCGTTGGTAAGAAGCTACAGCAAGGGAAGCTAAGATATTTGGAGCAGATAGATGCACGAGGTTGGTTTGCGAAGGAGTTGCCCTCGAAGCTCTGGGTGTTTGGAGGGCCTGCGAACCATGTCGGATTAGGCAAGTGGGGTTGTCAAGCGTAAATCGAGTCTGGAGCGGGACCCGCTGAAAGGAAATACTCTCGGCCCGCCATGTCGGAGAAAGCGGGTCGAACGTCGTCGGACTTAATAGAGCCGTGTCTACACAGTGTTTCACACATGAACAGCGGCCTCTTCTCCGAGCTTGAATCATCCAGGCCACACATTAATTACGGCATGAAGTAGAGATCTCCAAAAGAGCAAGACTATTTTCATCAAGCCTTCACACCGATTCGCGCCAGTCCTTGTATAAGCTCTTTACACAGAGCCTCGTAGCTTTCAACAAGCAGAATCTCGTATCTCGAACAGACGACTTGAACATTGCCCCTCTTCTTGTATCCTTCAGAACAAGCGACGATGACCTTGCTCCCCGAGTGAGCACAGAGGCCCAACTCGAGCAAGCTAATGTGGCCTTCTGTCTCTGGTTCAAAATAGACCACAATGATGTCGGCCCTCTCCTGCATGTCCAGCTCCCACTTGACTTGACTGTTGAACCTCTCGTCCGAGATGTCTTCCTTCCAGGTGCTGTCCCAGTCCGGTCGGAAGGGGTCGAATATGACCACCGGCAGATGGGACAGTGAGTCGGCGAGACCCTTGCGCCAGTCTCTCTTGCTTGTTGTGCCCGCAAGGAAGATTGCTGTTTCGTGTATTGACTGTTCCCTCGTTAAAGGGCGGATGATCCTGCTCTTCTTGGGTGGTGGAGTGTTCATGGCGGTGACTGCACAGTCTCAAGACAACGTCTGTAAGTCTCCAAATTCTTAACTCGGCTTTTTGATGAATTTGTGCAAACTGAGGACGATTTTCCAGGGGACGCTTGGATTTCGTGAATTTGTCTTCCGGAAGAAGTTGGTGGGTGAGATATATCAATCCTGCTGGTCAGCCTTAAGACGGATGACAGTCATCATGCAGCTCTATCATTGGCCACTGCTATAGTAGGCTTCCAGCTGGCTACCTCCCGTTCGGTTCATTACCTGGCTGAAGGTCGTAGTGTAAAGTATCTCAGTCTTGTCTGCCCAAGGCAACGCCTTCGGAGGCTCCATGTCTGTTCAAGTCAGCGTCGCCGCTGTTTCTCCCCGGTCTACTGTGAACAAGGCGGTTTCGCAATGCCCCAAGATTCCCTTGCATTCCCTGGATAGATGATCGATGGTGAAAACTTTAGGGAGTAAGGCGAATGTTTGAGCCCCATGATCAGCTACTGCTCCACCACCTCAACCCAGGTAGAATTGTTTGTGCAATGATATCTTGTCCGCCGTCTGATTCAACCAAACAATGATAGACGGCTTACGGCAGACTCCTACGTCTCGGATCTGCAGGTTGTCTGTGACTATGTGTGAGAAGAGAGGCCTATCGGGTGAATCCAACGCACAGCTGCTTCAATAACACCCTTGCCGGTCCGTGTCCCTTCTTGGACAGACTTGGCCGTTCACTGGTGCTCCGTTTTCGTCGCCGGGAGCGTGGTGCCCTCCAATAGGACAGAATGCAGATTGCTGGGGGCCGCGGCTTCGGAAGATCACCACGCGCACCCTGGAAGTGGATTGGGGGTCTGCCCGTCTGGTCACTCTGGTGCTGCTATGCTGGCACATTTAGATACCAATCTTGCGGTGAGCTGCGCCGCTGCCTGCTGTTGAGGCCCTCTGCCATATCTCACAGGCTTACAGGGAGGTCGGCGAGCATCCCGGGCTGTCTCAGCTAGGTGTCACTAGCTGAGGAGGATCGTGGATGGCTTGGGATGGATGCCGAAGCGGACAGACTCCACGTCCGTACTGTACGAATAGAGATCCAGGCGATAATAAGTGCTTGGCGCCCGACGTTTGTATTCGTACCAATGGAAGTTGTTAAATGTGAAATCACGCAACCGATCTCGGTCCTACGGACACTTCTTCCTTGACGCTTAAGGTCATGGCCGCCCGTTTTCCTTAATCTCGTTTCCTTCAACTGAATCATACCTAATCATACCAAAGTTTTGCAGTATCCTCTTTGTTTATCACGGGCGTATGATACCATCCCCTCCAATGTTGCGTCATGAAGCGGTGAGAGAGTCAAAGCCATCAGGACGTCCGTACAAATAGAGAAAAAACTCCCCACCTTTGGCTTGGGGCGAGTTACCCCAGGATCGAAGCGGATTCAGCACATCTACGGATATCTTTGCTCCCCTAGCGTACGGAGACCCCGAGTCAGGATTGCGGACACAGCCACAACGATCTCGAGGATCTAGATGGCTGTGGTATACAAGTCGGGGGAGCACCACGCTCCAGGCGAGGACGACTGCGAGGGGTGCCGGAAGATTCACCGGGACCTGGTTGAGCTATCGGTTGGCTCCGAGTCTTCTGAAGAATACGAAGATGGTGAGTTCTCTCAGTCTCTTATTGTAACTTGGTCAATTTCATTGCTGGGCTTTTGAGAAAAGTTCAAACAAGGACAGGTGTCACGAGACGTTGATGCTTCAAAGTGACAATTCGTGTCACATTGGTCCCTGTAGTTCCCCTGAGAAAACAGCAGTGGACCTTGTAGCTACGAGAGCTAGAGCACTTGGGCTGGCAGGAACTGCACCTAGGGACGATCCACTCAGCCCAAATTCTTGGGACGTCCACAGCGTCCCACCCCTAAGGGAGAGGTCCCTTACGGGGGGATCCACGCTCCACTGGGGGGTGGTGGGCGGAGTGACTCCCCTTTAGGCGCATTTCGTCATTCGCCATTTTCGTTGCGAGTTCGCAGCCAATTTGGCCGATTCATCTTGGGAAATGCGTCACAGCCTGACGTTCGCTACTTCTTGCTTCCTGTCTCGACACGCCACTTGACTCTTCCTTTTCCTTCAAACTCGATCGGCCCATTCCTTTCTCACCATTGGGTCGACCGTCGCATTCTTTCTCCCAAACACCACCGCTGACAAGCTTCCGCCCTCCCCGCGCGACAGAAGACACAATGCGGTCCGCCATTGCGGCCTCCGACCTCTCCACGAACCTGAGCGACACGGACGACTGCCCCCAGGTCGCCCCCGAACTCCTCCACAATCTCAAGCACGACAGCTCCGTTCTCGCCCTCGCCGTCAGCTCCGAAAACGATCGCATATACGCCGGCACCCAGGATGGTGAGATCGTCGTGTGGTCGCTGGCCACCTTCCACCAGGAGCGCATCGTCCAGGCGCACAAGAACAGCGTGCTGAGCCTGTTCCTCACCCCCGACGGCTCAATGCTGTTCTCGAGCGCCGGAGACCCTCTCATCAACGTCTGGTGCCCCAAGACGATGAAGCGGCTGTACGAGATTTATAGCACCTACGACGTTGGCGACATCTTTTCCGTGGCCTATAGCGCCCAGCACGAGACGGTGTACGTTGGCGCGCAAAACACCTCGATACAATGGGTCAGCCTCACCGATCCGAATAACCGTACCGCCCACGACTCTGCACAACATCCCGACCGTCGGAATCATAGGTTCTTCGACTCGCGAGCTGTAGGAGGCACCACGACGCCACGCCGTAACGATGAGAGGTGGACTTTGATCCCGCGATCTGAAAAGGTGGTGGAAATTCATCCGGGGGCTCTACAGATGTTTGCCCACTATGGCTATGTCTACTCGATGCTCATGGCCAAGGGCCCGACGGTGCTTGTGGAGCCTGACGAGGAGGTGCTCATCTCGGGCGGCGGAGACGGTACCATCAAGTTGTGGAAGCTTGGCGCTGAAGGGGATGATCAGGCGGCTGAAAACGACCGCGAACCCGGCCTTCAAGAACTGATGTCACTTGGCGCCGACGATGCGGAATCAGTCATGTCTCTTGCGATTGACGGGTCTTTCCTGTATGCTGGCAAGCTACAGGGAGTTATCGAGCTGTGGGACTTGGACACCAAATCCAAGTTGCGAGTGATTAAGGGTCACAGGGGCGATGTGATGACACTACAGATGGGTTGGGGCTATCTATTAAGTGCCTCTCGCTCTGGTTCTTCGAGTGTAAGTTCTCTGGTCTTCTTAATTGCTTCATGGCTGACAATCCATAGAAACACACCACTGCCCACTACGGCAAGTACCAAGACAAGCAGGTCGCGAATATTAGCCAAAAGTACCAGTGCGTGGCGCGCTGGAAGGCCCATGAGGGCAAGGTCCTGTCATCAGCAGTAACAACATACAATAACAGACAGTACTACATCACCGGCGCCAACGACAATGATGTTGCCATCTGGCACATTGACTGCTCACAGTACGAGGATCAACAAAGGGAGGTGGAGGAAGCCAACGATGTCATGATCAAGACTCTTGGAGAGTTTGTGTCCTACCGGACAGTGTCATCACGCCCAGAATTCGCAGAGGATTGCCGAAGAGGTGCAACGTTTCTCGGATCCTTGTTCAAGAGGCTTGGCGGTCATGTCGAGATGCTGAGCACGGAAAGCAGTCCCCATAACCCCGTTGTCCTCGCCAAGTTTGACGGCGTTTTGGAGCCGGCTGAGAAGCGGAAGAAGATTCTGTTTTACGGTCACTACGATGTTGTCCCGGCAGATACCAAGAAGGGCAAGTGGGAGACGGACCCGTTCCAGATGAAGGGTGTCAACGGATATCTCTACGGCAGAGGTGTCAGTGACAACAAGGGCCCGATCATGGCTGCGTTGTTCGCTGTAACGGACTTGCTGCAAACCAAGAAGCTTGCCAACGACGTGATCTTTTTGATCGAAGGAGAGGAAGAATCGGCTTCTCGCGGGTTCAGGGAGATTGTTCGCAAGAACAAGGACCTTATCGGCGACGTCGACTACATCCTGCTTGCCAACAGTTACTGGCTCGACGATGAGGTCCCCTGCCTGACCTACGGTCTGCGCGGTGTCCTTCACGCCACTGTCTGCATCGACTCACATTTGCCCGACCAGCATTCTGGTGTAGACGGCTCCTACATGAACGACGAACCCCTGTCGGACCTTACTTCCACGCTGTCAAAGCTAAAGGGCCCCGGCAACAAGGTGCTCATCCCCGGCTTCTACGACGACATCCTCCCGGTCACGGCCGAGGAGGAGACGCGCTACGATGACATTGCGTCAACGCTCATGCGCCAGAACCCAGAAAAGGGGCCCGCCGACAAGCTCAAGGCGGCGCTGATGGCGCGCTGGAGGGAACCCAACTTGACGATCCACCGGTATAAGGTATCAGGACCGGACGGCAGCCTGGTCAGCAGCCACGCGAGTGCTAACATCAGCTTGCGTCTGGTGCCGGGCCAGGAGGTCAACGACGTCATCGCCTCGCTGGGCTCGTACCTCGAGAGCGAGTTCGCGCACCTCGAGTCCAAGAACTCGCTGACCATCAAGATTGACAACAAAGCCGAGCCGTGGCTGGGTGATCCCACGAACGCCATTTTTCAGACGCTCGAGGAGGCCATCATGCAGTCGTGGTCGTCCGTGTTCGAGGGCGGAGAGACCGCGGGCGGCAGTGCCGGGGCAGAGCCGGTCGAGACGACGGACACGAATACGCAGAAGCCCAAGAAGCCCCTGTACATTCGCGAGGGCGGCTCTATTCCCGCGATCCGTTTCCTCGAAAAGGAATTTGGCGCACCGGCCGCGCATCTGCCTTGCGGACAGTCCTCGGATTCAGCGCACTTGGACAATGAGAGGTTGAGAGTCCTGAACCTCCTCAAGAGCCGGGAAATCATCGGGTCCGTGTTTGCTCGTTTGTAGATGGAGAGACCATCTGAGTATTATCCAGACAGGTATACTTTAGAAGGCGTTATGGAGATTGGGCAGCGGCATGTCCAACGGTACATTGTACAAAAAGAGAAAGAAAAGTAGATGGATACCCCAAAAATCAATGCATTCTTAGAGCTTGTTGCGTTTACCTGTGATGCTTCTGGTGAAAGTGCCATTACTTACTTGCTCTTGCACCTGACTCGTATTTTAACACTGCAAAGATGGCACTTTCAACCCCTCCGTTGACGTGATCCGACCATCGGCAAGCTGAAGCCGAGCGTCGGCCGTTGAGCTTCCCGATTCGGCTTGCCGGTTCAGACAGTCTTATCTTACCATTCAACCACGACTCTCGCTCCCACCTCACGTCTCACTTGAGACGACTTCCGTACACCAACTTGACTTGCTGGCATTACAGAACATCTCATATGAAATACTTGCACGAGGTAATTACTTGTGCTTGCCTGTTTCTTACTTATCGGCTTTGGATTTAAGAGATCGTTAAGGATAAACCAGTGAGACAGAAGATGGATTACAAGCGTCAGTCTCCGGCCGCCGTAAAGGTGAAGCCGCGCCTCATCATCCACGGCGGAGCGGGCAACATCAAGCCGTCGAATCTGCAGCCGCCAGAATACGCAGAGTACCGCCACGCCTTGCTGACGATTGTAAGTTCAAGAACCATCAATCAACTCACCTCCCCACCCTTTCCCAGCCCGAGAACCAGATTGAGTCCCTACTCCAAACTCTCACCACATGCACTTCAACTCCCTCACACATGTAACTCACACACATACAGGTCAGCAAAACAAACGCCTACCAAAACACCCCATCCCTCACAAGCATAAACACCACCACCACCAGCAGCGCCCTCCCCTCAGCCCTAGAAACAGCAACCCACGCCGTCACCCTCCTAGAAAACAACCCGCTCTTCAACAGCGGCCACGGCGCAGTCTTCACCCGCGACGGCATCAACGAGCTCGAAGCCTCCGTCATGGTCTCCCGCGGCTTCGCCAAGCGCGGCGTAGGCGTCACGGGGCTGCAACACGTCCGGAACCCCATTCTACTCGCCAAAGTGATTTTGGAGCACGGGGACGAGGATTTGGGTGGCAATCCGGAGAGTAGCCATCCCTCTTCTTCGTCTCTGAGTACTGCTACTACTACTGCTGCTACTGGCATCGACGCCCCTTCAGCACAGGGACACACCCTCCTCCACGGCGCCACAGCCGAGACCCTCGCGAAGAAGTACGGGTTGGACCTCGTCTCTACGGAGTACTTCTTCACCCAGCGGCGGTGGGATGAACACATCCGCGCCCTCGAGCGGGAGAAAGCAGGCCAGGGGTTGAGCACGTACAGCACGACAGAGTTCCTCCCGCAAGGCACCGTCGGCGCCGTGGCGCTGGATGAAGAGGGCGTCGTGTGCGTTGCTACGAGTACAGGCGGGCTGACGAATAAGTTGACGGGCCGGATTGGGGATACGCCTGTCGTCGGGGCCGGGTTCTGGGCTGAGGAGTGGGTTGAGGAAGGGGATCCGACGGGGGCGTTTGCCCGCGCTGCTGGTGCTGGTGGGGATGGGTTCCTTGTGTTGAGTGAGAGTTTGAAGGCGTTGATGGCTGATTGCCTTCCCTCGTTGAAGACTTATTTCCCTTTGCCGAGCGGCGTAGCTGGTTTTGGTAAGGGGCTGAAGACCACGAGGGCGATTGCAGCCTCCGGCACGGGCAATGGAGATTCCTTCATGCGCGTCGCCGCCGGCCGGACCGTCGGCGCCGTGGCGCGGTGGAAGCCGCTTTCCGGGGCTGACGCCGTATCGTTTGTTTCTGGCCCGGGCGGGGAGTTGCAGAGTAGTGCGGGTCCGCGGTGGAAGGTTACTGGCGAGGGCGAGGGCGGCATCATCGGGATCGAGATTGCGGTTACGAGGGACGAGGAGGGGAACGTTGTGGGTGTGAGGTCCGAGGTTCTGCAGGATTTCAACTGCAATGGGATGTACAGGGCTTGGATTGACGATGATGGCAAGGCGTATGCCAAGATTTATCGGGATGGTGTTGAGGGGGTTGATGTGAGGGAGTACTCTGAGAAGTGGTGAGCTCAAGGGGGATGCGGAACGCAGATCTAGATTTCGGGAAATGATCAAGTGGAATAAGGCCAAGAGATGAGAAGAAATCAGCGAGTTGATGGTACAATTATGAACACCTCTATCCCATACAGTTTCAGTACTCGTGTCAAAAAATGGGAGAAGAGACTGTCTCTCTCCTCGGATCCAAACCCCAGCCGCGTCAAGGACAAGCGCAGTCAGACTCTCTCTGTCCCTGACCTGCCGCCAAGACGACAGCATTCCCGCACGCCGTTCGTCTATGGGTTAAAGATCCCCTCAGAGATCAAGATGGCCGTCCACCCCCTTGTCTCCAGTCTCCGGTGACTGGTAGCAAACTTTTTGCCCCTATTCTACATGTAACGCCACCCTCTCCGATGTTGCGATTTTTTCAATGGATTACAAAAATTGGGATTGAATTGCTTCGCTCCCTTGTGATGTGGAAAACAAACTTGTCGAGCCCTCGTCAAAAGGACAAAAAACAGGCTTCGAGCGTTGTGGAGTAGAGAGGGGTCCGAGTTATTCTTCTCGTTGGCAAGGCGGTCGTCTCGATCACCCGCCGTTCGTCGGTAAAATTGGATGCTTCGCGAAGAATCGATCGTTTATGCAAGAGCTCTCTCGTCGGAAGGAGGAGGCGCGGGCATCTACCAAGCAAATTGTCAGTCTCGCTTCGCCAGTCAAGCGCTTGTGACTGTTTCAACGCACCTCCAGCTTTGTGCTACCCGCGAACATCTTCTGGAAACCGATACCGACACCCTCGATGACGGCAAGGAGCAGCGCACAACCAATGGCACCATTTCGGGCGGCCTTGCGAGCCATTATATTAGCAACTTGCGACAATAGATCAGCTGGACAAGCAGCCTTACCTTGTATCCTCCACGGATGGCTAGCGCACCACCTGTGAGGAAACCAGCTGCGATACTGTTCCAAGGGTCCTCCTTGTGTCCACGAAGACCTAAGCATAGAATATTAGCGTCGAAGACGTCGGATTCCCGTGTCACAGGATACAGAGGGAAATTGCTGGCCCTGCTCTGGCTAGGAGGCACCTGGCAAGCTGTCGTCTAGCCAGTTGCTCGATCAAGCCGCAACCCACAACCCCATTATCAAGGCCTTGAAGAGCATTAGAGTCGAGGTACAGCGCCTTCTGCTCCGTCTCCAAAGCTCTGAATGGGATATTTGCAGTTTCCGGGCCTGGAGCCTTGAAATGGTAGCTCAAGCTGACGCGCAATATTGCAATGCAATCTTCGCCAGTGTGAGGCCTAGCCAGCTTCTCTTGTATCTTGTGACTTTACGGGTGTGGAGGAAGCGGTTCATACTTTTTACGGAGCAATCGAATGTTCTATTTTACATCATTACAGTCAGTAAGATGTTTAAACGTCGCCAGAAAGTCCGTAATGGCATGGCGTTCGGGATCGATATCTCGGGAATCGTCGAAGTTACTCACGAGAAAAGACCTCCCCAAACTAGAGAAAACTGTGTTAGCGTCTTCCACGAGATCAAGAGTCCTCCATAGAGTTATGTGCTTACCTCCGAAGTTTCCTCCCAGTACGGGAGCGCGCATCTTGATGGCTGAGATGGCACCGATTCTTCTCTCACCTGATGCGCTGTTAATCATCACCATCTCCAAAACTGCGCAGAGGGGAAGGCTTTACCATAGGGTGAGTTGCGGTAACCCTTGATACCGTGCCATACCGTTCCACCGATAGCTAGATGTATGTCAGAATGCAAGAGTCGTGGCGAGATTAATCGATTCGGAAGCTCGAGATTCGGAAACGGGCTGGATTCGAGATTCGAGAAGGGTATCGATGTCGGCAATCGCAAGTGGCTAGATTACTCACCTCCCATAGCAAAAGCACCGCCAAAGTCTTCAGAATCGTTAGCCTTGTCCTTCCAGGGGGCGAGGATGATCGGCTGAGGACGTTACCATTGAGGATGACCCAGGGGCAGGGATCACGGGTGTGGTCCATTGTGAATGATTTCGTGTGCGGTCGGAATATCGTGTGATGGTTGGCGTGAAGCTGGGAGCTTTAGGACGCGACGGTTCGGTGTGGGTTCGCTGGGTGGTGGTTGACGTGGATGGTGAAAAACCAGGCTCAAGATGCGATTTTGGTGATGCTTGGGTGGCTACGGCGGGTCAGGATGCGACGGGTGTCGTGAATGATTTCTCCGACGGCGGACTTTTTCGTCTGATTTGTTATCTTATCGCCCTTCGCCCCCTCCGATTGGCCAGTGGGGTCAGCAGCTCTCCACTATCGGCGTTATCTCGTCATTGGCCCAATTGGGAAATGTACCTCCCGTCTTAAGCTACAACAAGTCAGAGTCACTCCTGGTGACTAATTGAACACAAGATCTCGTGCGACGAGATGGAATGTTCAACTGAATTATCTGCAACTCAATTTAATGTATTATCAATACTGAGCCATGGCCGAACAGCAATTCGAACCAACCTCTTCTCGTAAAGGCTGCACTCTGGAGAGAGCCAATGCGGAACATGTACCTCACATTCAATCCATGACCAGAGCTGCGTACTCCAAGTACATCGACCGTATCGGCAAAGAACCAGCGCCCATGAAAGCTGACTATTACGAACTCATCAAGACGCAACTGGTCTACATACTTGGCGAAGACGAGAATGACACAGTGGTCGGCGCCATTCTCCTTCGCCATGATCCATCAGCCAGCGCACTGCATATCAACAACCTGGTCGTAGCCCCAGAGGCTCAGGGCCGCGGCTACGGCCGAGTCTTGATGAAATGCGCTGAGGACGTGGCTCGAGCTTCTGGATGCACATCTCTGCAATTGTACACCAACATCAAAATGTACGAAAACCTCATCCTGTATCCCAAGATGGGGTTCGTCGAGACAGAGAGGAGGACGGAGGATGAATACGAGAGGGTGTACTTTCGTAGGGAGCTGGATAGCGCCTAGACGCCCACCGCGGTCTGTGAATCCACAATCAGTGAATGAAGAGGACCTCACGAGCGCAACATCCGGAAGGCAACGGCCGCCGTACACTCCAATTTCTATCGTTCCAGGAGAATGAGAGTCTGAAAACAAATCAACAATGAGCAATGCCTACGAGTCTGTCGATGTAAGACATTGCAAGTGCTGGAGGCCTTCAGCGAGCTAAACTCGATTGGCCCATTGGAACCGAGACAGCCCAACCAATGAGAATCAACAGCAGTCTTCCGTTCCGTCAGCGGATCAACTCATGTGGCACGTCATGTACCTCACCTCACCTTCACTTCTATTGACATTCATCTCATTGACGTACGGACAGCTAATCCACCTTCACATCAAAGCCCCGTTCTGCGACTCATTCATTTCCAACGGCAGCTACTTTATTCGTTGAATTCTGAGTTTTGCATCACTTCATCTTTGACTCTTGGACACGCCGTCGTCGTCACAAAGTCCAGGCCCTCGCCACCGCAATCATGGCCTCCGAGACCAAGCCAGACGAGACAGGCTCTGATACGGCTTCAGAGTTCCACACTCCGATCATGACACCTGCAACAACATCCATAGCAGGCGATGATGACAAAGACGATCAAGTAAGCGACATACCTTGGCCCGGCAAGTACTTCTACATCATCGACAAAGAGTCTGGCAAAGCCATCACACTGGTCGATGACAGGCCAGTCCTCATGGACCTCCAAGGCGTGCGCGATCCCGCCACCATGTGGTATTGCGTCGAGAAGCAAGGGTATTTTGGGTTTCTCAACAAGAGTTGGGGAAAGTTCATCGGTCACAACAGCAAGAGCGACGTAGGTGCGTGGGCTGGAGAGTTCAATGAGTGGGAGTCGTGGGTTCCAAGGCAACATCCAGATGGAGGCTACCAGCTGCTGTCGCCGTACTGGACCCATACTATGATGCAGCTTTGCGTTGCTCCGGACAGGATCAATTTGTGTAGGCGGTCCCATGGCCCGACATTGTGGTTGTTCATGCAGGTTCCGTGGTAGGTCTGGTCTAGGTGTATATGAACCGAGGCCGCAGGTTTCTTTGACGGTGTTTTATCGGTTAGAGCGGAATCGAAGGCGTTCAAGAGTTCTTCCAACAGGGTTGATTGGTGACATTCGTCTTTTGACGCATTGCTGAATAACAGTCAACACTGGGGCGTTGGCTGAGCTTCGAGGTGCAGTAGCATATTGGATGTTGTTGCCAGTCGACACAGCAATAACACGGTCAATGTCCCAACGCTGGAAAAGGTGAGCTTCCTACGCCTCTCACACCAACGCCATCTCTTGCGAACATCTGGCATTAGGGTCTTGACTTCCTAGTCTGCTAAGGACAACCCAGCCACCAAGAGAGTCCTCATTGACCAAAGCCAGAGGAGCCAAAGTCTGTGGATGCATGGAGTGCAGATTCTTTCTGCGAACCTTTGGGGCATGATTAATACTCGAACAAGGACTCACTTTGCAACTTTAGGTGAGCAGAACACATGTGAGTATGAGAAAATTATCCAGTCTATTACAGCATTATGATATTGAGTCCTAAAAGTTCAAGTCATGACCAGCTTCGCAGTATCAGCTATGGAGGTCTATTCGTGCCACGTCCATATATACATGTATCCACATACGCCCTACAACAAGGCAGCGCCGATAGCAACACCAGCCACGAGACCGAACAGCTCGCGAGACGCGCCGGTAGGAACGGCAGCATTGGGGCTGCTGGTAGCAGCTGATGTCGCAGCAGAACCAACAGCCCGCGTGCTACGGGCAGACTGGTTTCCAGATCCCGACGCAGCAGAGGTCGTCATGGTTGTCATGGTCGCATTGCTGAAACCGCTCGAGGTAATGACAACAGCAGAGGCAGAGGCAGAAGTCTCGCTCTCAGCGGCAACGGAGTCCGTTGATGCGGTGACGGTGGCGACAGAAGCGCTGTCAGTCACACTGACGGTAGTCTCCGGAGCGGCAGTGGTGACGGCGGCCATGGTCGTCGAGGCCTCGACCGCGGCGCTGGTCTGCAGGGGCAGGAAGGAGGGCGAGTAGGTCTCGGTGCCCTCGTAGGAAGGGCAGCCGGGGACGGTGGTCTTGGGAGGGGCGCGGCCGCCGCCGCAGTCGAGGGCGGCGCAGATCTCGCCGGTGCCGGGGACGTACCAGACGCGGGTTGCGTAGGGTGTGCCGCCCTGGGTGGGCGTGTAGACGGAGTCTGAGGAGACGCAGCCGGCGAGGTCGGTCTTGGCCAGGACGGCGGTGGCCATGATGGCGAGGGAGGTGATGTATCTGAAAGACATTTTGATGTGGTTTCGATTTGATGATGTTTGGTTTGATGTATTTGTGTAATAAGATGGTATAGTAGCTCCGGTAGCGATGTAAGAGCAGCTTAAACGATTGTGTTGATTTCGAACGAATGTAATGACCCGAGGGGTAGTGTAGGCTTCGAGATTGATAGCCGGTATTAAGGATGAAGAGAGAAAAGAGAGCCAGACCATTCCTCGTCGTCAAAAGATCCTTTCCTCGCAGACTTTTTTGTATTTCGAGTTGCCAATAAACGGCTGCCTTGACCCCGGGTCTAAACAACGCCCCTGGACGGAGCTGAGCGGGGTCTGAGACGGGAGTCTTGCGCCACCTCATCTCGGAAGCCGCCCTAGCGGTCATTAAGGCCATCCAACAAACGCCCGATCCCAACGGCTCTGTGATGCTGTGGCTGTTTGGTATGTCTCATAATGGGGCCCATTGAGATGCCGTTGCAGCCGTTCCGGTCAGATATTTTGTCGCAGATCCAATGATCCATCGTTCCATGAGGAAAAAAAGCTTTTCTTCCTTGGATGAAAACGTCAACGCACTAAGACGCGCCAAAAATAATCCTCAAGTTCGTAAAAACTGCACCGCCCCCTTGACGGTAGTCCGCCGGTCTCGAACGGGCGAATACGGCGCGGGCCACCGCGCCGGGATCTCGATCCTTGCATTGCGCTTTTTTTCTCCAGTGGTATTGTTGGTCCCCTCAATCCTATTTGCTGGGGCTTCGTATGCTAATCCCTTGCTGCAGGTACCAGTAACACGAAAAGCAAGCAGAGTGGTCCCAATAGTCGTTTGTTTTGAGATGAAATGAAATCATGCATATATTGCTGAGTGAAAGTCCCTGCCATGCCTGCCATGCCTTTGGACACCAGAATAGCCGTTCGCCAGGGACGCTCTTGAAAGTTGGCCATGGCCGCCCAGATGACACCACGTTCTGGGCCCCTTGCAAGTGCATGTATGACAGGCTCGAGTCCTCCTCAAGTGAGCTCGAATTTGAGATGTCACAAGCCCGGTTGCGTATCTACTTTTCTAACTGTCGATCAAATCTCCGAAGATGGAATCGCTTGTATGGACGTTTGGCTGATCAACAATAAAGAGGTCGATGCTCCAACAATTTCAACCCTCAAGAAGCATTTTAACTACTTACGAAAACAGCAAAGTTAGCACAGACTATGCGGCCTGGAGACTCTGTACCGTGGGCGAAGTTGTGAACTGCTTCTTCCCTGTCAAGTCTGTACTTGAAGGTAAGATGGTTGTATGGCGAATTTTTCCAAGCTCTGACAAAGCCTCCATTCTTTTCCAGGTCAAGGATACGTAAGTCATGAATTGGGAGAAACATTTGAGCACATCAACATGATGAAAAGGCCCATGGAGATGAAAGATCTGTTCGGGCGATTGCTGAAATCATTCTATCAGGTAATGTGTAATAACAGTTCGTGGAAAGTCAAGTCGGGGAAAGGATCAATCGTGATATTGAGTTACTAGATACCAAACACTACAAAGGTGCTCGAAACTCTTTGTTCATTTTTTTTCTATTCGATCTCGAATGGCACCAGATCATGGTGTACGGCAGCACGCAGATGGAGCATCAAGCCTTTGATATCTCGCGCGCAGGAAATTTTGATCCTCTTTATCCACATGTTCGACTCCTTTTTCCCGTTCCCGGGCTTCGATGACTTCAGACAGAAATCAAGGCCTTGTACGGGTCCCTTTGAGGTTTAAGGTTGGAAAGTTGAACCGAGTTCTTGTTCCAACAAAGAACTTGCTCAATGTCGACCTAATACTCGATCATTCTCGTCGAGTCCGACGCCAGTATGGTTGTTCCTCACAGACGTCGTTGTTCCAGGCGACTCGATCAAGGACTCTGTGACCACAAGCGGTTATTCTGCCTGACGAGTCCTTTCAGATGAGCCCCTGAACAGGCAACATTGGCGGTTGATTCAACTGCTTATATATCTGATGTGTCGAGCAACGAAACCCTCTTGTAATCAATGTGTCTACAGTTCCGAACTATCAACATCACTCAACTATCGATACATCTCGAGAGCTATCAGTATCATCATCATTTCTCTTAGGACAACTATTAATCAAACCTGAGTCACCACAAGCGCCCAAACTCCATCAAACAGCCAAAATGTGTCAAAAGGTCGAGATCCTCATCGTCTGCTGCGAGCAGCACTGCTCCAACGTCTACAGCAACGGCCTCCGAAAGCCTCAGATGCGTCTCATCCCCCACCCGGAAACAGCCTTCGTCCTCTGCGGTGCGGCCCTCGACCTAAACTACATCAGCGACCGCTTTTTCATGGACCTCCCCGTCTGTTCCACCGTCCCCAGAAACTGCCCTGACCTGCTCGAGAACTACAAATTCCAGCTCGTCCTCTCGCAGGTCGCTTCGAAGCACATCATGGAGCTGGAGACCAACTCGCGCGTCCAGTGCAACAGCTGCTCTGGCACGGGAAAGCCTCAGTTCGTTTCAAAGACTGGCAAGAAGTCGACTATACAGTCGATTGCTCCTTCTGGAAAGGCGCATGTTGAGGCTTTGTGGACGTGCTGTGCTGAGGGCAAGTGTAGGCCTGGACAGGAGTGCCAGTGTCGGGCTGCTACTCTGCTTTGTCGTGACTCTGATTGGGCTAAGGAAGGTGAAAGCTGCATCATGCGAGGCGATGGCGATTTTGATCTCGATGTTGAAAAGATTGCTTAGAGGTTGGCCGGTCTCGTGCTAAGGTACTTTAGGAAAGGTGAGGCGTTCATAGACTCATGATAAATCGGGTTGCGATAAAAGAGTGATTAGTGGTGAGGCACAACAAATTGAAACACACTTCCTCTGTGCGTGACGTGGTTCATCGTGAATGCTTGCTCGCGGCTTCGAAAGTAGCAGTAAAAGAGAACGAGCTGAAACTCAAATGTAGTAATCACTTGCGCACATATAGCTCCTTTCTCATGCAAAGAGACCTCATCCGAGCACCCATGAGTGCTTGGTCTTTAGCAGTGGGAATTCACTGCCATGCTCTCAGCAACTTACACGGATTCGAGCATGACTCAAGTTGTTCATCATCTTTAAAGCTCAGATGGGCATATGCCGTTACCCCAGGATGCATCGAGCCTTACATTGCACCATACAGTGGACCAAGCACGCCATGTGGTTGTCCCAGCACAGAGGATAAGCTTATTTTGGACCTTGCATGGCCTATTCTGCAACACATGCAGATGCCATCATGGCTCAAACTACTATCAGAGTTGAGTCGCCAGCGGATACTTGATGCGTGCGTGAAAAGCTTGCCTACCATTCAGCTACATCGTCGGCTTTCAAGCGTGGGATAATACTCGAACATGACCCGCTTCGAACAATTTTCTTGGTCTATTGGCACAAATTGCTCCATTGATGCAATACTTCTGGCCACCTTTTGGCCGAAAATTCGGCTTGTAGTATTCTTGTCTTCCTAGATATACTCAAGTTGTGCTCCTCGTCTACAGCAGCCGTCATAGATAGCATAGATAGCTCAAAATCATCGTGAAAGAGGATCCGGCAGTCGGCCAGTATGTGAGCGACCGAAACCGAAGACCGTTAATCCACCTCGATCCCCGAGAATTGACTGTCCAAAAACGAGCTTGGTCCCGGGACTAGTAAGGTAGCACAGTACTAAGTAGTAACTTGGACTAAAATCCACCAATATCCATGCTTAATTACTTTCCGTCCCGCCCGTCGGGAAAAGTCCGACTCAACTTGGCGCTCACTTGGCAGCGGCATTTGTTGCCCACTCTCTCGCAGAATCCTGGGGTATTCAACTTCAATTTCTCAGGCGTTCCTCGATATTAAAGTTGACAGCATCGAGTGAAGTCTCCGAAGCAATGGCGTTATGTGAATTAAGGCGTCCGTCTAGATAAGGTAGTTACCATTAGTAATGTTGCCATTCGCAGACATGCAACTGGCATGATCGGAAGTCGGATCTCACATTCTGCAAACGGCACCGAGCACCGAATTCCGCTGCGGGCTGACTCCTCAAAGTTGTGGAAATTTTAGCAAAGAAGCCTCCACGGTGGGTTCTTTGATTTATAGACTGGGACCCGATGTAACCAAAAACATACGAAGATCCCCCCCTAGCCGGCACTTTGAGGGAATTTGCTGATGATGATTTTTATCAATCTCATCTTATCAGATCCTGATTGCCTTTTGGATGGAGACGAATGACGATGATCTCTCAGGTACAACCGGCGTACTTCTCGGAACAGACCCACACACCATGCAAGATCGCGAGAAAAACGGTCGAAAACCTTGGATCCATGACAGGGGCGAGGGCAGCCTATAGTGTTTGTTGAAGAAAAAGTCGGATGTGAAGTCAGAGTCAATCGACCGATGTTGGGAACCACACGAATGCCCTTGAAGATGAACTACAGAGTACAAAAGCCTCGACGAGACTCCTTTCCTTGAGTCTGGCTTGTTCTGTTTCTCAAGGCCTCGCTTCCTGTCAACCATACCACCAAGCCTACAGTCACCATGGTCCGCTCTACCTCCCTCCTCAAGGCCACCGCATTGCTCGGCCTGAACCATGCCGCCTCAGCCCAGAACAGCACCAGCAACCCCTGGCCGTGGCAGACCTACCGCTCAGAGCCCGCTCTGCAGCCCCCGTCTCTGAAGATCACCCAGACCGGTGACATCGCCGAGGGCCATCTCTTCTTTGACCAGTCCGGCTCCGGCGGCCACAACTACTCCGTGTTCATCATGAGCAATGAGAACGAGCTCATCTGGGAGGGCCCGTACGGCGACATCTCCGCATGGCGCGCCCAGACTCTCTTCGGAGAGCCCGTCCTTACGTTCTACACCGGAATCACGATGCCGGAGCCCTACGGCTTCGGATACGGAGCTGTCTTCATCTACGACCAGACCTACAAAAACATCTACAATGTTACTCTGGACCAGTACGCCAACGGCTTGAACCTCCAGACCTTCACCGGCTGGGACTCGTCCGGTCTCACCGGCGGCAGCTGGCTGGACATGCACGAGGACTACATCACCCCCGAGGGCACCATGTTCGCTCCTGCTGTGAACGTTACCCACACGGATCTCACTTCCGTTGGCGGCCCTGTTGATGGCTGGATCGTGGACTCGCTCTTCTTCGAGATCGACATCAAGACGAACGAGATCCTCTTCCAGTGGAGCCACCTGGACCACTTGGACGAGATCTCTCTGGCTTCTGCTGCCCTTACCTACCCCTTGGAGGACCTTGGACTCAACCAGACCTACCCCTGGGGACCTTTCCACATCAACTCGATCGAGAGATTCGCTGATGGTGGTTTCCTCATCTCCTCCCGCCACTACTGCTCCATCTTCAAGATCGCCAAGGATGGATCTGTTGAGTGGACCCTGAACGTAAGTACTTGCTTTACCGTTGCCTGAACACGGGCTTCAGCTAACAATACCTAGGGCCAAACCGGCGGCTCTTTCGCTCTCAAGAACGGCCTGTCTTTCTGCTACCAGCACGACGCCCGCATCCACGCCGAGGGCAACGGCACCGCCCTCATCTCCCTCTTCAACAACGACAACAGCGGCATCCGCAGCGGCGTCAACGAGACCTCGGGCATCTTCCTCACCGTCAACACCGCCACCTGGGAGGCCACCCTCAAGCAGGAGCTCATCGACCCCAACGACACAATCTTTGCCGTCTCCCAGGGCAACGTTCAGGTCCTCAACGACGGCAGCGGCCACACCGTCATCGGCTACGGCAGCACGCCCAAGATCAAGGAGTTCAACGCCGAGGGCGAGTGCGTCTTCACCGCGCAGTTTGGCGAGGACAAGATCGTCCAGAGCTACCGCAACCACCGCTACCCCTGGGTCGGCAAGCCCTACTACGCGCCCAAGGCTTTCGCCTGCGACGCCGGCAACCAGACCGAGGTCTACATGAGCTGGAACGGCGCGACGGAGAACAACAAGTGGACCGTCTTCGCCGGCGCTTCAGAGGATGTGCTGACTGAGAAGACTTCCGTTAAGAAGACTGGCTTCGAGACCAAGGCTACCTTCTCCGTTTCGGCTCAGTTTGTGCGCGTCGAGAGCGCTGGTGAGGGCATTGAGACTGGTGTCAGTGAGGTTGTCGCTGTCGAGAGCCAGTGCTAGAGTGGTCTGATGTTCATACCAACGCACTCACTTGTGACTGATATCAAATTCGCTTACAACACGTAAGATCAATTGCTTAGCTAAATAATGTAATCTCAGAATGATCTTTAATGAATGAGTCTGGCGCAGTGCGAATGAATCGTGTGTGAATCGCGAATGAGCTTGGCATGACCTTCCCACTAGGGATGTTATCGGCCCCACTGAAGGAATGATGCCCGTGCTGCAACGTTCCCTCTAAGACTCGGCAACTGGGGCCGAGATAAGACCCCGCGGCCTCCCGTCCGGAGTTCACGCCTCGTGTCTCGGCCGCTGCTTCAAGAACGAAGCTTTCCCCGCATTCTTTGCATATAATCATCACTGCCGGATGCTACGTCTCGGTAACGAATCTCACCAACTTCAGAATTCTCTTTATCACAGGAACACAAGCTACACGTCATCGCCATGGCCGCACATCATCTCGTAACGCGGTCTCATCTGGCCAGTGTCTCGGATGGCGAGTGGGTTGATGTGAGCGACAGCCGTGAACAACATGCAGCTACTGCCAACCCGGAGTCCATGCCGGAGCGTATCACACGTGTTACCACGGACGAGAAGAATCTCAACAAGTTTTACAGTATCAACTTCTCAGCCACGAGGTCTCATCGACTGGAACGATACTACAATGAGGAGCTCGACAGTTTATTCAAGGCTCCATTCGATACCTACAATCAGGAGGACAAGGTAAACCTTTTACTGCTGCGCAACTACTTGAGGCGTAATCTCCGAGTCTTGCTTCTGGATCGCGAGCGAGACGAGCTGGTAAAGCCGGTTCTACCATTTCTCCAGCCGCTCATCGAGATCTGTGAAACACGCCAAAACATGGTCCCGGTCGAAAGCAAAAAGACGGCCATGATATTAAACGAGACGGCCAAGAAGATTACCGCAACGACAAAAGCCATTAAAACCAATGAAATCAAGGCCAATGACTCGACTTTCTCACGTGCTATGAGCACCATTGACCAAATCCGAGGCCACGTCGATGAGTCTTATGGATTCTACGCCCCATACGACCCCCTGTTCCCATTCTGGTGTGACGCGCCCAAGAGGGAACTGGACGAGGCCTTCACCGGCATCAAGACGGCGATAGACACCAAGCTCATTGAGAAAAACGGGTCCGGGTCTATCCGTGCTGCAGTTGAACCCATCGGGCGCTCCGGGCTGATCACTGAGCTCGAAGCGGAAATGATACCCTACACGCCTGAAGAGCTCCTCAAGTTGGCGCAGGAACAGTACGATTGGTGCGAAAAGGAGATGAAGAAGGCTTCACGCAGCATCAAGGTGGGCTCCGTTCGACCGGAAGGGAGTCAAGGAAGCGTATCGGGGTATGTAAAGCCGACTGGCCCTTTGCCCCGGATCAGGAAATAACTCTCACTCTCTAGTCTCGAGGCTCCAGACGCTGGCTTTGGCGACAACTGGAAGGCGGCACAGGAATATGTCAAAAATTCATATGTTGAGCCCGGTCAACAGCCTGAAATGGTGCGCCAGCTGGCCTACGAGGGCATGGCTTTTGTGAAGAAGCACGACCTAGTCACGGTCCCAGAAATCGCGGGCAAGTATTCCTATGAGCTTCTCGGCGGGACGACAAGCTGACTCCTTCTAGGCGAGACGTGGCGTATGTTCATGATTTCCGCAGAACGTCAAAAGGAATCGCCCTTCTTCCTCGGTGGCTCCTCCTTCTGGGTCTCTTATCCCACCGCCGCCATGGATCATGACCTGAAGATGATGGTTATGCGCGGCAACAACCCTCACTTCTCACGGGCGACGGCATTGTCAGTCTCTCCTCCTCTTTTCCCTCTAGAACATATTGCTGACGTGATCGCAGCCACGAATTAATTCCCGGTCATCGTTTGCAGCTTTTCATGGGCAAGCGTCACCATCCCTATCGCGAGCTCTTCTCGACGCCCTTCTTTGTCGAGGGCTGGGCCATGTACTGGGAGTTCGTCTTTTGGAACAGAGGCGACTTCTTCGTGAGCCCCGAAGACAAGATCGGAACACTCTTCTGGCGGATGCACCGGTGCGCGAGAATCATCTTCTCCTTCAAGTACCACCTCGGCGAGATGACGCCCCAAGAGTGCGTTGACTTGCTGGTCGACTGGGTCGGTCACGAGCGATCCAACGCAGAGGGAGAGGTCACGAGATCCTTTGGCGGGGAGTATTCCCCTCTGTACCAGGCTGGATACATGCTGGGGGCATTGCAGATGCACGGTTTGCGGGAGGAGGTGTTGACAAAGGGGTTGATGGGCGAGAAGGAACTCCACGATAAAATTTTGAGGGCGAACACGATGCCAATCGAGCTGCTCCGAGCGCTTCTCCTGAACCAGCCATTGAGTCCGGACACGGAGGCTCAGTGGAGGTTCTACGACTGAACGGGAGGGAGCCTCACAGTCATCATCGCCCACATGGCAAATGAATGACACGCGGCACCCACTCTTGTACGTTACATTGCACTCGGCCGAGAATCTTAGCATTTTTCAGTTGGAAGAATTCCTCTTTTTGATCGTTCTCAGCTTCCTTCTCCCCGCAACCCCGGACGGCCCCATCCCCATGCAGCCGCCAATATGCAATGCGGGGGAAGACGGTGCGGGGCCGCCTCGGTCTTCGGGTTATGTCGAGCGGGAGCGCGGCCTATTGGCCGTGGAACCATAACTATACCAGCCTCCGCTCTACTTTACGCGTAACTCGCAGAAACCCGGAGCTCGCTTCCTGTCCCCGACCAATGCCTGACTATGGATAACGGTGCTGAGCTGAGCCACCAGGGCGAAGAAGCCGCCGATGCGGGCCATGATGACTCGGGGGGCGCGTCGGAGGCTGCGGCGGCGCTCGCTTGCAACTGTTGCCGGCGCCGTAAGCTGCGGTGTTCTCGAGAAGTGCCAGCATGTCAGCAATGCCGCAAGACAGGTGGGTCCTTAGTTTCACTCTGCAGATGATGAACCTTCCTCTTTCAGGAGTTGACTTGTGATAGGTAGCGATTGTGTCTACGAGTCGAAACGGTCCAAGCCGGGGATGAAGGCTGGGGCCATTGAGAACCTGCATCGGAGACTGGGTTTGTCTCGATATACCGAGTAACCTTGCTTCATCGTTACTGATTACAAGGTCTCAGATGCTTTAGAAAGAACCGTTCACCAACAACGGACTAAGAGTACATCAAGAGACAAGAGACGATCCGAGTTAAATCACTCACCCAATCAAGACAGTGCCAATGGCACCAATGGCGGCCTTGAGAATAGTGCATACAGCATAATGGCATTCTTCGCCAAAGAGCTACACAAGTTCAACTCTAAAAACGGAAGCTCACTTGGCGAAGAGCGTGCAGAGATCGAGTCACTAGGACGAGCCAAGCGGCGTCGACTCGATGATCAAGAGCCGATTAACATTGCCTTCACGGGCGGCTCCAGCCCTGGCCTCCCTGCCTTGCCGGATGAGGAAGACCTGGAGATTGTACTGAAAGCTTATTTCGCACACATTCACCCGTGGATTACGATTATACACGAGGCGAGATTCCGCCGTCGACTTCGCGAGCCCGCAGAAGCCAAACTTGTGTTGGCAGTGTTACATGCCGTGGTCCTCTCTGCGTCAAGATACATATCAGATGAAGATATTGCAACCAGCGTATTCGGCTCGCACCAGCAAAGAACTATGACTAGAGATTGGATCGTATCGACCTCGATGAAGACTTTTAACGTGGAAAGCCATCAAGCTCTCATCATTGTCGCATTCAATGACGTATGTGTCTCGATGCCCACTTGCCTCATATGATCCTCGCTAATATCAACAGATCGGAAGTGGCGAGGTCGCACAAGCCTGGTCCCTCGTTGGTTCACTAACGCGAACCGTCGAGTATCTCCAACTGACCGTCGAACACGACGATGCCGACCGATCATCACTATCTCAGCCTTTCGTCTCGCTCGCTCCGCCAGACAGCTGGACTGAAGCCGAAGAGAGGCGCCGGGTGTTCTGGAACGTCTTCAAGCTCGATAGACTCATCTCAGTTACCATGGGCTGGAACACAAGTCTCAACTCGGACGACGTCCACTGCCGCCTTCCCTGCGACGGCGTCCTATGGCGCAAAGAAGACAAGGAGTGACGCCCTATTTCGGTATCTGGGACAAGGCCGCCGGCAGAATCGGGAACCCCATCGCCTTTATCCCGTCCCACTACGCGCCGACATTGCAGACAGGTGCCGCAGAGGAAGAAATCCACACGCCCTCCGACGCCGGAACATCACCGGGAGCACCGGCCGCCAGCGTCGACATGTCCACCGTCGGCGCCTTCGTCTACTGCATCGAGGCGACCGAGTCCCTCAGCAGGGTCACGAGCTACTTTCTCCAGCAAAGGATCAACATGCGAGACCAGCGCGACATAAGCAGCTGGCTCACCCGCTTCAAGGAGCTCGACCTGCGCCTGGTCCACTGGAAGATGCTTCTGCCCCAGAAGTGGAAGACCAACATGGCGCGGCAGTCGACGCGAATGGACCCCAACCTCACGCTGGCGCACGTCACGCATAACACCTCAATGATCCTGCTCCATCAGCTAATCGCCTTCCCACCGAGGGAGTGGCCTTTCAGGGCTCGGCTGCCGAGTATCCTGAGCGCGGACACGTGCCAGGCTGCCGCCGTGGAGATTGCCATTATTGCGGATAATTATCTGAAGCACGCGCCGGCGGCGATGCCTGTTTCGAGCCAGTTCGTATTCTGTGTCTATGTCGCTGCCAGGGTTCTCCTCCTTCGTTGGAGTTATGATCTCGGGACCGAACTGGCTTCTGAGTTCTGGACTTTGGTGCAGATATTGAATGATATGGCGACGCGGTGGGCTGGTCCGCATAGTTTGGAGCCTGCGAGAGACAACCTGGCTGGGAAGTATTCGAGGAAGCTCACAGAGATGCATTCCAGTTGCCGCGATGATGCGTCTTTCAACATCAACGTTCTAAGTTACACCACCGAAATCGATCACACGGCTCCTCAAGAGCCTTTGGCATCTCCCCAGATCAGACGGAATGGTAGCGGGCATGGGGGAACTGCTTCCAAGGGGCGGAACAAGCGGTTTACAGATTCACAGCTTGAGCCTCCAGGCAGCCTCAACACTATTGTTGTAGCTCAACAACTCCCGCCCAACAACCCGGCATCATTCTCCAACCCGCCGCAAAACACCATGCTCGCACCCCCAGGACTAGGGTTGAATGGTGTTGAGCCAATGGCTCAAACCTTCTCTATACAACAGAAGCAGCATCGGTAGCGGCGAGTTGAGCAACATATCCCAGATGCTTCTTGACCAACAGTTCAAACTTCATGGACATGGAATGGATCATCAGACGATGACGGCATCTTCGAAACCGAATACGACGGTGGAGGGTGGTGAAAACAAACAATCTCTATTGAGGTCACGTAAGCCAGATCTATGAGCGGAATCCCGACACTAAAACTCTACGCCAATCCCATGTTTAAAAGCCTGTTCCTAAATTCGACAAGATAGAAATCTCCGTAAACGAGATCATGATTCTAGTACCTTCGTCTAGCATTCTCATTGTTATTTGCCGTTCCGTACTTGATGATGCCGTCGAAACATCTGCTAGAGATGGAGTCTTTGACTTCCTACCCCGCCTTGCTGCTATCTCTGGTGAACTGAGCCTTTTTATTTGCGAGAGAGTAGTCGAGGGTGTCTCTAACGATATCAACCGCCGCGTCGAAGAACCGCTGTGCTAAATCATGTTCTTGAATGCCCTTGAGCTCCTGTGATAGCACTAACATGCCGTTAGTAGTAATTATCCCGGCCGATGAGTCTCGTAGAGGCTCTATGGGGTTCTGTATCGGCGCTTTAAAGTCCTAAAGAGGAACCCTCCGCCCCTTCGTCTTCTTTTGCTGCCCGTCCTGAGAGTAATAGTATGTCTCCTCGTTGGCCACCGGTGTATCCATACATGACGGCGCCGTGTCGAGGCGGTATAGGAAGTATTCCGCAGTACCCAAGGCGGCCTTGAGGAAAGCTCTGTCTTGAGTCTATTGGTAGGTCTGAGCATACCCCAGGATCGCCCACGACTGGCCACGGGCCCACGTGGAATCGTTCGCGTACCCCTGTGCCGTCCAGCGCCATTTGAGATTACCGGTGGTAGGATCGATGTTAGCGACGTGGTATGTCGAATAGAGCTGACCTTTGTATCCGTTCTTTGCGAGCGCGCTTACGGATTCTGGATGTAGGTGCGTCTAGAATAGTGTATGTGCGTGCGTGGTGGCGATATCGGCGAGTATATTATCGCCTATATGCGCTGCGGCGTAGAATAGGAGGTCTAGATTATAAAGGCTGTCGACGATTATGAGAAGATTCGTCGTTATGTCCGTTACGGTGATTCCCTTCTTTAAAAGGCAGTCCTAACTGCGGATAGCTCTAGCGGCGGGGATATACCGAGTTGTAAGAGAATAAGTAGCCTTGACGATAGAAGCGAGACTTTTCTCGTTACTATTTAGCTCCTAGTCTCTCTATAAAGCTGGCATAATAATAAAGCCGATATCGTGTATATCCGTCCGGCCGGCTATGTTGTATAAAGGATTAGCCTAGACCTTATATAGCCCCCGCAGATACTGGCGGAGACTTACGAATTTAATACCGGGCCCGGCATCGGCGAGTCCTACTATCTGCGGATACTTAATGCTTCGCTCTAATAGGGTATATAGCGTTCCTGGGAAGAAACTATAGGTCTAGAAGTCTGGGTCTTAGAACTCGTAGTGGCCTATATTGGGGCCGTCCTGGGGTATGATCTCTAGGAAGGCGATTGGAGTCTTCCGGATCTTTTAGATGTTGATGATATCTGCTCTTGAAGGGACTTGGTTCTCTTTGAATAGCTTAGTGAGATGAGTAGAGAGCGGAATGAATGGTTAAAAGGTTAACCATTCGTTGGTTTCTACCGCGGCATTAGACTATAAGGGTTTACTATTTCTGTCTGGCGATAGTTCTTTTGACGGTATGGCTGATATTGAAAGTGGTGGTTCGGAGGACATGCTGTCGTGACGAGGAACTAGTGACGACCTGTCCGTAGCGTCGTTATGAGAGTGAGTGTGCTTTAACCTGGCTGGCAAGCTTTCTACAATAGAAGCGGCCATGCTGGATACTTCTTTGCTCTAAGCCTGGAGTTGTAAATCTTTTTTTGCTTTGAGAGTAGACGCAACAGATACTAAAGTTGTCATTTTGTACATCTTTTAAAAACCTGAGCCATTACATAATTGATAGATACTAACACCTTGAGGTAGATTCATTTACTCTAACGGGCTGTCGGAAGCGAAGGTAGGTATTTTATTGAATCGGTCCTGCGGTTGGTCTCTTGGTGAAATATCCTCGCGATGTATTATAAATTGAGTAGCCTATTTGTAACGTAGCAGTCGGGGTATCGATGCCCCTCGTTCCTGAGGAAAATCCCCCGAGCGGGCGTTGTTGGCTAAGTACGGCTGTCGACCGTAAGTAAACCCCCCCTATACCCCGCTCTTAGAATCGGGCATGTGCAGACTGGGGTAATGATTGCGGGGAGGGCATTAGGGACAACATAGCTTGGCCTTTCTATAGTCGGCGGACTACTCTAGCCTGTCACCACAGATGCGAAGTCTTTGAGGATGACGGCTTATTTTCTATGATATAAAGCATGGGGTTATATTACTAAGAACTTCACTCTGAGCTTTCGAGACTTTAGAACGACTGGACTTCTATACTCGGTCCTCTTGACCTTTACAATAATCTACAACCTGGACTGCCTCTCAATCTCACAGGGACCTGACTACCGTCCACGCGTTAGCACGTCTCCAACATGGCGGACAGGGTCAGCCTCGACAGGACGGCTCGAAATGCGGTACCAGTTGCCACAACCAAGCCGCTCGATGATCGAGAGCTGGTTGTGAGCTCTTCGACGCTCAAGCCGCAGACAAAGTCGCTGTGGGTGGCTTGGCTCTACATCTTCGATTGGTACCCTAGCCACTACTCCAAGGAAGAGAAGAAGTTGCTCCGGAAGCTTGGTACAGTTCCACTCATCCCTGTGCTTGAGTTAAAGCTAATGAAGGTTCTCAACAGACAGCGTTCTTCTCTCACTCTGCTGTTTGATGTGTATGTGTTGGAACAGCAAAGGCTGATAAGGAGTAATAGGCAGGTACCATGGGCTGGCTGGCACCTGCCCTGGGCGAAGTGGGACAACTGGCTTAGTCATCACGGCCGGATAAAGGTGGGGCAACCACCCAGGCCGTCACTACCTACTTCGACCGACTCCTGCCTACAATGTAAGATAGAAAAACAAGAAGAGCAAGCAATAGGATCACCAACAGACGAGTGATAATTGCTACCACTATTTGTCGTATACGACCCCGTGGAACCAACAGTATGACTTGCTGATAATTATTCCTTAAATGTGAGCACTAACTTGAGGCCAGTCTTGTAAAATGGCTTTACTCAGCCAACATCAACCACGCCTATGTCTCTGGCATGGAAGAGGACTTGAAACTCACAGGAAACCAGCAAGTAAACCCTCAATTGATGAACCACCACAGCCTAGTCTGCTATTATCTAACAAGTATTATTAGATACTCACTCTTTGGAACATTCTACAACATTGGCTACCTCATCTTCGAGATCCCCTCCATGATGATCATCTCCCGCCCACACATCACCCGCTGGTACCTCCCCACAATGGAATGCCTCTGGTCCATCACGACCTTTGTTCAATGCAAAGTCCGCAACGAATACGACATCTATGGCATCCGCTTTCTTCTCGGCGTCCTCGAGACCCCGGCAGCAACGGGCGCGATCTACCTCCTGACCTCGTGGTACCGCAGCGACGAGCTCTTCAAGCGCGCGGGCGTGTGGTACGTCTCGTCCAACATTGGCGCCATGTTTGGCGGATACCTGCAGGCCGTGGCGTACAACAACCTCAACGGCGTCGCCGGCATGGCCGGCTGGCGGTGGCTTTTTATCATTGACGGCATCATCAGCTTGCCCATCTCCATTGCGGGATTCTTCCTGTTCCCTGGCTTGCCGACGAGTCCCAAGATTTGGTGGCTTACGGATGCTGAGCAGAAACTTACTCAAGCACGGATGAGAGATGACGGGGTCAAGGAGAGCAAGAGGATTGGGAAGAAGATGCTGAAGCGCGTCTTTACTCATTGGCACTTTTACCTCGCCGTTTTCACCTACGTCTTGTAAGTCATGGGCAGCATTCTGGCCGGACTTCGCACGAAACTGACATCGCCATCTGTTCAACTTCCAATGCACCTCCTATGTCGCTGGTCAGATGGCACTCTGGCTCAAGCACGAGGCCACCTTGCATGGCACATACACTGTTGCTGAGATCAATGTCATCCCCGCCGGCGTACAAGCAATCTCCATCGTGGCCGGTGTCGTTACCACTTCATTGTGTATGATCTACCCCATCTGGGCCGTCATGTGCGTCGTGGCAAGCATCCTCTTCTTCGCAAACGTATGTCTCCTGATCTGGGACATCCCGACTGGGCTGCACTGTGGGGTTTCCTTCTAAACGACGTGGCTATTTTTTGCTTGCTCACTATCAATACAGTTGCCGCCTACTACATGCTTGGCCTCACTAGTTGTGTAAGTCTGTGCTTATGTGTGGACAACACGCTCATGGTTGCTTACTCTTGCAAAGTTCACGCCGATATTCTTCCCTTGGATCAACATGATTATGAAAGACGACAACGAAGCCAAAGCTTTCACTACCGGAGCTATGGTAAGTAGAAACATCACCGTCGTTACCACCACTAACTAGTAACGAAGTCTCTGCTAACAACCTTTCCCTCAGATGACTTGCGGGTGGAATTTTTTCAGCTTCTACCCAATCACCGTCTTTCCAAAGCTAGAGGGTAAGCAAACAATCACAACATCTAGACGCTCGAAACCAGGCTGACTAGTCTCCCTCTACTTTAGCTCCCAAGTGGAGGAAAGGATTCACAGTCAATACCACCTTCGTGGCCATCTGGTGGACTCTCTTCATGGTTGGCCAGTACCTGTGGCGTCGAGATATCAAGAAGGGAAAGTACAGAACCGACGCGGACGCCAGCAGTGTACAAGATATCAAAGGAGACGACATGATGCATGTCGAAGTTTCTTGCGAGAAGGAGACAAAGGTGTAGAACATCTCTACAGTGATTCTATGTAGCCGTTATCTATTTTACGACTTTATGGGAAGATTAGAGCACTTGCTAGTTCATTAAAACCTCTTGGGGGTTCTAGCTCAACTTGACCTTAGTGAGATCAAGGTATGAGCGCTGAAAAGTCGCGCTCCCGGTGTCATGGCACACTACTTGGCGGGCAACGTCGAGCCCATAGGCTTGGGTAATGGTCTCAGCGGCGGATTTCCTGGGGAGTGGAATTTGATTGCCTCTGTCATTCCAATGTCCTTGGCTCTTGTCTTGATGTAATCAGTCAAGGAGCCGGAAGTCACCGAGAAGTTATATTAACAGAATATGTCTCCCGCCCTCGTTGGCTAACTCTATCTCCTACTCCTCTAATTTTCCCCATTCCTAGTTCTAGCATTACTCTTTTTGCTTCGTTCTCCTTCTTCCCTTCCTGGGTATTCTTTTACAAATACATCAGGAGACGTTTAGGAGTGGAATAAGAAACTTAATGTCCGTAATACTTAACAAAAGTCTAGAGTGACTACTGTCCTTTACCTTCATTCGGCAATAGCAATTCAAGGTCGAACAAAATGCATATTGAGATGGGTTGAATTAATCCCTTATAAAGGGAAGATGCTATGTCTAAGTTGGGTCTATATCATCCGAGCACTAAAAGCAAACATCGGACTCTCCAATTGTCTCGATGCAGAATCCAATAACTCTATGTTATGCTGGGTATCAAGCGTGCCGTCCGCTATGTTGTCGCATAAAACTTCAATCCCTTCAGCGGTCAAATTCGAATCCATATCTTTCACAATCCATGCAGCTCCATCGCTTATTTCTCGTTCCTGACCTGCTCTTCATCGGACTGCAAAGTCACTTCTGTGCTAGCAGAGCGAGGCGGAATGGAGACAGTGTCGTCCTGCTGAGCCGGGGTTGGTGCCTTTGCAGCAGCGGCAGCACCAGCTGCAACAATGGCAGCAGCATCAGCGCAGCGCTTGCGGATGGAGAATACAGAGCCGACGTGGCCCACAAGCCACCACGAGAAGAGAACAGGCAGCGCAACGCGCGTCTGATCGGCACAGCCAGTCCAAGCCTGTACCAAGAGGGAGTAGACCTCGTGTGCCGGGAAGGCGTAGCCAATCCTGTAGAAGCCCGCCACGATCTCGAAGGGGACCACGCTGCTCGCGACATTGGTGAGCATCCAGGTGAGGAAGAAGAAGGGGACGAGCTGCATGGGCACAAAGGATCCGATGAGGGACTCCAAGACCTGCCACTGCACGTCCATGTAGAGCCAGAAGACGAGGAGGGTCTTGCCGAACTCTGGTCCGCCGACGGCCCAGTTCTCCCTAAAGGCCCAGAGGTACCCCGTCACGGTGACGGCGGTGAGGAAGCCGTAGATCTTGCCGATGGCGAAACGGATGAGCCAGACGTCGCGGACTCTCATCTTGGCGAGGAGGCCGGAACTCATGCCGATGCCGTTCAGGGCCAAGATGTAGAAGAACTGGGCGAGGGTGGGGACGATAATGTTGACGGTGTTGAAGAAGACGCGGCTCGCTTGCGCCTGGGCGCCGATGAGGTCGGGGGTGGACGATATCGGGTTCAGGTAGGCGGCGAGGGCTGCCGGGTTGCTGGTGTTCAGAGATCGGAGGGCAGCCGTGCCGTTGGGCGACTGGTAGTAGAAGGCCCTCGATGCGCCGACGACCTTTTGGATATTGCTGTTGATGGTGGAGTCGGCGATCGCAGGGTATCGGGCCTGGTTGTAAGTGTATGTGACTGAGTCGGCGGCATTGTAGGCTGAGGTCGAGGTGCCGTTGATGACGCTGGCGAGCTTCGCAGAGGCACCCTCGTTGATGTAAATGGCCCCCCAGTAGTCTCCTTTGCATACTGCGTTCTTCACCGCTGCGGGAGTCGAGTACTTTGAAGCGGAACCGAACTCGATGGTCGGGAAGTTGGCGGCTTGGAAGCTCTTTGATGCGCCTACAATTGCTGAA